CTTACCTTGCCTAGATTCCTTGCCGACGTGACAGGTCTCTTTTTTTTTTTTTTTTTTCCCTTTCCTTTCTTTTCCCTTTTGCCTTTCCCCCCTTCAAAGCTTTAGCCACTTGGTATTCAGGAGGCTCTGTTAACCGTTAGACAAGGGGGCAAGGGGGGCCGCTGATACGACGCCGTTGGTACCTACTCGTCGCGTGGAATAGCCCGGGCCATCGACGCCGTCTCCAAGTTATGGGTCGATCCCCATGTCGATATGCTACGGCAGATTTCCCCCATTGGGACTGGCAGATTTGGAGAGATGCCTCGCTCTCGTGGTATTCGAGCCGTGTTACTTTTGCACGCTCTGTGACTCCGCATACCGACAAGGGGGAAAAGCACAGCTCCTTCCTAAGAAAAGAAAGCAAAGGCGAAAAGGACAATGGGGTTTCTTTGCTAGCGGAACTTCGCAGTCCTCTCAACGGCTCTCCTTTTTGACCGATGAGTAATGGCTTTCTCCTGAAACGATGAACTCGATCAGATCTCGGTGATTTTACACTTTCGCACTCAAGCCAGATACATGCATGGGCACACGAAACACTGCTGTACATGGACGGATAGGTGCTGCGTACAAGTGTGTACTGAAATCACAGCATCATTTGCAAATCGGTACCGACCTGGATCGGCGGGAGGCTATATCGACCCACCTACGCGCTGGCGATGGGCTGTGATAACTTTGCATGCGCAGAGTTGCAGTAGTAACCCTCCCACTCGAATGGCAAACAATGAATGCTGGCAACTCAGGCGCCACTAGAGAAATCGACTGGCACACGGTCGATAGCGTGATTCTCATGCGCCCGGCTTCATGTTTGTAAAGCGCACACCAACCCCCGCTATTTCGAACTAAAGATGCGACGAGGCAAAGATGCATACAAAGCCAGTGGAAGATGACGCCAGGATATCCTGATAGCATCGCGGCAGCTTTCCATTCCCTTGGTGCTGGAAACAGTAGCTCCAGACCGACTACTACCAGTACGAGTAGTGTGCAGAGTACGGGATCTCTACAGCCTCGCTTTGTAAGCCTTCCTCTTCGTCGATAGAGCCCGCGGACCTATTTCTCCTGCTGGCCGCTCAGCCTTACAGCATCAGCACAGCTAAGGAGGCTCGATGCTACGCTCCAGTTTGATGGAGCCGGCGACGACACGAAGACAGCCGGCATTCTCCCATCTCTGATTCGCCATATGCCTGCTAGTACCTATCCTTTGAGAATCATAAAATCTCATCTGAGACCCAATCGGGGCTAGCATCCCGCTTTTCTCGGACTGTCTCCGTCGCTATTCAAGCATAATCAATTTAGGAGTAGTGGCTCGATACGAAATACCACTCATCGGATACTGTAAAGGAGCAAGGAAGTCGGCTTCGACTAGAAATGGTATGTCCCATGTACCATATACGAATTACTACAAGCATCTCGCAGTCTCTCCACACGCTTTAATGGCGTCCCCACTTTACATCTATCGTCATCTGAAATCGTACCATTATTTACGGCGATTTAGGTCGGCCGTACAGTACAGAGCATGATACCCCGGTTCATGGCGGCTGGGACTCGATTCTAGCTGGAATAGCTGGAATATGGGCTCCCTGTCGTGCCTGCAGGCGACAATCATATTGTACAAGTACATTGGACTCGAATGGGATGCCTACTGGGTACTATGAAAGCGCTGCCGATTACGATTGGAGCATAAGAAATAACTGCACCTTCATTCACGACCGCTCCGTGCATGATTGGTCAATTTTAACCACCATAACGCAAAAGGATTTCATGCACGCAGCACTTTACGGGTTGTCTATTGCACAGTCAGAAACAAACAGTATGCTGATACATTCAGCCCAAAACGGGGCAAGCAGACGATATGGAATAGGAGGCTGTACTACTACTACTGGCAATATCATTACACGAAGCTGAAACAGAGGCTGCAATGCTACGCTCGACACAACGCAGGCTCTTTTGATAACACGCTTCGATTTGTTCCTAGATCGCGCACGAGGACTTGAAAGATCTCGCTTCTACTGACAAGGACAAGGGACGGACCGGCATCATCAGCTTTGGGACGCGCTTACTGGGGACGGGAAAAGCCTGATTCTCTGACAACTTCGTCTTGCGGTCGACAGCGGTACTCGTACATACTGCCGCCTCGCAGCGGTCAGATTGGTCGATTCTCGGCCAACCTGAGTCTAGATTGGCCATTAACCGCGTCTGCTCACGAGTTCGCCGACGGGGGGTGCAAGGATCATGCACGTTCTAGTCACTTGCTCCATACCGTGCATGCGCAGCCCCCGAAACCGAGCGCCGACCTTATCGAGACTGCATCTTGACGCTTAGAACGTGCATGTGCGTACCTGTACGTATGTACGTGTGTATGCGCACGCGCGTTTTATATGCAAGCCTTCAGAGGAATCACACAGCCAAAGGCAGCTATTACGCACTGGAAGCTTGCTGGAGCTCAGGAGGCGGAGCCTCTCTTCCTATGCCGTTGTCTCTGTCGGCTATAAGCAAGCAGCTCTTTTCTCTATGAAGCTGCCCAGTGGTTTTGAAAGTATTTCCGGGTTATACACCCCAGTATAGCCTAGGCTTACAGCGTGGATGCAATCGGCTGCCTGGTGCGATGAAGTGACAGCTTTAGTCCAATGCCACGGAGACGGTGACAACAACTGTTTTAGTTTAGCAACTCAAAAGAGAGAGACAAGCAGCCTGTGTGGAATCCCTTGGTCCCCATTGGTCCTCAGCAAATCCCCATTCATCGGCTCATTTTTTGCACATGCGAGTACCAATTAGTCGACAAGCTGACATTAGAGATTGACGGGTATCGGCGACTACCATCTGCGTCGGTGATCTATCCGTGTTTCGCGATTGGGTCTGCCCTAAGCTCCTTCGTCCTCTCCTGGCAGTGCTGAAAGATGATGATCGGGGCTGTTGTGGCCTCAGATTCGCTCCTTTCAGGTGGATTAGAAGATCACACAGTCACTGCCGAAGCAGTGGATGGGCCGTGCCGTGCCGACGCTGCTTCGCTCGCGCTCTGGTACGTGGACGAATAGAACAACTGGTTCAAACTAAAGTGCCTATTCGTATGTATATCCCATGTGACTTCACAAGGTTTCTGCCTAGCCATGCAGCAAGTCCAAGGAAGCGAATCCCATCTTGCTTATAGTTTTACACTACCGGGACGATAAGTCTGGTGCTTCGGGGTTCATCCGCGCAGGTTATCGGCGATGTAAGGGAGAGTGCGAGAAGTATTTGCCAAGCCAAGGTATATGAGAGCTGTCCAAGTACGTACGAATATGGAAAATGGAATCGTGCTGGCTATCTTGAGCCTTGGACCTTGTACGCTTCCTCACGTCTGGACAGCGCTTGAGCGCTTCTTGTTTAACTCCCCGGAGTACGCACCGCGTGGTGGTATTGAGTACTACAGTACGTCTGGGCAACAGCTCCACCTCAATCTTTCTGTCGACATTTCCTCAAGACACCCCTTTCCTAACCCCGGCCTAGGACATAACTGCCGGCCGCTTACGCGCGCAGCTACATCACATCGGAGCACCGAATTAGTCCCATCTGAAAGCATCATGTCACATCTGATAGATTCTAGATATCCTTGCCTCAGAACCTGGTGGCCTGAGCCTGATACAGAGCCACCCTCTGCGGGCCTTTTCTTCTTTTCCTTCCTCTGGCCCCCTACTGTATGCTCGATTTCCGCCTGTTCAAACCCACCTACCCTTGCTCTTCTCTTTGGGCCAAAGATCGCAAAGTACGCAGGCTTGTATTAAGAGGGTAACCCTACCTCCTTGCGAGTCTATTGAGCATCTCACACTGCCTAGACCAGTATGCGCCTAGGAAGGATACTGACAGGCGTGTACGGAGCACCCTGTACAGCTTGATCCTTTCACAAAAGGGCCAGAACGTGGCAATGTTGTCTACCCTGGCGTTCCCTGCCCCTTGTAACTCGTGGGCTCTTCCGAGATGGTACTATATTCAACAGCTTTTGCGAGCGATGGATGGAACAGTTTCAGCATTTGTTGAAGGGAAAGAACCGGCGATAATGCGGGCGTGTCGCGAGGATTCATCCAGATGGTTGGTAAGGTAAGGTATCACCTACAAGCATTACCGCCACCATTACATACGCACGGAGTTGCAAGATGTGAGATCGCCATAGCGTGCTACACCACTAGAGCATGCCTACTGATTTAATTACCAATGAAAATATGGGGTACATGGCAACTGATCTGTGGCCATTGCCATTCCGAGACACGGAATCTAAATGGAGCGGCCCAGATGAACAACCTCCAGCCGCTAGTGTGCGTTGCGAGGGTTCTAATATTACTAGCTGCGAGAAAATCGTACGATTTTTCACCCGGCGTGGGGAAAACGACATGTTTGTCCGAGAATGTCTTTGAAACCTTTGGTCGTCCTTTTTCCCTCGCCAGTGCTATACAGTACAAGCAGCTCCTCCGGACACCGGCAGCCCTCGTCATTCCCCGAAGGAGTGTCGTGTCTGCCGGAAGCCGCTCTCTTACAAGTACTACTTGTATATGCAGCACTCTACTGTACCAGCGATATCTCGGCTTTGGTAAAGGGGCGTCTTCGAAATCGGCTTTGCCGAAAAGGTTCTGCTTGGGGACAAGGATGCTGGCCGACTTTTGAGATCAGTAGTCGAGGGCCCCCTAGCAGAATCTTTTACCAGCATGGAGGCGTTGGAAAAATCCCAAGGGTGGGCCTCGGTGGTGCTGCCCGCTGTCAATGATGCCGATCGCTTAAATCTAGCCGCACTGTTGCTCGTTACAAGAAGATTGACTAGCTTGGGTGGACTGAGGACGGAGTTCAGTCCGGGAGAAAAGAATAGGGAAGGGGACAGCCTGAAGTGGCCAAGCAATTTGCGACGGGTAGCCACTTTTTCTGTTTCGAGCAGTAAACAGTTCATGCGATCGTCGATCGTGTGACTTGTCCGCGCCCGACGCCGGGGGGAAGGGGAGTCCCTTTTTTATTTTCTCCTTCTCTGGAAGCGAAGCGATCTCTATTCGCAATTTAGAGCGCGCCCACTCCTCCCATTACTACTCGATCATCTATCTAAAGCAGCCGGTCTCGCCCCATATCGGGGCAAGCGACGATGCCAAGGGAGAGAGGCAGAAAACGGTTTACGCGACCCAGGCTTTTGGCCATGCATTAAGCGTAATCTCGTCCGCGACATTTGGACAATGGAGGACCCATATCGAGACCACGATGGGGGACTATGTAGTCTATGGGGAAGAGAAAAGAAGAACGAAGAGAAAAGGATGACAAAACTCCCATATTAGGGCATAGGTAAGTACTAATTAGTGTGTGTTGCCTTGTTGAAGTGCGTATACCTAGTAAATTCTCCATATACTGACAGCCAAGAGGCGTGCAATTGCCGGCATTTCTTCCGACCCTCCCTCCTCTCTGGCAGCGGAGTTTAAACAAGCGTGCGTCGCATTGGAGATGATATAGGCAGTACGGAGTATGTGATAATGCTCTATGACATCAAAGTTGCTTTTCTCTGTTTTGTTTTGTTTTCCCCTCCCCCCCCCCCTTTTTTTTTTCATTTTCCACTGCTTTGCAGCCTACCTATTTGGAAATAGAATGGAGATTACACTGAAACTGCCGTGCAGAGAGAGAGAGAGAGAGAGAGAAAAAAAGGCTGCCAAGATGGCTTGCGTATACGAGAAGGAGGAGCAAGTATACAATGTACGACTCATGGCTGAACTCGCAATGGGGTCGCGGGAGCTCCGGGGCGCAGTTGAATCATCATGACCAGGCATAAACTCGGCCGATTTGCTGATATAAGAGACCAGAAAAAAATAAAGGCCGGTTGTACAAACGCGTGCTGTCTGATGGGTAGGCAAGTACAGTAAGCATGCAGTAGCCAACAATAAACCTAGGCGGTGAGACGTAGTCTGGCATGCCTACCTGATTGCACGAATTACGGTTCACAGGCGGCCGTCAGCTCAAAAGGCAGGTTGCCCAATGAAGCGACTAGAGTACCTCAAAAGTGGTGAATACGATCGGTCCAATGGCAGTAGTAGTACACTTTTTGATCTTCCTTTTAAGCTTTCTCCTTATTAGATGGCTTATTTGGAAGAAACAAAGATCTAATATGCTGTAAAATGTGAAGTAGTAGTGGCTGCATATACATCATGCAATCTTCGCAAATGCTTTATGTAGCTTACTGTACGCTTTTATGACACGTTGATGGACATTGTCATACTTGATCTGAATCTAAGATCCCATTTTCAAGTAATCATGATGGTAGTATTGCTTTTACAAGTGCATCGTCCCGTTCAGGGGTAGCCGTCTGCTGCTGCTCCCCACGTAAAACTTGTACGTGCCCTGCTGTAGTTGCCACTTCTGTCTCTCAACGCTCCAAACGCTCAAGTCCCTTCTCGTGAGATGGAAAGTTACTGCTTCTGACTGGTTAGGCTGTAAGAAGGGCTTTTCAAACCCACGAAGCTGCTTCGTTGGGGCTCCCGGAATGCCAACATAGAGCTGCGCCACTTCTGCGCCGGCAACGCTGCCTGTGTTCTTGACATTTACGCTGACAGTGGCGATTGCATCCCAGAGATCGGTTTGCCCGCCGCTTACGATGGGGCCTCCCGGCCAGGGATATGTATTTGCCCCCTCGATGTAGTTGATCGATATGTTGGAATATGCAAAAGTGGTGTAACCAAGTCCAAACCCGAACTCGTACCGAGGTTCGATGCCCTTTTTGTCAAAGTAGCGATAGTCGAGATATATTCCTTCGTTGAAATCGGCCTGGGGGAAGTTTGCGAACTCGCCTTTCGGCTGTGCCGGATCAAGCACATCGCCGTAGTCGGATTCATTTTTCGCAACTGTGTATGGGAGTTTACCAGAGGGACTTGTGTCTCCATAGAGGAGGGAAACGAGCGCAGGGCCGCTCTCTTGACCTGGTAAATGGGCAAAGATGACTGCTGTAACGTTTGGATGATCAACAAAGCCGTCAACTAGTCGAGGTCCTGCATTATGGAAGATGACAACCGTCTTGTTACACTGATCCGCCACCGATTTGATTAGTGAATCTGAATAGTCATCCCGAATCGCGGGACGATCAGATCCTTCAGAGGCCCACGCATTACCAAAAACGATGCAGGCGTCAGAGCTAGGCTCAACAGATGGCCGATCGGAGATGAAATCGTTGAACACCGCCGTGCCATCTTGGTATGCCCTCATTTTCAATGCTTCGAATGGAGAGATGGCGAGGGCCGGCGTGATGGCGCCAGAACCACCACCGCCAAACATGGTACCATTTTCACCGAATGCGGGCCCTCCATTCTCTGAAACATAGTTAGAATTAACCGCCTCCTGACCTGTAATCCAATTTTGACTGAGTAATGAGTTTGAAGATGGGTTAAAGCCGTCTGGAGTCTTGGCTGAGTAGCCAAAGAGGGAAAGCATGCGAGGTGACTTCAAGGGCAGAGTATCCTTTGTATTTTTGACAAGAACGTGCCCTTCAATGGCTCCATTAAGGAGAACTGGGGCGGCAGCTGGATCTCGCCCATCCACAATCTCATGAGGATCAAGGACATTGGAAGGCATGCCGATTCCGGGCTTTGGAAATGCTTGGTCTTGATTGAATTGATACCAAGAAGCAATGACTCTAGATGTGTGTTAGCGTCTGTGGACTTCAACAGTCGGCACTATCATTACCTCATTGCCATATCTGTCACTCGAGACTCGGGCAGTGAACCATTCTTGACAGCTTCAGTGAGATGATCGCCCCAGAAACCACCATTCGAAGGCATGGCTACATCGAGGCCAGCTTTTGCAGTAGCAACTCCTGCGTGCTGTGCACCCCAATCAGAAACAACGAATCCCTGGATTCGAATGTCTGGTTAGTATTGCCGTAATGGTAGCGAAAGGTCGTGGTGAAGTGAGAAATAGGAGACTTTGAGTGAGAATTTTACGTACCTGGAATCCAAGTTCAGACTTGAGAAGACCATTCAACGTCTTACTATTAGAGCATCCATACGAATTGTTGACCCGTTGATAAGAGCACATGATGTTTCCGCTACCGGCTCTTACAGCGTCCTGGAAAGGCCTGTCGAAGATGGGCAGTTAGTGTTTGGTTCTAGGTGGCTTTTAGTAGGTGGCAATGCTTACCATAGATATACTTCATGAATAGTTTTATCATCAATGTTGGAAGATACAGCAGATATATTTCCTTCTGGATTCCTGTTGGTTTCTTGCTCGTTGCCGATGTAATGCTGCAAAACACTTGGGATCAATATTGATCGTTTCAATTCTCCTAGTTGCGCAAAGAATGCTTACCTTGGTACTGGTGATAACACCCTGCCCCTGTATGCCAGAGACAGTCTGAGCGACCAATTGTCCAGACAACCATGGGTCGACAGAGAAGCCTTCCCAGTTTCTGCCTCCACGTACGATACGCCAAGCAGGGCCAACAACGGGACCAAGCAGGACATTGACGCCTTTCGTCTTGAACTCACCGCCCATGGTAGTGCCACGCCGGAAAGCCAAGTCCCTGCTCCAACTATAGCATGGTTAACCCGGCAATGTTCCCAGTAGAATATTGAGCTTTAAGACGGGGAAGCCTCACCTAGCACCAACATGGATACCACTTGGAAAACCGCTGACAAAGTCTGTGTTGCGAAGACCATTACCGGCGTCGCTGAGGCACATGCCCGGAAAGTGTAGACGCTCAATGGCAGGAATATTGCCAGAACATGTAGAGTCTTTTGTGACGCCTGCCGTCAGATTGACCTAGCAAACAGGGAGTTAGAAGGAGAGTTAAGAATTAATTACGATGGCATGTTAGATTCCGCCGCGTCTCTTGGCCTCACCTTTTCTTCCAAAGTCATCTTGCCCACCAGCAGTTTCGCCTTTTGAAATGCTGCCTCCCACTCGTTGCCGCCCACCATTTCGGCTGGTTGAGCGAACGATAGGATTAGCATAGTATTGAAAGACACCATATTCCCTCCACAGGCCCTGTTTTATGCAACCTACGTGATGGGTAAACCGGCGGTGACTGGCCATAAAAGTGAGAGTCGTCCGTGATGGCATCTTGGGCCGCGCTTATGCTTATCAACTGCGCCAGGCCCGCAAGCAGGGCAGCCCGTCTGATAGCAACCATGAGTTCTGTCCAAAGGCAAAACAAGAAGAAGTGTCAATCACTGGAGGTGAGAAATATGAAGCTATAACCGGCAATGCGTGTTGTACAATGCAGAGTAACTGAAATCGGGGAAAGAAACACTCGCTCGCTTGCAAGCTTTAAAAAACCAATATCGGGATAGGTATTTGCTTTCACTATCGCGAATTCCAACTCTGCAAGAAATAAAGCAGTGCCATGTCACGCAGCAACGACAGCGAAACTAAAATGACGAGGATGGAGAAGGGAAAGAAGTGCAAGAGACGCGACAAGGGGCAGGGGAAAGACGTTGGTCGATTGTTCATGCTAGCAGTAGTAGTTTCGTCCGAATATCCAAGACATGCATGTATGACCAAAAAGCTCCCTTCAATACGGGCCGCTTCAGTCTCCGCATCCCACGCAGCTCGGGTCACCTCCTCATCCATTCACTGACAAATTGGGCAGCGGCTGTTTAGCAGCGGTTTAGCAGCTGTTGTAGGTACTCGGCCAGCTCACGGTACCCGCTAGATGCAAGAGAGGGGAAAGAGAGCGAGAAAGAAACCTGTATTAATGAACTAGCTGCTACGGAGTAACATCCGAGTCGAATGCAACCGCAACCGGCAGTTTGTTGCCATGCAACCGCGCTATTGTTGCTGTTTATGGGCTTTTGGCTTCTTTCGATCAACATGGTGGTTGCTGCTTTCATTTCCCCGCAAAATGAATGCGGGAAGGAAGACGCATCATTAGCCCGATTGGCGAGGGGGGCCGGGCCAATAGGAATTCAGGTTGGCGGTTTACCCGTGTTGTGGGGACCGTTATGACGATTGGAGTGTCGATGACGCAAGGAAAAAAGGCCTTGAAGATTGCTTCGTTTTTGTGCGGCCGTGGTGATCTATTTACGGAGCAAACACGAGATACTACCTATTGCCCGCTGGTAATTAGAAGAGGGAAAAAGGGAAGGGAAAATGAAGCATATATAAGGGGTGTATAGGTTTTGAAAACACAAACTTGGTATTGTGAGTGGATTTGACTCGAGAAAAAAAAATATGAGCAAGTAGCAATTGCACGTTTCGATCGTGCGACCTCCGGGTTATGAGCCCGGCGCGCTTCCACTGCGCCAAATTGCTTTGTGACTTGCTTGGGTTAGAGCGGGCCGTAATTGGGTCAAGAAGGTACAACCAATTCGAGCAAAGTACCTACCTAACTGAGCCTTGGGATATAGCAACACCACTCAGACTCAATCCCAAAAGGCAGAGGAAAAAGATGTAAACCAATATTTTTCTTTTAGTTTTCAATGCAAATTTAAAGCAATAGATTAAATCCGATAGCTAATATGTGCATGTCAGTGTTTCAAGATAGATCGTACAAGGGCAGTGCAATTTCCTCGGTATTCATTAGCTAGGTAGGCTTCAAACAGCACTTGTTGCCTATCAATCTACCACGTGCTATAAGCCGCTAGCACCATCTTCACATCAACCAAAAAAAAAGAGGACAGCAATAGGCGCTCTTCTCTGTACATGCCCACGTAATATTGAAGACATATAAATTCAAAGAGCGAAAGAGAGAAAATTTTAAAGAAAAAAAAAGGTTAGGTATCACTGAAAGGTTCAAAAAATAATAATAACAAAATCCACCAATATCTTTCTCTTATCCAAAAAAAGATGCCCTGGTTTCCTTTTTCTCCTCCCCATTCCATTCCACTTCAGATCCTTCCCCCATTCACTTCACTTCCAGTCTTAATAGCGTGTAGTAACAAAAACAGACGTCTTGCTGCCTTTCCGTCCATCCTGCAATAATCTTCTTCCCTTCCCCCCCCACCCCCCGTAAATGGCCATGACTACAATAATAATAAAGGAAAATAATAAATAACAGTAAAATAAAGGGTAACAAATACGGAAGAGTGTGACATATTCCCCGCTAATGTATATATGTTAAGACAAAACAACGCAAATAGCAGCCGAGAGCTCTCACTGCCGATGAATAATGAAGGTGAAAGCCGTAAGATGCCATAATCATGCATGAAAAGGTGCCCGAGTCGAGTTTGGGCAGCCTAAACCGAAGGAGTCAACTTGTATGTGTTTCTGTCGTTGAATCAAAGATCGACACCCCGGCAGATAATAATGAGAAGAAGAAAAAAAGAGGTAAGGCGACAATGATAATAATCAGTACTTTGGCAAATTGAAGGCCGCTTCAAATAAGTAACCTGAAAAGAAGAGTTGGCAAAAAGGTTCTCAGCGCGGTGCAAAACGAATTAAACAAAGACGATGAACTGGGGTGTTTATAGTATTAACTTTTTGAGGTTTCTCTGAATAATCATGTCCTGCACGGAACCCATTGTGATTTTCAGCAAGTTTGTGTCAGTGGCGTTGGTGAAGTGGCCGTAAATCTCCTTCTCGGGGTTTCTGCTTAGCGCGCGGAACTTGTCGAGGAAGTATTTGCTGGCCGCCTTGTAGTCGTCTTCAGGTCCGTGGTAGTCGGTGAAGCCGTACTTGGAGATCGGGCTCTTGGGCAGCTTCTCCTTGAAGAGATCCATCTTGTTGAGGAAGAGGATCAACGACGTCATGGCGAACCAATGTGAGTTGGAGATGGACTCCCACAGCATCAGAGCTTCGTTCATTTGGTTCTGCAGCCGCCTGCGTTAGTTTGTGTATCCTATCATCGTAAATATCAATTTGGGCACTTACGCCGTCCTTATCCTCAACAAGGCACTGGTCATAACCGCTGATGGCGACGAGGAAGAGCAAGCAGTTGACATTCTCGAAGCAATGGATCCACTTCTTTCGTTCTGACCTCTGGCCACCGACGTCAAACATGCGGTATGTCAACTGACCTAGATCAAAGACAGTTTCTATGATACCTGTTGTTCTCAATCGAGAGCGGAGTAAGTCTTGGTCATTTGGTACATAACCGTCGGCCCATATCCGGTCGATATCGGTCACGAAGCTGAGCTGGGGTTAGTCATTGCCATACATGTTACTTAGAGAGAGATGATAACGAAATGAAAAAAGAAAAAAAAAAAAGAAAAAAGAAAAAAACCTCGCAGTAGCTACTGGAGCGTTAAAAGGAAAGCAGAATTAGAACTGACTATGTGAGATTGTCGTGCAGAGCGTATTCGTTGCCCTTGGCAATTGCGGCCATTACACCACTGTCTTGCCATAGCAATTTGATAGGCTCTAGGTAATCCTCGGGCATCTTGCTGTCTGGGCTGATTTCGGCATCGACCAAAATGTGCGCCATGTGTTTCTATAAATAACATTTTGTGTTAGCCATGTTTCATTGCCATGAACCGTGTAGCACGCCGTCGTTCCTCCTCAGGCTACATCTTGCATCCGTGAACGACGTAACACAAGAATAAGCTTGTAAATGAACGCATATGCATATCATAATAATATGCCTGGGCGCCACACCAAGAGGCAAAGATACTAACCTCGTTATCTGGGCTGTCGTATTCGAATCCCATCTCGGCCATTGCCTCGGAGATGGTCTTGAATGACTGTACAATGTTGTTGAAGATGACCGGCTTGAAGTCCAGCCTCTCGTTTTTGTTGAAGCCTTGAGCATATATGAGCTTCATCTGCTTCAGGATGGTAGATTTTCCTGATTCTCCAGCACCTATTAAGACAAATCGCGTTAGCACATACGATATAACGACGCCATTAGCGGTACGTATAACCCCATTTCATTTCTCTCCCAGTATGTTCTTCCCAATATATATCTCTTATTTTTCCCCCTCTTTCTTTTTTCTCTCCTTGTTTGGCGTGATTGGCTGAGATTGACCAAGGGAAAGCGAACATGTCGCAATCAAGACTTACCCAACAGCAGCAGCTTCACCTCCTTTGCCATGCGCTTCTCATCTTGGCGCAGGACCTTATCCAGCTCCCGAGAATGAGCCTCGCCATCCTCGTTCTTATTCCGAGCCCCGAAGCACATCGTCGTGGTGTGTGGCCACAGATTGGCCGTCGTGGTGAGCAAATGCCGGAAAGAGGATGCAAAAGCCGAATTGCCGTGGAGTCGCGTTCACGGAAGTAGCGCTTTGCGGAAAGTCTTGAGCCAACGAGCAGCAGACTTTTCCTTTTTCCTTTCGATGTCGTTTTTTTTTATTATGCGCAAACGTGAACGTCCGGGACGTCACGATGAGAATTGCAAAAGAAGAAAAAGTCGTCGCTTAGCAACAAAGGTTGCCGCCGTGCTGCAACAAGCGAAGGTATGGCAACGAAAAGCGGTGCTTCCAAGGCTGCCTCTCTCGCTTTCGGCCCCCTATGTTTCGCGATCGTGGTCAATATGCTGCGCAAGAAGCCCCTGTCAATCTCCAAGGTCCCTGTCGACCCGTCGCTCTTGCACGAGTGATGTCCGTCAATCGTCGCTGTTCGTCGTCGATCGGGCGCGGAAGGGGATTAGAGAGATCAGAGCACAGATGGAGAAGAGAAGAAAGGCAGCACGGAAGAGCAATTCCACCGAGCAAGGCCACAGCCAAGATCAAGCCTTTGCCAGCAACTACGTACTGTACTGTACTAATAAGATAAGCAACGGCGGAAAAGTGGCGACCAACGGCTAAGGTTCAGACGAGGAGGAAGAGGAAGAAGAAGAGGAGGAAAAACGAGACGCGAAGATGCGGCAGAATCGGGATTCGCTCGTCCCCATCCGCAGCCGGGGATGGCCAAATGCAACAGCAGCCTGTTTCTGCCTCCGGGGGATGGATTTCTTACAGGAGTCGAACGAACCTGTATTGAGCAAGCTGCCGCTGAAGCATCCAAGGATGGCATTTGGCATGGGGGTCCCGGCTCAGTGAACCAGCCCCAGCCTGCAGCGACCAGGGCCCGTTCTAGTGGCTGCTGCAGCCGAGCCTGCCATTGAGCTTCTGTTCGAGACACCAAGACGCTCTAGCGGCCTTCGATGGCGCTCTGCTGGGGGGGCAAATAAGGGGCTCTTGGTGGACTCGGCAGGGCGGTACTTACGCGCTACTCGGCCGAAAGCCAGCCGGTACCTTGAATCGGCGCGAAATTGGAGGCGTCGGCAGCGTGCATTGACAGCATTGAGACGGTACCGCTCTAGCTGGATATGCGTAGCGCTCAGGTTCTGCAGCGCAGGTCAAGCGCAGAGTAGACGGTACTGTCAGTCATGCAAGTGGGCTCTCATCTGGGAAGTACCAGCTACGCACTCATGACGTGCCATTTGCAGCGCAGCGCAGTCTGCGGGAGGGGCGGAACAGAGAGGCCCGAGGTCGCCAGTACCGGGCGGGCCAGATGCGTTGCCACGGCCCAGGTACTCGCTACCTGCGGCTGCGCACTCCGCACGGCTATTGACCTACCACCTGAGAGCTCTTCATTCTTCAACTCCATATTAGTGGTCCCTGCATGCAGCGCACACGTTTTTGCACACCAACTTGGCGAGACACGGTGGTGACTACCGGAATGGCGGATCGAGACGACTCGTGGCACGGGCGTGGCATGACATGAAGAGGTCTGGCTATCCCTGCATTGGGCCATGCGGAGACTTGTGGTGATATGATATCACGAGAGAGAAGAAGAAGGGACGAAGAAAAAATTTGCAGCAGTGGAAAGCAAAGTACGTAAAAGTCTGTGGAAGAAGGAAATCAGTTTTGATACCTTGGTAGGTCCAGTCTACAGTACGAGTAAGAGTCACGAAGGTGGTTCTACAGTACGGTACAGGTATATCGCATGCTCACAGCCATAGGATAGGCCATCTCTTTGCGCATCGCTTCATACTGGCTGCACGATTCCTGTTTCTGTGAGCACTTCTTTCTGCAGCCATGTGTATGTACGACGTGAGCAAGAGACGGCTGCAGCCTGCTGACGATTGTGATTCGCAGGATTCATGCGCTACGACTTTGCGCTGCCACCCCAAGAAGACAAACTGCTAATCAATGGGGACGGCAACTCCAGACAAAAAGGCAAGGAAAAAAGAAAGGAAAAAAGCTTCGTGTTTGATATTACGCTACGAGCTTTACAATGCGCTCTCTACCAGTCGGGCACCAAGCAATCAATATACCCATGACAAAAATCCGAGTTTGCACCGCTTGACTCGAAAACGAGTCTACCAAAAAATTATTATAATCGCCCTTGAATTCTTCTCGGGATATAGAGCGGTAGTAGTGATAGTGCGGCTAGTTTAGGTAGTGCTGGCTTGGTGCGGGTAAGCATGAAGATATCGGCTGCGTTATGTAGGGAGACGCCTAGCCAGTGCCTCTTTGTTTCGATTCGGGGGGTTGAAGATAAAAAGTGACATCTGATGACGAAGGATGCAAATCAATGCCCATGACGCCAGCGTTCCACTAACCAACCTCGCCCGTCTCAGCCACTGCAAATTCGAAACCGCGTGGCTTTTCTGTTTTTATAAAAATACCATCTTAGATCATTTCAAGTATAGCATGCATAAACACCTCTCCCGGAAACAGAAAATTCTGTTCTTCTCTTTTTTTGTAGTGAAGATGCTACTTGACGCGGCCGTGGCAAAAGGCGGCCCGTGCCAGGGGGAGGCTCTCCGCCTTCGCGTGCTGAGTGGAGTTGTGTGTGTGTACATTGAATGGAACACAGCATGTAATGGAGATGCGGTAGATGCGGTAGTTCGGATCAACTTTTTATAAGAGCCTGCTGATGATGGGTACATGTATGCTAGCGAGGGGGGAAAAAAAGAGACCGGCCGGTTAATGTCGTCTTTAGTGGCCTCCTCTAATCACAATTAGCCTGGGTTCTTTTTGCATACGAGAAGCCATAGCATTGATGCGTATATATAGCTCCTATCTACTGGTATTGCTTATTATATAACTGCCATTAGGTTGTCATAGTGCGCGGCATGCTAAATAGCAGTACCTGCTAGGCACGTAGCGGCGATGATCCCTTCTGCATCGTGAGTGAGGCCCGAGATAACATGGACTCCATCTTCTCAACGGCGCAGCGCAGTGCCCGCCCAATCGCCATTCGCAGTTCCAGTCGGTGGAGGCATCGGCCGCAAACGGAGATTTAAGGTTAGGTTTCCATTTGTCTCGCATCCATCCTCCGCCGGCCTCGTGGCTTCCAAGACACTTGGGGCTGCAGCGTGGGCTCGGCACTTTGAGTGGCCGTGGAGGAGGTGGCAGGAGAGGAGTCGTCGAGGTGGCATTGCTGCGACCTCACTTGGGAGACGGGCCTTGCTCGTGCAGCAGTGGCATTTCACACCAAGTTGAGGAGCGAAGTAGACAGATACAGTGTAGATACATGAAAACGGATGCGAGTAAGTATCCGTGCAAGTTATGGTGCAGACTCCACTTACTACGAGGTAAAATGTCACGAGTAGAGAAGCGTATGTACATAGTTGAAAACCAAACTCACAAATGCTCGTCTAGTTTCATGGGTATGCAAGTGATTTGCAGCATTCTTTGCATCTCATGCCTAGTACTTAGACCTATATCCATGGATGCTAGCAGGACGATCTCTTGGGCAACTTTCTCCTGGCGAGCGTGCAATTACAGGTGCATTTTGCCAGGGCCGGCCTAGTCAATGACATTTAGTCTGAAAAATGCCTCGTTGGGGTAAGTGCAGTACAAAATGCTGGCAATAATGGAGAACTCTGTCGTATTGGGCTCCAGTGTCTGGTATATTGCTGAAGCCGCTAGCCAGTAGTACATATTGCCTCGAGCACAACAATGGACTCGGTTGTAGTCCGTAGGTCGCAAGCCGGATGGTTTCCCGCTGCTGCTGCTCATGGCTCAGCCCGGACCTTTGAGTCCAGTCCAACAACTGTGCAGCAGTAGCGTGTAGGTATGTACAAGTATGTGCAGTATGGGCAAACTGGCAAACAAATGACAAACAAGAGCAGCAAAAGCAAACCAACCTCCTTCTGGGTTCGTGCAACCCTCCCTGACGCACGTTTTGGCTCACTTGGTGTGCTGCTGCCAACTCCCAGGCCTTGTCACCTGTCAGCTTTTTTTGCTTTTGCCTTCTCTTCTTCCCGCCCCCAGCCCTCGACTCGAGGCCTCATTTGGTTGACGGCACCAGGAAAACCGCGTGGCAATTTCGCAACGTGCTCTTGGCCTGACTGGCCTAGTTTGTGACATGTCAAAGCCTGGGCGAGAGAAAAAAGATTAGTGCGCCGATGGCGGGCCATGTTTGATTTGAAACATCGGCGCCATGGCCAGGATAGAGTAGCGTTGGTAGTTATGCCGGGGGCCTCATCCCTGCCGGACTAGATTCGAAAGGGTGCCTCTTGACTGCTACGAGTAAGACTAGCTTGAACAGGGGACGGGGAATCGCCCTTGGCTTGCCAACTTGCTTGGGCATTGTCTGTTGCGTCTGTGGTTTGAATCGTTGAAATCCGCTGGGACGTCTGCTCGTGTACCCTAGAAGATGCAGTTTCTCATCTCCGCAATGGTCAGATTTTGGGCGATTCAGTTGATAACGCCATCATAGATGCTTTGTAATGCTAGATTTCTGATAAATGCTACTCCGTACGACAGTCTTCCGCTCCGCATTTACTGATACGTCATATAATATGGTTCACTGCTTGCAGGTGTTCATCAGATCGCGTAGCCTTGCAATGTCTTAGATATTCTTGGAGCTTGATGGTTGACATGTACAGTCATCGAAATGGCTGGATGTGGTCTTTCGTTTATTTATCTATTAAAATGTAATAGTAAAAAGCATAAGTCATTTTTCACTTCACGCTCACTACTGTAGGGTAGCATCAAGTTACTAACCACGACTGTCAATGTCTTAACCCCCTGAGTCTATCACTCATTTCCATCGTGGTTGCCACTAGGAATGAGTGACATGCCAAAATACCACAAGGAAAAGAGACATGATGTATAAGAACTCGACGAGACATCTAACAAAATCTACTCGCACAGTAGTGTTATTCTACCGATCTGTCAGCTCGTTGTGTGGAGTTGATGCCCATGTACAAGTAGGTTGGAGCACCCTTGAGATATAACTAACACTGCTGCAACCAACGGACAGCAAAATCCCAGCCATTTAGCCGCCCCTTATCTCTGATGCTATCTATATACTGAAAGGAGGCAACACACTGTCTTCCCCCTTTACTAAATCAAGTCAACGGCTTCCATACTGGATAATGATCAAGGATCGCGAACATCTCATAGAATTGTTGCTCACTCGTTACACCCATGCCACTCTGAGCTGACCATTCTTACATCGGGCATTGAACCAAAAGCAGCTGCAATGCGACCTTGGCATCTTACAAGTATAACAATGACCGAATATGGGTGTTGGCCGCTAAGAAATTCCAGAAAAAGAAGCCTTTTCTTTTTATCCCAGATTACATGGTGTGCCTTATAAGCACTGTGCCCTTTGCGAACAACTTCTCTTTATGATCGCCGCTTGGAGCCAACCGCAGTAGCATGCAGAATTGCCCCAAAGGGAAAGAAACCAATCCTATGTCATCTAGATCGTCGTAGGCTATCTGACCTGCCGTAAAGGCATGCTGACCCAACGGTGATCTGGTCTGGTTCTAGATTGTCGTGCCGTAAGGAGTAGCCATCCAAAATCCTGACGGTAGCTATATCTGTGTTGCCTCAGTTAGCTTTCTATCTTCTACCGTTTCGCGTGCAAAAAGGGACTTTTTTTTTTAAATTGGATAATACAGTTCCGCATTAGATGGCCGTTGACTTCATCCGATCAAGCACACTTATGTGTACTAGACGGGCAGGTAGCGTATACCAAAAAATTGCCTCTGATAATCTATTCTCATTCTCTTACAATAGCTTTATGAAACGAGTAGGCTCTCGTCAGGTATCTGAACTTTTCTGACAACGTATGCATTCGCTGCTGTGTATATTTGATTGCCATAGATGATGGCCATTGCGAATTATATAATAAACAGTAGGGGAGATGTCGAATATTTTGCTGCTGAAGCCCAAGAGTCCCGATCCAGAATCTTCTGTCCACACTGGAAACATATGCAATGAGATGGCAAAGCAATCGCAGGATATTTCATCTGGACTGCGAGTGTCGTCACAGCCAGTCGGGCAAACCAGCTCCCATAGACAAGCACAGTGCCAAACTCCCCGACCATTAAATTCTCTTGGCATAAGAGCAGTTCCTCCCATGATGTTATCACTTTGAGCTGATTGCCGAACTTGTCGGCGAGAAGCTGACAAAGAGTTTTATCATCAACATCGTCACGCACGCAAGTGCAGTCGAAGAAACGAGTCAAGTCTTCGCTCTGTAGTGCACGTATGATGTCTAAATCAGCGACCCATTTTGATCCATTGTACACTGATATCAGAGCTTCGCGCATCACTATGTCGGCATCAACAGCGCCTCGAGCGTTAGCCAACGGAATTTTGAAGTCGGTAAGCTTCAGATGTAAGGATGTCTGGGTGAAAGAATCTTTGGGTTGTCCATCAAAGCTAGCGGCCTGAACAAATCTTCCTCGCATCGAGTTGGCTTGCAGTACCCGAGGCACTGGGGGTGGGATGAGCATGACAACGCCAGGATAGCCCAAGTTACCGTGGATGCGTCGAATTCCTTTGAATCCCGGTTTGCCTGAAAGGTCTTGTATGGCCGGGTCTTGAAGCAGGGCTTCTGAAGTATAGATAGAATTCCCGGTCGCCATGGCCATGACGTGCTCAACTTGGTCCGGGTGCAGGTCGCATCCACCGGATTCAAGCATTGCCAGACATGAAAACTTGATGGCTCTGCAGAAGTTTTCTTCTTTGAGTTCAGTCTGATCAAAAGCATTAACAGCCCAGAATGCACGTCCTATGGGTTGCTTGGTAATGCCAATTGACATCGTCGCTCCCGGCCAATCGCTGTATAAGTCTGATATAGCAGATGTGGCTCTCAAAGATCTAAAAAATAGAGCGCTTCTTTGATGCTTGCTATGTAAGGAAGCTGAAAATTCCATTATGCCTGTTTCTGGAAGTGCTTCGAGGTATTTCCTCAAGAGACTGGGATCCAGGGCACTGGAGCGAAGGACAGTTGCCAATTTGGGAAGCGTATACGCAGGAACATCGACCATAGCGGAATCTCTGAGAAGCAACGTGGCGATTCCATTCGCCTCCACGGACTGGAATAGAACTTCACTCTCCCTTGCATTATTCGAATGAAAATGCTCGTAAGGGTTTTCTAGCGCATCCAAGGAATATATAGGATAACAGTACTGTTCGTCTGTGAGATCGCAGTCCTGAGCGTATTCCGTAGGAGGGTCAACCCATCGGAATTGCCTTCCGCGAGAAGAAAATATTTCATCATCATCAATAAACATAAAACTTCTTGCGGAGAGCCAGTAGCAATCTTCATCTACATACCCTGAGGCGGACTGGCAGCTTCGAACATTTGTGCATTGTAGAATTTTCTCCGTGCCCGCAAAAGTTGATAGGCATAAACACAATGAAGTGCAATGGAGCCCTTGCTTTGCACATGGGCAAGAGGTGCGACAAGACCCTTCGTCATCTTCGGCACAAACGCACCTTTGAGATCGCTTAACGGCAGTCTCATTCGGTAGCCAGTGAAACCAACCGGAGCTCTGCTGGTATGGGAGACATGGTTCAGTAGCAGTATCGTAAGAAATATTGTATCTTTGCAATTGAGGGTCTTTAGTACGGTCGATATGAACCCATCGAGAATACCGTTGTCTAACTTGGGGCTCTCCATCGTAAGCCCGTTTCCTGCTTTATCGTGCTATGGGTATGGCAGAAGCAAGTTCCCAATTACTTTCGTTGTGAATAAAAGCGTTCTGGGCTATCTCGTCAACTTGGCGCCCTAAATCGGGTTTAGTAATAATTATACAATCAGTGCTATGCAAATTCATGTCTTGAGCGAGGCGTCGAAGTATTGAGATAGATCCTTCCATGTCATGACGCTGAGCAAAAAAATCTGGCGAAAGTCTGAATAGAAGATATTGATTAAGCAGCCCAAACATGGGGGCAGTATTGAGAAATTCATCGTCCAGGAAATTTCGGCCCCTCCGTCGGCCGAATTCAACGAAGTAGAGCGCCGCCTCTCTTTCCTTTCCAACAGCAGATAGGAAACTATTTGCTGTGTCAATGAGAGGGGTGATCCAGCCTAGGGAGTCATCATGGCCTTTCTCGTCGGTTGGATTGACGTAGAGTCCAAGGGCGTCCCCCAGGGCGGAAAAGCATTCTGCTGCTTCCTCAATATCAGTTAATGCTGGCTGAGTCCACCCTCCAAGGACACATCCAAAAGTGATGTAGCGGAGCTCTTCAACTGTGACCCGGTCACTGTCCTCATCAAATCGTTTTTCAATAACAACCGGATCTCCATAAAAACGCAAGTGAGAAAGCGACACTGATCAGCTAACTCCAGAGCAATTCTTCTCTTTTGCCTCCAGCCCAAGTGTGATGACTCCCCCAGGCTTAACAAGCCGGTCATTAAACTTAACATCTCGGTTCGGAGAGAAGACGTTCAAGTCTGGATAGATGTGCCATGACATGAGTCCCAATATTACGGAACCATTTGTTACATCCTGTGGTACGCCCTGGATCAGATCCTGGGTCGTCTTCATCGCCAAAATCCAGTTCTCCACCACGTTCGAGTAGGTTGTACCGGAGCTGTGTATCGATGGAATATTCTTGACAATGAGTTTCAGTTGTGTATCCTCGCGCTTCTTCACTTCGTTCGCGGTCTGCAACCACGCTCGTGCGCTGGCGTCCCAGCTCGCCAGATCGTCTCGCAAGATCTGACGACCTTGGTCCACCGCATATAAAGCTGCAAGACCCTGTATTTGAGAAGTCTCGGAAACCTTTTCAAGATTTTTCAGCCGACCGTCAACGAGCTGCATCCAGATGGCCGTGGCCTCAACATTGGAAAACATCCGAGCCAGCATACAAGCAAGCAGATGTAGTGCGATTATACTTGGTCCAGAAGATGCTGCTGCGTAGATAGAAGTGCCGTCCACTCCCACATGCCCAGAAAATGGACCGTGATCAGCGTTCTTGAAAAGATTTCTCAGAATCAACACATTCGAGTACAATATGGAAGTCGGTGAGTTCTACATACCTTCAGATCGAATATAGGCGAAGTCGCAATTTCCGAGGCTCTCTCCCCATATGCAGCAGTAAGAATGTCGATGTTCGGAATGATCTGCTCGAACAAGGCCCCGAGCCTGCGAGCTATTCTATGCTGTGGTCCGGACTCGGCATTTTGTCGACGGTGCTGCGAGAGCGCGTTACCCAATCCTTCGAATTGCTTAGGAACTTCCACTCTGACAAGAGCAAAGTCCACGTTTGCATTCGCAAGCGAGAAGCTATTCTCATTTCTTGCAGACAGTATGGAAGCAATGAATTGCGAATTGAGCGCCATTATTGATTCGTCCGTTCTACTTTCTGGCTAATACCTAGAAGGTAGATTTCCATTTTTTTTTTAATAGCAGAAAAGCTGACTTTGTAGCACAAAGAGTACTAGAAGCAGCCCGGCGGGGTTGGGCATATACACCAGGCATCTGTCCCACAATGACCACAGCGAGGCTGAGTCGCCACAGATGGTCCATTCAGATGATAGCACATGTGTAATCCGTTACTCCTGTAGTAATCGGATGTTATTCTCCGGATTCTATACTTCGTACCTTGACGCGGTAGTAAGGCAGCTGTTTCCTATGGAGCAGTTTTTTGTAGCTTTCAATCTATATCTTTTTTATATCTCATTACTTTAAGAGGTATTTTGCTAAGCCTAACTGTATAGAGCGTCAAATAATATTTCATAGCTGGAGATTCCTATATTGACTGTTAATATCTAAGTGCCATCTCTCTGTGTATTATCGCTTCAGGAGCCCCCTTCTTAGCAATTCTAGATGTACCTAATGCGTGCTATACACACGTGTAAACTATATGTAGCGGCCCGAAAAGTCAGCTGCATTAGTGTCTCCATAGAACAAGTACCTGTAAGAAGATTACAAGTACAGGCGTGTACTTCGTATCGTGATTCCTAGAACATTGCCTCTAAATGACATTGCCTACTACCCTACGACATGTTCGCTGAGCATTTCAAGCCACCTTCAAGCGCAATACTCACAAGTCACTCTGGTAAACGGCCACGGTAAGGCTTTCGTCATCGCCAACGCAGACGGAACCGTGACAGCACAACCTTTGAGAGAAGATGGATGCACATTAGTGGCTGTGCTACATTGAGCAAGAAAACTCTACACCCTAGACTTACTTACCATCGATGCGAACAAAAGATCAACTTCAAGTGAGAATAGACAGTGTTCGAGATAGTTGCTGGCGGATGTAAGATAGTTTCAAGAGGAAACTAACTTTTATGATACTCTATACCGCAAATGCAAGGCCATGAAAGGATGTATAACGGCATATCACTCTCTGTGACTACCACCAAAAAGATTTCCAAAAGCGATATGCCAGGTTGGTAAACATAGAACAAGATTGCCTCAGAACACTATGGGCCAGAGCTCATGGCCATATAGTAATAACCTAATGCCTATCTTTTTTCTTTCCAATATACTCCCAAGTACATGTGTTGATAGCTGCATGTATAGGTAGGCACCCCCATATTATACATGCCCAAGCCACGTTGTAATCCGGCCGACTGCGAGCTTTTAAACTTTTGAGAACTGTTGAAGTTTGACTAAAATATCCACTGGTGGACAATATTGCAAAGCTTGAATAAGAGTCACGATCTGGCCAACCCACAATCCCTCCCCATATAAACCCAGCCTTTGTCGTTGTTTACTTTTCCCTGCCTTTCCGAAATCTACTCTCCTTTTCTATCTTGGTATCAATACAATCACCACTTACCACAGCAACAGCAACAGCTAGCAAGATGTCTTGGCACCGGTTTCCTCTGGAAATCAAGTATGAGATACTCCAAAAACTGATAGAAGATGGTGGCAAGTTGGCCAAATTTGCTACAGTATCGCGTGAATGGCAAGAGAAGATCCAGCAACACACCTTTGCGCGAATCAGGTTGACGCCTTCACGTCTCGTCGACTTTGATGCAATGACATCTCGCAACCGATCTCTGGTACGCTACTTGTGGCTCTGCCTCGAACTGGACAAATACTGTTGCCTTGATTGCGCACAACGATGCACGTTTGATACGGATGATGATGAAAATGCAACCATCATGACAACACTGCAGAAGCTTTTCTCAGTCCTCAACCACTGGGGATCGCATAGCAACTTAACACTTGACATCTCGGTCTATTCGCCTAGCGACTCGGAGCATTGGTTCCCACATCTTACCTTTGAGCCTGATATTCCATGGAGCACGGGAGGTCATAACCAAGTAGTTGAGCAAGCGGGCCGGGCCATAGCGGCCGATAATCAACATGGCTCTAACAACGTGACTGGGGCCGCCATTAACAGAGTCTTCGGCGAGATTATGAATCCGGATCATGTTATTTTTCTTCCATTCGCCAATGACGAGCAAGAGGATGAATGGTGGCAGCGACTGCCCTTGGTCCCAGCGGTTACCAGCGTGTTATTACGTCAACAAAGTCGACGGCGTTGGAAGCCTCGGGCGCTTGCTCAGATGCTCTCTCGGTTGCCAATGCTTCGAGAGCTCCATTATGAGCCATGGAGGGAATGGTGTAATGAAGTACAGGATTCTAGAGACGAATGTAAGCAATTTTTGATTCTTACTGACAAGGACAGTATACTGCGTGTATTGTATTATACTGTCTGGCGGTGTTGCTGTTACCGACGTTTACCTTTGGTATAGCCCATCTCAAACTTCTCGAGTACCTTTCCTTTACAGGATTAAAACACCTGACAGTCTTCGAAAACTTCAACGAGAAGTATGCAGAAACCTGATACGTTCAAGATCAACCGGACGCCAAGCACAGCCCTTGGTCGATCCCTTTCGAAAGCCAGTCTCAATTTTGAATCTCTAACAGGGTCATTCATGGTGGACGCTTGCGACTTCTTCAACGCTCATGATCAATCTTCGCAGGAGTGGCCCAACCTGACGCTGTTGGTTCTCACTTCGCAACTGTTGACGCCTCAACAGAGCCCCACAGACATCATGGATATGCTTCAACGAGCAGGATTGGCGGCTACTCGTATGCCAAAGCTCAGGACTATGGAAATATGGAACGGTCGAGATAAACTCGCAGCTCTTTTCAGATATGAGCTGCTTCAAGAACAACGATGTGCTGTTATCACATGGAAAGGTACTTGGGACCTCATCTTGCAGCCTTCAGTCGTCGAGACCTGGGGAGCTGTCACTACTAGGCGTGGAGGCTTTAGGCTTGATGTTGTATACGAAATGCTTGACAGCGATACTATTCGGTCTCACGGCGACGCAATGGTTGAATTGAAGGTTTCAGAGCGAGTAGTCCGGCCCATTTCATTGGAGCAGATACGGATAGATTGCGATGCTCCTTGGAGGCGAACCCGACCATACCTCGAGAATGGGCTTTGGATGAACTTCAACTGATTGTATGCCATTCAAAATCTTTGCAGTATCTCTAGATAGGACCAGTAATAAATAAAAGAAGTTTTGGACATCATGCTTCCCGTAATGATATTCTGTGCTAATGTATACATGTAGGCGGTCGTCTTCATTTGCGATAGAAGGCGTACAGAGCGCAGAAACGAGTTGTCTCCCGCCTTTGTGGAACATTATTAGGCGAGACATTCGATTCGTTCTCATAGCATGTAGGAAAAGAGAATACATCTAAGCAATATTCGAAGCGTTTGGCAGGTATCTTATGGGCGGAACGGACGTTCGGACTGTTAGCGATCTGTGTGGCGCCTTGGAACAAACCATCATTAGCTGTTTATTCAACCTGTCCATCCAACAATTAGCCTGCCCGGCTAGCTCAATCGGTAGAGCGTGAGACTCTTATGAGTTACACATTCTGTATACAATCTCAAGGTTGCGGGTTCGACCCCCGCGTTGGGCTTTTCCTATATTTCCAAAAATGATTGGTTTCTTTTTTTGCTTTCCTTCAAACTTTGTTTTAAGAGGACAACTCTATCCTTTGTTCTTTTTGCAACATGGCTGATTCATATATGTGTTCACTTGGGACATGAAATCCGTTGATCTACAGCTATAAATAGAGATGATACGGTTATAGGATAGAAGACTACTGATGCAGACATTGAAGATATAGTACAAGATAGTAATTACGAGTTTGCATGGGAGAAGAGAGAAAAATATGAAGGCTGATAAGATTTAGGGTAGGTGAATCCTGGGGATAGATGGTTTTCACTCTGAGGGGTGGAAAAGGAATTCCAGGCAGCAGATAAAAAAGCTAAATTGCCGAAGATCTCTATCTACAATACATTTCCAAAATCAACATGACATATGAGTAGAACTCATAAAGTATATTCGGTTATACCAAGTCATACCATGTCATGTACAAAGTTGCAGTCTCACTGAATATTTCGCCCACCATCTGGTAGACTCCAAGCAAATGCTTCTAGGCTTGCCAACCCACAAGGCCTAATAGCTGCAAGAACTGCGATGAAATGCTCATAAGAGTGATAGTCTGTTATAAGTGATATTGATAGCGTGATGAATTGCCTGATGCGGGAATTTCCCGAGAAATTCTAGGCCCGGTGGGTTCGTATTTGCAGCAAGCGGAACTTGGTAGCCAGTCATGAGATGCTCCAGCATGAAGCTTCTTCCGCATCACCCACTAACTTTTTTTCTCCCCTGCGGCCCCAGGTACCTGTGACGGCCTAGTCAAAGGAAAAAAAAAACTTATAAGGTTATCATTTCGAGCTTAGAGCTGTCTGCTGGGCCAATCAGCAGACCGTGTGGGAGCCCAATGGAGGGCTTGGAGTGCAATGACTGGTCTCGGTTAGCCTGGAGCTTCCCGACGTCATGTTTCTCAAAACGGTACCGGCCAGGTACAGGCAGCTGCAAGCACTCTGCAAGGTGTAAAGTACCTATCATCAGGTACCAAATCTCACAAGTTTCTGCTGATACTGTTAGAATAAACGTCTCTTCCGGCATACTGTAGGTAAAGAAACAAATCAGATATCCCCATGGCTTCGTCCAAATGATTGCTGCCTCCCGCCTACGGCTGCTGTCCGTCGCGCAGCGCCAGAGCCGGAATCAGATCCAGAACCACATTCTTGGGCTCAAGTCGGTGAAAAGTGCGCCAAAAATTTTCACCCCACCAGACTCAAGCCCAGCTACGGCTTGTCGCGAGTTAGGCGCTCGGCTCCCTGCGTCTGGGCTCCCTAACTTTTCTCGCCCGCCGTCACTCTCTTTTCTTTCTTCTCCTTTCTCTTCTTCTCCTTCATTGATACCCCGTGTTTTATCCTCACGAGTCCTTCACACCACAGCCAAAATGTCCAACGAAATTGTCCACCCCACCATCCAAGGTAGGTTTGCTGCCGAAGCCCATCCTCACCTTGTGTGCTTATACCCCGCTGCTCTGGAAATTTTTTTGTTCCAATTGCCCCTCCATGGCCGTGTTCATGGATGGCGGGGCATGACGTTGAAAGCATCGGCACATGCTTCTGCAACTCCATTGAATACTGTTATTTGATGTATAAGAGGAGCAGAAGCTGTGACATGCTGGATGTGCCTTGAGACAGCTAGGGGAGACTGTTTTGTTGATTCTAGATGCTGCGATAAGAAATCGTGATAAGAAAAAAAAAGTCAGCGTGGATTCTCCAATTGAGCTGGAGGGGAAACGCCAATATGAAAAGCCAGCCTCGATCAAGCTGTGTTTTTGATATTGCACTCATTGATCATTACTACCGTTGCGCATATACATGCTAACAGCTCCAACACTAGATGGCTGGTTCCGCGAAATCTCCAACATGTGGCCCGGCCAGGCCATGACCCTCAAGGTCGAAAAGGTCCTGCACCACGAGAAGAGCCAGTACCAGGACGTGCTCATCTTCAAGTCCACCGACTACGGCAACGTCCTCGTCCTCGACAACGTCATCCAGGCCACCGAGCGCGACGAGTTCTCCTACCAGGAGATGATTACCCACCTCGCCATGAACTCCCACCCCAACCCCAAGAAGGTCCTCGTCATCGGCGGCGGTGACGGCGGCGTCCTCCGCGAGGTTGTCAAGCACGACTGCGTCGAGGAGGCTATCCTCTGCGACATTGACGAGGCCGTCATCCGCCTGTCCAAGCAGTTCCTCCCCCACATGTCCGTCGGCTTCGACCACCCCAAGTCCAAGACCCACGTCGGCGACGGCTTCAAGTTCCTGGACGACTACAAGAACACCTTCGACGTCATCATCACCGACTCTTCTGACCCCGAGGGTCCCGCCGAGAGCCTCTTCAAGAAGCCCTACTTCCAGCTTCTCCACGACGCCCTCCGCGAGGGCGGTGTCATCACTACCCAAGGTTGTATGTCTCTTTTTTCTTCGAGAAGGCGTGTAGCCCCTGTAGGGTTTTGGCCGGCATGCTAGAGCGACCCGTTCTGGTTTCCTGCATTTTGCAATTTTTCCTTTTGCATTTTGGAACCAGCTTTGGTGACTGCATCCATACTCCGACTCCCTAGGGGCTGCCAGAGCTAGTGCTGCTTTCTCACGAGGGCCGCTCGGTAGTTCCGAGTACAGCCGCTTATTATGAAAGATCATAGGGCAGAACATTCATTGTTCCGCTAGAGCGTCAGCTCCCTATGCATTTTGCTTTTTTTTTCCATCGTTATTACACCCAGTCGATAACTAACTCGTGTAATTCCGTACAGCTGAGAACCAATGGCTCCACCTTCCTCTCATCACCCAGCTGAAGAAGGACTGCAAGGAGATCTTCCCCGTCGCCGAGTACGCCTACACCACCATCCCCACCTACCCCTCCGGCCAGATCGGCTTCATGGTCTGCTGCAAGGACGCCAACCGCAACGTCCGCGTTCCCCTGCGCAGCTGGACCCCCGAGGAGGAGGAGCAGAAGTGCCGCTACTACAACGCCGAGATCCACAAGGCCAGCTTCATCCTGCCCACCTTTGCTAAGAAGGCTCTGGAGTAAGGGAAGTTGACATGGACGAGATAAAGAGTGTTGGAAAAGAAAATGAAACATGAAGGAATATTCATTTGATGAGCAATGGCATTAGCGCAGAAGGATAAAAAAAGTTGGACTCAAAAGGACGTGAAAAGGAATAAGGGATTCATAGAGTAATGTGCTCTAACCGTAGAGAGAAGATGAAAATAAAGATCTAATAGATCGCTTTTCTCATGATAACAAACGTCTTGTTAGTTTAGCTACAGTGCATGAACATCGTGACAACTGGCTTTGTAATTGAATCATCATGTCTTGAATGAATAAATCGACGCACAGTCTTTGGCTCAATTGTATTATCATAAATTTTTGTCTTGTTCTATCTTGATTTACTTTTTATGCTTATTGATGCCTTTACAGCTTATCAAACGAAATCTGTCCCTGACTAACATCAGGATACACGTCAAATCTCCGCTGAGTATTCAACGGGATATTCTTCCGCGCCTCAGCGATATCCTCGCCCACCAGCTCTGCCTGGACAGTAGTCTCATTCTCATCCGCCTCAACCAAAATCTTAGCCATGGGGTTCACAATCAAGCTGTGTCCCCAAGCGTTATAGCTGGCGCTCATGTCTCTAGCGGGACTGCAAAAGGCCACATAGATCTGGTTATCCACAGCACGGCCCTGAGCCAGCAGACGCCAGTGCAAGTTGCCAGTGGTGAGGTTGAAAGCTCCGGGATAAATAAGGGCGAAAGCACCGCGGCGGGCAGCAATGGTGGCCAGTTCGGGGAAGCGCACGTCGTAGCAGATGGCGATGCCAATCTTGCCGTACTCGGGCAGGTCGACGAGTGTCACCTTGTTGCCAGCACTGAGAACCTCGGACTCCTTAAAGGTGATCTTGCCGGGGATGTCAATGTCAAAGAGGTGCGTCTTGCGGTGGGTGGCCAGCAGCTTGCCGTCAGGCCCAAAGGTCAAGCTCGTGTTGTAGTACTTTTTGGTCTCGGGCTCGAGCTCGGGGATGGAGCCGCCGACGAGGTAGATGCTGTTCTCGGCGGCCATGGCGGACAATGCGTGGAACGAAGGCGACTGTTCCTTTGTGGGCGGCGAGGGGAGCAACGTCTCGGCGTAGTTGGGGAAGTAGTTGGTTCCGTAGGGAGAGTTGAAGCATTCGGGCAGGACAACGAGCTTGGAGCCGGACTGGGCGGCCTCGGCTACCTTTTCGGCGGCATGCTTGAGGTTGGCGTCCTTGTCAGCGCCAGAGGCCAGCTGGATGCAGGAGATTTTGATGGGCTTTTTGAGCACTGAAGCTGGAGCTGAGGACGACATTTTACGAAAGGCTGTAGAGCGAAGGAGGGGTGCGAGGGCTGTAGTTGGCTTGGACAGGTATCTGGCGCTTTGCAAGAGTGAGATTGACTTGAAAAGCATTCGCATGGCGGAGAAGCATGTGTAGTGAGCGGGGAGAGAAGGACGAAAATTGGCTTATATGAGGTAAGATACTAAGAGCTTCCGGTTGACGCCCGATGGCGATGCCGGCGCTTCGGAGCTGCTGCTGCTACTTTGAGCCTAGATGTTTGCGGAGAGCTGAGGAGCCACATACTGTAAGTCTAGTATACTTTTGTTTTACCGGCGCCATGCGGACATGAGCGTGTTCTTGTACATGCATCATGCACGTCATTTGGAGAGCGTACGGCCTAGAACAAAGAACGAAAACACTGCAAAAAACGAATATAGAGAAGAGAACAGACTGCACAGCGATTTCGTCACAAAAAAAGAGCAAAAAAAGAAAAGAACCAATTTAGCAATTGCACGTTTCGATCGTGCGACCTCCGGGTTATGAGCCCGGCGCGCTTCCACTGCGCCAAATTGCTTTTTCTTGGTGATATTGCGTCGTGGTATGACTCATTATATAGCCCTTTCTCATGATGAAGTGGATACGCCTGCGAATGTTAAATGGTGATTGTCCTTATCGCGTAGAGTGAGACGAGTGAGACCCCGAGCGTCTTATCAGCATGTGCTTGAGTCGGAGGATATGAGTGAGTGACAAATAAGACAGAGAGCAGTGGGCTAATCGGCTGGTGGTTGCCTCAAGCTGTGCGGTCATTGGAGGCGATGCAAGGGCGAAGCGTCATGCAGAGCGGTGATGTGGTTTGCGATGAGATGTCGCATTCGTCATGCAAAATGGTTAGAAGGAGAGGCCACCTATAAAGGTAGCTGAGACTTTTTGATAGTCGGTGGCTAACAGAGATACTTGGTAAATAGCGCTGCTGATGTTAAGCGACTAGCTTGCGGAACGTTCCCTCTTTGCGCTGCCTTGCTTTCCCACCAGGGATCGAGTACCTTGCGATCGGCCACAGCCTCAATCTGGCCAGGCAGCGCTGGTTGGTTCTTCATCTCCTTTCACCTCATTGCTCATTCCCCATCTCAACACCTGTTCTTTTTGGTTCCTGAGGAAATAGTCTGCGATACGGATTTTTCTTTTTCTTTTTGAGTGTGCTCAGCCATGACTCGGGTCTACGTCTACACAACTGGCCTGGTGGCCTTTATTGCCGGTACGTCATCGAAATCAACATTGCGCCCCAAACAATTGCAGCTACCACCACCGCATACCACGAGCTTTGGGGTTGCGATGGATTTATGCCAAGCGCAAAGAAAAATGGAACTAACTGTGCCGGTATAGCCACGGCCATGATTGTCGCCTCCATCACAGAGCCCAATTGGGTTTCGTACTCTGTGACCACGACCGCTGGCGAGACGCTCGAGAAGCACATCGGCCTGCACAAGAGCTGCTCCAGCCTCGACGATCCGCACTGTCGCGATTTCCCCTCCAAAGAGCTCTGTCAGTATGGCGAGCGGTACTTTTGCTCCATGTGGCGGACCGTCGGCTTCATGGCCTCGTTTACGATTATCCTGTGTCTCGCTAGCTTGATCGCCTTTGCGCTCGTCATGAACGGTGGAAAGTACAGGCGCGAGACGGGCTGGCCTTTTGTCTCTGCCCTGTTGACGCTGGTTTCTGCTGTCGAGTTCATCATCATCTCCATAGTGGTAGGTCTAATCTCAGAAACTGACAGAGATAAGCTTTCAAGACTGACTGGTGTTGCACAGGCGTACTTGTATGACCACGACGACCAGTTTACCGTTCCGGGATGGAATCTCGATGTTTCGTGGTACCTTGGCACTGTTAGTGCTGGCATCTCCTTGGTCATCGCGGCTGGTCTTGCGGCGTCTGCCTACTTACTCCCGCCTGAAGAGGGCTACGAATTTCTCGATGATCCGCTTAATGCTTGATTCTTTCCGCAGTGCTTTTGAAAGCGATGCAAAGGCTATGCTTTACGACTTCTTAGCTGTGTCCACCTGGCGCGTTTGATTCTTCTCATGACTTTCGATTCTCTTTTTCCAATTTTTTTTAGTGAAACTGCGCATTTGGTATATTGTCTGGCGTTCTGGGAGTTTGTACACAGTTGTCAGTGTATACATAAACGACTTGTTTTTGGAAGCTATACGCAAATGGCGCTATTCATATGTCAAGCCATCGACTTTTGTTTCCAGGCTTGCTGTACGCGATGTACAGCCATATCATAGTCAATTCTTCATATATATCATGAAATGACGAAACCACCAATTCTCGATGCTTATAAGTACTTTTAATACACACAAAAAAAAAACGTGATTTGTACCGAGTGAAATCGTCCTAGGCCGTCGGCGGAGTCCGACTTTCAGGGAGCGAACCGATTGACACGAGGCGGCTGGTGGCGGGGTTGATGGCAAAACATGGAGTAAGACCAAGATCACCCCACTTAGAGAAGAGAGAAGGCTACATTCATTATCAAAAGTTCGCCGATAGGCCGTAAGACGCACCTGAACTAGTTTCCCCAGATTTCAATGTAATTCTCTAATCTCTAATCTCTAATCTCTCATCCCTTCTTATTTCATATTGTCTTCGTTCAAGAAACAAGCTCCAGCCTTCACCATGGCCGAATCAGTAGCTCCCGGCCTCACTCCCGAGCAGCTCTCATCCTTCAACAAGGACGGCTACCTCATCATCCAAAATGCCCTCCGCCCCGAAACCGTCACCTCTCTCCTAACAGAGACTCACAGCCTGCTGGAGAACTTCTCCCTCAAGGACCACCCCCTCACGCGCTTCTCCACCATCGACAAGTCCGACCATGTCGGCGACGACTACTTCCTCTCGTCGGGGGACAAGGTCCGCTTCTTCTTCGAGGAGGACGCCTTTGACGAGGCGGGCAACCTGACGAAGCCAAAGGAGCGCGCCGTCAACAAGATTGGACATTACCTGCACGCTCTATCACCGCCGTTTGCTCGTCTTATTGATTCAAAGGCCACTAGTAGCTCAGGCGAGGTCAGCCCTGCGGCGGTGGCGAGGGACCTCGGCTTCAAGGACGCCAGATGTCTGCAGAGCATGGTCATCTGCAAGCAGCCCGAGATTGGCGGTGCCGTGCCGCCGCACCAGGACTCGACTTTCTTGTACACCAGCGCGCCGTCAGCCGTGGGTTTCTGGTACGCGCTGGAGGATGCCACGCTGGAGAATGGGTGCTTGAGCTTTTTGCCCGGGTCGCATCGCTGGGCGCCGATTGAGAAGAGGCTGGTGCGCAAGGCGGGCGGCGCGGGGACGGAGGTTGTGGACAATGATGGGCTGAAGTTTCCTCCGGGGGAGGAGTATGGAAGTGATGACAAGGGCGGGGAGTATGTCCCTGGGGAAGTGAAGGCGGGAGATTTGGTGCTGATTCATGGCAACACGCTGCATAAGAGCGGGAGGAATACGAGCCAGAAGGGGAGAATCATTTATACGTTTCATGTTATTGAGGGAGAGGGCAGGGAGTATGATGAGAGGAATTGGCTGCAGCCGCCGAGGGAAGGGTTCACCAAATTGTTTGTCTAAGTCTACTGGTCAAGGGCAGGAAGAATGTTCAAAGGGAAAAGTTCGTATGAATAAGAGGTCACTACTTTTCTTTCATCTCCTCCTCATGTCTTCAGGAAATCTATCCGTCGCTCATGCGCTCTAATGGTATAGTACATACATGTATATACAGGTCCTCCAAAAGAAATGAAGAATAAATGGTCATCCCCTTCTATATATACTTGGGAAAAAAAAGCCCTCCAAAACTTGGGAATCTCCGCAGGTATCATACAATATCTCCCCACGTGGCGACTACATATAGTAGTCTACGTATGATGACCGATTTAATAAAACAAACAACAAAAAAAAAATCGTAACGGTGGATGATAGAAAATACGAACTCCTGACGGCTCGCAAGCCCAAGGAGAACAGCACGAGATTAGGAGAGAGTAGATCGTGGCTCTTCTTACTCTTCATCTGAGCTCTCATCGTCCGAGTCAGACTCGCCTTCTGATGAAGACGAAGACGAAGAGGATGATGATTCGCTGCTGGAAGACTCGTTGCCCTTATCAGCCTCCTTGCCATCATCAGAGTCTGAATCAGAATCAGAGTCGTCTGAAGAGCTGCTGCTGCTGTCGTCCGAGTCGCTCTCTGATTCCGAGGAGCTGCTGTCGTCCACAGTGGTACGCAGCTTTCTCTTGCGCTTGCTGGGCCCCTCCTTTATTTTCACCTGGTTATCACCCTCGGTAGCCTTGGTCGTGTTGCTTTCGGCAATGCTCACTCCGGAAGAGGTTGTTGCCGTGGTGGTATGGCTGGCATCCGACTCCTCGCCCTCGGACAAATGGTCCAGAACCAGCTCTGCGCGCATTCGCTTGATCACACGCCTGATTACATCGTCGACATCCTCTGACGACGTCCGGTATTCGGCCTCATGGAAGGTCTTCCTCTTCTGCCCCGCCTGTGAATGAAGCAATTGCGCGAGCAGCTGGTCGTATCTTAACTGCTTCTCCGGGAGGTTCACTGAGCCTTCCGGGAAGCCTGCGGCTCCTTCTGTGCTGTCCTTGGTTCGGATTTCCATTGCGGTTTCTTGTAGTCTCGTGCGAACAAAGCCCTTGAGGTCGCGGATATATAGATAAAAGGTATCAATATTGGCCGAAGGGAAGAGGACGGGGTCGAATGCGTGCTTGATGAGGATGGTCTGGTAGTTCTTGTTAAACTTCCACGAGGCCCGAGCAGACTTCCACTGGCTCAAATACTCGAGCGCAGGCTTGATATCCGAAGGGGCAGCAGCATTGGGATTAGTCTTCTTCTTGCCAGGGATTTTTGCTTTCTTGGGAGGTGGTTTGTCGACGGGCCCCTTGGCATCGATTCCACTTTTTGTGGGCGTCTCCCCAAACGAAACCGACTTTCTCTTCTTCAGCTGAGGGTTAGAAGCTGCAGGATGCGAGTCGTTCCGAGACTTTTTCAATGCCGACAGAGGTTCGCCCGCCGGCGGGGCTTCGGGCTTCCGCTTGGACGGTGTCTGCTGGGTCCTGCTACTGCTTGGATGCCCAACCTGCAGGGTTTCATTTGCTGGTTCGGCTGCGGAAGACTGCTTGAGCTTCAGGCCCAATCTCTTCCAGGCTGGCGCACGAGCCGACGCTCCGTCGCCCGAAGAAATCATGCTGCGTGGAATGTGGTAGAAACCCCCCTATTGTGGTGATTCGAAGCTGGTAGAACGAGAGGCGCAAACAATCGTCGATTGGGCTCTGATCGCGTGTGGTTGTAGAGCCGCGCTCTTTGTAATAGAGAAGACTTCACAGAAGACGGTGGTCTCGGGAGGTTGAAGGGACAACTCAGAAGAAAAACGAGCCAATGCAGGTCCCCAGTTGATTGCCGCAAATCATCAATTGAAAGCTAATTGATATCCTCAAAAAATTGTTTGCGCGAATGATCTCTTATTTAATTCTGCTGGGCGCTCGCTGATAAGATGCCCCGCCAGTTTTTTTTTCTAAAGCTCCACTGCATATCGGTGACCGCGTGCAGGGTGGATGCTCCAGCGTTTCTCTCGAATGGCGCCTCAGGCTCCGAGATTACGTAACGCTGCACCTTCAGCCTTTCCAGCTAAGCTGCCAGTGACTTGTGCTCTAGGCAAGCTGTGCTAACGCGTACGGCTCTGATGAAGCTACCGGCAGCCCATATTGACAATCGACTTTGACATTCGTAATTCCCACCCTTCGGACCCAGACAATAGCAGGCTCGAGCAGCTGCCGTGAATATATCGTTTTGAGACTGCCCTCGATAGGGCCAACATTGCCGTCACCATGTCTGGTAAGCTAGGCTACATCATAGCTATCCCCGCCATCATCGTCCCTCCCGCATACTGACTTGCAACGCCCTTAGCCAGCGCATACGACCGACATATCACCATCTTCGCCGACAATGGTCGCCTGTACCAAGTCGGTAAGTTCATAGCCTCGAATAAGGAGACCGATTCGAACGCTGGAGTCGAGAGCCACCGCCTGCATCTTCTCGCCCAGCCCGAGCCGACCAAGCTGACCTCTCCTACCCAGAATATGCCTTCAAGGCAATCACAGCCGCAAACATCATGTCTGTAGGCCTGCGAGGCAAGGACTGCGCCGTCGTCTTGTCACAGAAGAAAGTTCCCGTGGGTATTGGCATTGCCGAAATGCTGCCTAACATTGACTGATCTCTCGGGCGCAGGATAAGCTCATCGACCCCTCATCTGTCTCTCACATCTTCCAAATTTCCCCCTCCGTCGGATGCGTCATCACAGGCTCTATTGCCGACGCCAGAGCCTTCTCCCAGCGTGCCCAGGGAGAAGCTGCAGAGTTCCGGTACAAATATGGCTACGAGATGCCAGCTGATGTCCTGGCCAAGCGACTGGCCAACATCAGCCAAGTGTACACCCAGCGTGTAAGGACATCCTGTCTCTATGAGATGGAGTTTTGGATCCATGTAACTGATTCCGTTGTACTAGGCTTACATGCGACCTTACGGTGTTGCTACCACCATTATCAGCCTGGACGACGAGCGGGGACCCCAACTCTTCAAGTGTGATCCGGCTGGGTACTTTATTGGTTACAAGGGCACTGCCGCAGGCCCCAAACAACAGGAGGCTATGAACCATCTGGAAAAGAAGCTGCGGAACAAGGAGCACGCTGAAGGATCATGGGAAGAGGTTGTTGAGCTGGCCATCACAACACTGAGCACGGTTCTCAGCATGGACTTCAAGAAGGGAGAGATTGAGATTGGCATTGTTGGCGGCCCTCGAACGGACGGCAAAGAGGGTACGGACCCGGGTTTTAGAAAGCTCACCGAGGACGAGATTGACGAGAGATTACAAGCCATTGCCGAGAAGGACTAGTAAACGTATAGATGGGTTAATGAAGCAACGTTAGAGACGTCATTGTCTACCGAATGACTTGGAGCATTGAGTAGCCTCTTGAAGGCCATGTCGCTGGAGCCTTGATTGGAATCTTACCTGTAGCAGTAATGTCAATGCTCTCTAAGAGCCGGCGACTCATATTGTTATCTTACTTTACAGTGAGTGCCCAGGCAGTCCTTAGATTCATTGAAAGGTTGCCTATGAAGGCAGAAGGCAGACCTGAGGCAGCGGTTGATCTTCATAGCATAGAATGAACGATTGGTGCGGCTTACTCCTAGGATAAGGATGCTCTATTCGTACATAGTACTTGTGCCGCGAAGTAAAGCAGTACCGGTGAAGAGCCCATAAGCTATGCAGTCTACATCATACTAATCAAGGATAGTGGAATCCAGGCAGCCGGTAAAGGAGAAGCTCAGGTGACGGGCGCTTGAGCCCACATGCTGACAATTAAACAGTTAAGCCATCTGGGGAAGTGCTTTGTACTTGTACTCCATACCTTGGAAAACCATTGCCATATTGATTCTGTAAGGGAGGATTATGAAAAGTGGGCAATTTCTCCGTAGCCTCTACTTCCAGGGGCTGTCATTAGCTGGTGGACGTTGAAAAGGGAAGATGAGGTTGTCATTTTGGATTTGACAAGGCCCCGCAGGTGGATGCATGGGTGAACAGGGGCGTTTGGTTATCGAGGACTTTAGGCGCCAACCAATTCGTCGGATCGAGGAGCATTGATGGCATTTTATGTGCTAAAACCGTTAGGCAGCTAAGAATTGGACTAGAAATGTCTGGTAAAGTAGGTGCCTGCCGGGTGCCTGTAGATTAATCACCACCGCTCCATAACGGCTAAGTGTATGCATCTTTGGGCGAGACTTAGCGGTGCCTGAGCCGCACAGGGTTTGCACAGAAAAACTACATAAACAGCTGCAAATACGAGGCACAGAAGAGCAGCAGAGACAAAAATAAGACAGAGATCGCACCTCAGAGCAGAGATTACCCCTAATTACAAGACCACAGCCCCTAAACCAGGTAGCACAGCTGGCCACAGAATTTCCCCTTGGAAATTGTCTTGCGGTCGAGCTGGGGACGGCACAATTTGGCAGCTCCCAGTCAGGACTAGCGCCATAGCCCTCTGCAACTTGCAGAGCTAGACCGGATCATCCCGCCGCAGCCTTTGCCCGAAGCGGTACTAATATTTCTTATTTTTTCATTGTTGATTTTGCGCCTGCCTGCCGCGCCGACTGTCCACCTCATCCAGCCGGTTTTTTTTTCTTATTACCAACTCGCCCTCCCTTCTTTCTTTTCCCTCTCTACACCTTTCACCTCCTACATTTCCTCGCATTCGAAGTTACGGCACACTCGATTCTTCCTATTTCCTTTTAATACAAATCTTTTGTTTAGCTTCATCCGTCAGTCTGCAAAATGCGTGAGATTGTGAGTTTGTTTTGACGCCTCTCCTCCCCCCCCACTATCAGAGCTGTGGAAGCTTTCCTCACGCGCGCCCGCTGCTCGTCAGTTGCTGCAGAGCTCCCAACTCGGCAGTCTGCATGGACGATCAATATGGCCATACCTTTTTGATGTGAATACAAACTGACATATGATTTTTCTTCGACGCGCAGGTTCACCTCCAGACCGGTCAGTGTGTAAGTACTCTGCTCTTTTGCCCCTCCTTGAGGCGCTACCTCCCCGCACAAAACGCGACATCGCGATGCTAACAATTTGCGCAGGGTAACCAAGTTGGTTCTGCCTTCTGGTATGTTTTCCTTCGAAAAACAGCAAAAATCCTCGGCTCCACGCGTTTTGGCGAATCGCATACTCATTTATACTTCTAGGCAGACCATCTCTGGCGAGCACGGCCTTGACTCCAGCGGTGTTTATGGTGGTACTTCCGACCAGCAGCTCGACCGTTTGAACGTCTACTTCAACGAGGTGTGTAGTTTTTACTTACCAGCGCCCTGCTTGACTACGATTTCAGCCTAGACTGTGGAATCTAATGTCTTTTGTTTATCATAGGCCTCCAACAACAAATATGTTCCCCGTGCTGTTCTCGTCGATCTCGAGCCCGGTACCATGGATGCCGTTCGCTCTGGCCCCTTTGGCCAGCTGTTCCGCCCCGATAACTTTGTCTTTGGCCAGTCCGGTGCTGGTAACAACTGGGCAAAGGGTCACTATACTGAGGGTGCTGAGCTGGTTGACCAAGTTCTCGATGTCGTCCGTCGCGAGGCTGAGAACTGTGAGTGTCTTCAGGGCTTCCAGATTACGCACTCCCTGGGTGGTGGTACCGGTTCCGGTATGGGTACCTTATTGATCTCCAAGATTCGTGAGGAGTTCCCCGATCGTATGATGGCCACATTTTCCGTCGTTCCTTCGCCCAAGGTCTCCGATACCGTCGTCGAGCCTTACAACGCCACCCTGTCTATGCACCAGCTGGTTGAAAACTCCGACGAGACGTTCTGTATCGACAACGAAGCCCTGTACGATATCTGCATGAGGACCCTTAAGCTGTCTAACCCGTCATACGGCGATCTGAACCATCTGGTTTCTGCTGTCATGTCTGGTGTCTCTACATCTCTCCGATTCCCTGGCCAGCTGAACTCCGACCTTCGTAAGCTCGCCGTCAACATGGTGCCGTTCCCTCGTCTGCATTTCTTCATGGTCGGCTTTGCGCCCCTGACTAGCCCTGGCGCCCATTCTTTCCGCGCCGTTACTGTTCCCGAATTGACCCAGCAGATGCTGGATCCCAAGAACATGATGGCTGCCTCCGATTTCCGCAACGGCCGTTATCTGACCTGCTCCACCATCTTCCGTGGCAAGGTTGCCATGAAGGAGGTCGAGGACCAGATGCGCACCGTCCAGAACAAGAACTCTGCCTACTTTGTGGAGTGGATTCCCAACAACATCCAAACCGCCCTGTGCTCTATCCCCCCTAAGGGCCTCAAGATTTCTTCCACCTTTGTCGGTAACTCTACCGCTATTCAGGAAATTTTCCGTCGTGTTGGTGAACAATTCTCTGCCATGTTCCGCCGCAAGGCTTTCTTGCATTGGTACACTAGTGAGGGTATGGACGAGATGGAATTCACTGAGGCTGAGTCCAACATGAACGATCTTGTCTCCGAGTACCAGCAGTACCAGGATGCCTCAGCCGACGATGGCGAGGAGTACGAGGAGGATGCTCCTATGGAGGAGTAAATGTCTTGACATTGATATTGCTTACACCTTTGGTGATTGGGGATGGAAAAATTCTTTGACTTCACTGGGGTTAATTGTTAGATGCAAGCCCCCTTTTTTTACGATCAAGCTATACTGTTTTAAATAGGCTCTTCAATAATACCTCTGGGCTCAAATCATGAGTAACCGTGACTTTTGGTTTGTGTATATCTCATAGACATAAATTTTTGCAGATCTGGCCACTTGTGACTCTAGTTGTTGTTCAGCATTTTAATTCTAAGAACTGCGTTTCGCAGCCAGCATGGAGTAAATTGTGCGGAACTCAGAGGTGAAAAAAAAAAAAAAAATATGTTCTCTAACTGCTGACAATATGAGGATAGTTAGTCTGCTAGACGTTGAAGCTGGAACGAATGCTGACCTTTGCCTTTCATGAAGAAGCGTATAATCTCTATTAGTAACCTTGAAGCAAGGTTGACCATATTGGCCCCAACCACTATATAAATATGACCGTGTTACTACAAGAAACTATATTGAATTGAGATATTGCAAACTAGAGTACATCTACTTGTGCAATTGTAGTGATTTTATTCAATCTCGATTGACTTCTGATTGACGAGCGATAGCACTGATCTTCCGCTTGATGACTCTCTCAAGTCCACAGATAGTTGGAGCATGTTCGAAAGGTGGGTAGCTAGCGACAGCATATCGCGAGGAAACGGTTGAGACTGCAGTGAGCCGAGTACGCACGTATGTAGGCACTCTGGGCGGGTAATGTGTACATCGGATTATGAATGTCGATCAACCATACTCAGCAAAGTAATTATAGATTGGAGCACTTGAAGCACTTGGAATATTGCCATGCGGCACTTCCATGTGCGGTGGGAATAAAATTGAGCTAAAAGGGAGTTGAGACTGTGGATGTGCCAATTTTTTTTTTGAATGCAGTACATTATCCTAAAATCAGGGAGCAAGGAGTGTACATGTGTATGTGCGACGAAAATGATGAACAGAGGACAACCTTTTGTACAACATTTGGCTTACAAGTGTCGCAAAACACCTCGCGGTTCAGAAGCAACAAGTACCCAGCCAGGGCAATACCGAACTCGAGCTGTTCCCATGGCATCCAGAGTCATAATATAAGTAAGGATATGTGTTGTATAGGTATTTATTGGTAAGAGACAGGAGGAGAAAGAGTGTTGCTTTGTAGGCGGCTACTACATGGGGTATGACTTCTCAAGTCACGACTGAGAACAACACTTGGCGATTTCTTCATAATGCCATCGTCTTCGCCCTTCTTTGCTTCGGCTTGCGCGGCCCGTGGATCTGCGTTAAGCGCCCTGAAGAGAGATAGGATAGCGACGGCATTTCTTTTTCTTACCGTTGATGTCATTACCCTTTCGAACCTGTTTGAGCTGGGAACGGCTGGCAATTTATATCGTGTAATAGCGTAGGATGGACATATATATGAATGTTTTTCTTTGGTGTGGCGTTGGAAAATTGAGCAAGGTGACCAGCGCCATAACTGAGACAGTCAGTTATTTCTCACAGGGGGGAGGGGTATAAGGCAACCGGTTGTTTTCTTTTGGGGGGCGTATTCGCCTAATACCGTTGTTTTCCACTCTTCTGCAGTCAGCCATGGGTTCGCCATTGTGCAAGATCCGAGCTGTGTGGGGGAAGAAAACAAGGCAGTCGCCCTGTGAAGTGTTTGTGGCATGTGATGAGGGCTGTTATGGAGTGTCATTGGCCAGAGCTGGGGGTTTCCATCACGGTGGCGTTTATACGAGGGCGTATTGCTGGTCCTAATATGGCATAGGTAGGTGGAAAGCGCCGAGCAGGAGACAGAGACGTGTGATGCTAGACAAAGCAGTAGTTCGTTGGTATGATAGTGTAGGGCTGTGAGGCAAAGAGTCATCATGCCGGATAGAGGGAAGAGAGCGAGGCAAGAGTTCTCTGATGTCGGCACATTTGCTGGATTGCTTCGGCCCTACGCTGTCATTCGGTATGCCAGCCAGCTCTTGGGTCTAGATTCGGTGACGCTGCTGAGGACGTGATCTGAGCTAGAGACGAAGACGGTATGAAGATTCGTCAGATTGGCGACATTTGGTGGCCAAGATTCCTAAATCTCCACGGCTCGGCATCCGACGCTGTCTGCGAAATGCTGACTTGGTTGCATCCTCTTGACATGGGAGCCTGTCGTGCTGAAGTCGAGGGTATAATGGCCATTATTAATTATTCCTCCTTCCAATGTCTTCTCCTTAGGAAGAGCCTCACGATGTCTACGGCAGACGATTGGTCCTTTAGCAATAGCCTCATGCGGACGAATCGTATCATTGTCATCGTTGAGGCCTCTTCAGTATAGCTGAAATGTTCCCGGCATGACACACGTACGAGATACCAATACTCATTACGAAGCCGTAAGCAGGGCATCAAGGTTGATTCATCGGGCTGCACATATGTTCAGCTGCAATGGCATCGATACCAGCAGGCTTACGAGGATGAGGCAGTCAAATCATCGTTACAGAACAGCATGTTTGATCGTGAAAAGGGTCAAATCTGCATCTGCACGGTCCCCTTGGTGAATTATGTTTCGGGTGCTAGGCAGCAGCCTCATTTCCCTTTCCGGGCCTATACGCTCCAATCAGAGCGTAGAGCTGGATACGTTCCCTTGGGTTTGGGTTTGGTTTGATGCTGGTCAAGTCGGGTATCAGTGGGAACACAAGACAAGAAGTGTTGATGGATCCATTGCACAAGGGGATATGAGACGAACGGGACCCCTTGTCGTGGATCATCGGGGCGGGAATGGATAGGTTTCAAAAAACTTTCAGCAGGCGATGGGGCCAGTAAGGCGCAGCGCCCCGGGACCTGCAGTTGAAGGTGGATATGCGAGCAGCCAAACCATGTTTGTGTGTGACGTGGCTCTGGATGACATGCGAGTCACAGTCTGTGGCGACAGAATAATGTTTATTTAAAATTTATTTATTTTTGGCACGTCGTCAAGATGCTACTGCATGTACTGAATAGGCAGTTGTACATTGTGTGTTTGGTAGAGATGGTTGCGTGTAAGAGTTGGTATTCAGGTGAAGAGAGAAAGGAAGAAAAAGGACCGACGTATATCAACAGCACAGCCGTTGATAAAAATAAATAAGGCTAAAATAAGAATGATGTGGTCATGTATTGCTGCAAAATAAATTAATAATTCGATAAATAAAGCCGGAAGCCACTCCAAAAACAGTCTAAGTCAATATTGTGACCAAAAGGAAAGTGACAGGGCGCAGCGACTGCCCGTCACTTTCTTCGCATGGCAGGAGGCAGTCAGTGCCTGCAGCAACGAGAACAGACTTGACGCAACGCATCTCGTGCAACTGCCATCAATCCGTCATCCACCATCCTGCATCCACCATCGACTCCCCAAGCCGAGATGCCACCCTCCCACCCTTGCAATATTTGCAGGCCACGCCGCGCTGCCATTGGCCACGCCAACCATCCCTGGCGCACGCAGCTCATGCAGGGCCCGTCGCTCTGGCTTCGTTCGGCAAGGCTGCGCGTGGTAGCGTCGCTGGGCCGGAGCTGAGGCGTCGAAAACTGCACGCCATAGGTCCGATGCTGTCCCCGCCGACAGGGGTTTTCAGGCGAGACGTGCAGCCAGCGGCGCCTCTCACCAACCGCACAGCGATGGATGCGATGGCATTCCATGCATTGCTCTCTTTTACTTGCCTGCTTGTCCTTGTACTCACTCGTGCAGACCGGGGCACGCGGCTGTTTGTGGGCTCCGTCGCTTTGGGAATCACAGACGCCGGGACGCTGGGCTAGTGCTGGCTGGGACCAAACGGCGCGTCCGGGGCTCGACTCCATGCCGCAGGCACCATGCGTGTATGGCCGACTCGTATGTATGGCGCCGTGCTGTACCTGCGCTGCCAATGGACCGACCCACGAAACGGGGACGTCAGGGCCCTGGGCCTCGCCCGCAAGGCTTTCCTCTGGCTCGCGACTCGTTAGCCTTGCCTGCTCTGCCTAGCCGGCGTGCTGCTGAGATCGACAGTCACAGTCGCCGCATGCCCGAATCTCCTAGCCTGTCTCCTGTCCACGCCTCGGCGCCCAGGCTGGCTGGCCTCGACGCCATCAAGGGGCTAGGATAGGGCTGACCACGCCTCCGGTTGGACGGCTGCTGCCCGATTGCCAGCTCGTCCGGGATTCTTCAGGTCTGAGCTTGCAAAGAGCCACCGGGGGTGGGGGACCCGGGCAGACCTCTCGTTGGTGTTTGCAACTCGGCTTCGTGATAGCTGATGGTTCAGCCTGGTCACCCTCTCTTGGACCCTCAGACGTTCAACCCAAGCATCAAGTCCACCGTAGCTTTGTAAGGCGGAGATGGCCAGCAAGCCCGTCGACACTTGCTGGATCCTCCCGCAAACACCGGACGGGGTTGATGATGGAGAAATTATACAAAAGGAATGGAGCATCTCGCTCGGGTCCAAGTTGAAGGCAAATCGAGCAAGCCCGCAAACCTCTTTTGGACCTCGCCACTTCAATAGCGAGCTTTTTTTCAGCTTCACTTGCTAGACTACGAACGCCTCCCGTCTCCACGAAGCCGACGAAGCCAACTTGCTTGGGTGTCCTCTCTGCATCGCCTGTTGAGATTCAGCATCACCGACTATCCATTCTTTTTGCCACCACTTTTCTTCGTTTCGTTCTCCAGTTACATCAGAATCACTGCGCGTCACCGTTGCAGAAGGGCTATCATCGGCATCATCGGCATCATCAGCCATTGTCTTTGTTCACACGGCGGTTATATCGATCTCTTCACCTATTTCCATCTACGGAAAGTCGCTAGGCTTCTTTGGCCCCCCTTTTTGCGCCTGGCCCCCAAAAAGTCTGGTTCGGCATCTTTCCTTAGGAAGCCATGGACGGATGTAGGTCACTAGTTCCAGCTCCAGCAAATAGTTTTTCCCTCTTATTGTCCCGCTATTCCTGCCTTTCCCCATGCCCAAGTAAAAGCTACGACAGGCAGGCTACGCCGTTTCCCCCTTAGCCCTTGAGACTCTGCATATGCACTCGACGCGTAGTAGGAATCCACCTGTTCATACTAGAACTACCTCCTACACGCAACTCACCGAGAAGCTCCATGCGTAAAGATGACCCTCACCAGCCTCCAACTACCTCCTTTCGATTCCTTGGCGAGAGCAATGACTGATAAAGATACACCACGAAAAGTGAACGAGTGCCGCACCGCCCGAGTTGCTGAGGTCCTCGCCGACTTCCGAGCACTCCAATACTACATCTCAGCTGGGCCTGTCGAGCCAGAAAACGAGGAGGACTACTACACTGAGGGATGGGCCGCCCTGCGCCAATGCACAATCGACGGACAGTACATTCTGGACGTTGCTGCTGATACCAGGGTGCCTGCAGCGCAAGGTGGAGAGGAGGAACAGACCAGAGCCGAACTGCAACAGTATGTTTTGTCAACATGTGAAGTAACCCATCTGGCTTCATATCTCCTTATCCACTCAATACACTCAAGTTTGAAGATGGCTAACTTTCCTTTCTCTAAAGGATCTTGCTTGATGCGTATGCGCGCCGGCACGAGGGGCAGAAAATCCTCCTGAGACAGGCGGCTGCACAGCGATGGATCGAATACCGAGATCAAATACTACAGGGCCAAAGACCGCATCCGGGGAACCATGCCCAGCTGCAGGCTATTGATAACCAACTTCGAGCAGTAAGCTTACACCCAGCCGTTTTTTCTTCCTTGTCCAGCTGGACCAGGCTCTATTTTTTTCTGACTCCAAGTACCGAGTGGGAGGTTGACCACACAGCCTCGGTCCCCACCCGGTACTTGTCGGGAAAATCCTGTCTTACAGACATATGCACGGACAAAGTAGTGGAGTTCAAGACTGTCGTACTAACTTATGTGTGCTCAGGAGATGGCTGCCATCAGTGACGAATATGTGTACAGCGAGCTGTTGACGGCGGACCAATCACAGGGACGCTGGACCATGGAAGATCCCAGCCTGCACAGAATCCAGCGCTGGCTTCAATCCCGACGACGATGATATGCTTCATGTTAAAGACAGAACTAAAGGCGACGACGAATCAGAAGCTATCTATTTACGACACCGTCGCGCCAGGACCAACAGCAGATTTTCTCCATGGTATTCAGCTCCTGGGGGGCCGCCATCATCACTGGATACCAACATTTCTTAATTATTTCTGGAGCGAGCTTCATTGCAGCGATTGTTCCAAGGCCTTTTCTCTTTGCATGGACTCTTTCTTCTTCTTCTTTTCTTGGATGTATGATTTGGGCGTATGGGCAAGGATGACAGGCAGCAGCAAAGCACAAGGACGAGGGATACCTATTATTTTTCTTGGTTATTTTTCTTACTTTTTTGGGCGTCCTTTTGACATTTGGCAGGTATAGCGTGCTGCTGCAGACTGAGTGATGAAAAGCAAACATTTCAAGGGCACAATTGGAGGATACTATATGGGCCATAGACATCTTTTTCTTCTTCTTCTTCTCTATTCTTTTCTTCAGAGCTGCCTGGAGCAGGCTCCCAGTTTTTTGTTAAACTTTGTTTTTCCATGAATACAATCTTATTCATCCTCATGCATGGTTCTATATCATTGCTATATCATTGAAACGGCATTTCTTTCTCAGATGCTTCGAACTAACTCTTAGTTCTTGCTTTGAACACACAGGGCTATTCCGGCCAATGACAAAACCATTCCAATACCAGTTTCTTTGCTCCCATTATTAGCTCTTGATCATCGACCCGGATCACCGACGATACCCGTCATCGGGTGGAACGTGACATACCTCTGCTGATGACTTTGCCCTCAACTAACCACTCTCCTAAAACGGTAAACAGGAAAGCCATGGCATTCACAATCGGGACGGTAAGGCTCAACTCTAGTGGGTGGCAAAAATACAAAACGCGTTAATAATTAAATTGGGGTCAGATCTCAATAATTTGGTTTATACAATGCAGAAAAGAGTAAATGAAGGCTGCCTGTTTTGCTGTGCTGGCTAGCCCGGTAGGGCGGTTTTGGTGTGGATGAGAGGGTTGGTGGGGGGGAGGAGGGATCTAAGACATGGGAGGCCTGCAGGGGATTGAATGGATGCAACTTGCAAAAAATAAAACGGACAGATGGGATAAATTTTCTTTTTTCTTTAAGATTTGTGGAGCTGGTAGGAAGAGATCTATTTGAACTGTGACACATACCGGCCTTGCCAATGAGGAGAAAGAACCAGATGCTGCCGGTGAGGTTGAGCACCAGCGGCACGGCATAGCGCGGGTTGCGCAGCAAGTCGACGACACCAAAGAAGGCGCCATAGAGGGTGCGCCGGAGCCAGCTCGCCTGGACGGCCGGGCGGTCGAGGATGGCGGCGTGGGACGGGTCTGGCTTGTGGGCGCGGGCGGCGCGGCGGATGAAGGGCGTGGTGAGGCCCCAGGCGAGGCCGACGAGGAGGAAGCTGAGGATGTAGTTTATGGCTGGGGGGCGGTGGTCTGGGTCTGTGTCTGTGTCTGTGTCTGGCATTGTTGCTGTTTGAGCGTAGAGAGAAAGTGTGTGTGTGACGTGTTGGCAGGGCTGAAGCTGTGAAATTGGTGACGATGATGTGTGTTTTGGTGGTGAGTTTTTGGGGGAATTGAGGTTTAGCGCTTTAGAAGTGCATAGCCTCGTGGCTTTTGCGGTCTAGTCTACTTCCGTAGGTAGTTTTAGTTTGGGGCAGGGGTGTCGTGTCGAGTCAACTATTTTACGGGGACGAGAGATCTCTAAATGACTCCCATTTTGAGGGCAGTGATTGGGCGAGCTTTGGAGCTGTGACCACCTCGATTTTTAGAAGCCATCTCAAACTGCTACTGTACTGTACTGTACTGTACTGTACGTAGTTGCAATGGACTTGATGCTATGTTCTTAGCGCCATCTATGACGAACGGTAGTTGGTGAGTTGGTGATTTGTACAAGCGTTTTGCTGTGAAGACGCTAAAACGAGCCACGCGGGCTTCAATGGCACGGCACGGCGCACAGCCCGCCAAGGCTTGTAGTCCGTAGGTGTGGCTTGCGAGCCGAGGCTGGGCGGGATGTCAATATTGACTGGACCTAAGTAGTAGTAAATTGAATGCCGTGAGTGAGTGAGTAACACTTGGGCATTTCCAATCAAAAGTCTCTTGCGCATGGCATGGCATACATGGTTCGGAGAAAGCGACGTGGGACGCGTTGCCGGAAAGGGAATATTTGGACTGCAGTCTAGCTGGTGGCGAAAATGTCATGTTTCTATCTTGGGAGGGTTGGATGGAGAGATGGGATGGAGGGGGGGGCATCGGCACCTGCTGCACGGCCGATTGTTTCTCAGTTTTTTCTGTAACGTGTGCTACTAGTTAGAGCGTTTCATGGCCCATCATTCTAGTGTTTCCAACTGCTGGGTCTGACAGAAATGCGTACCCGCTTCTTAGGTGTGGTTCTTGATAGCATTGATTTTAACTGTGTTGGATGTTGTTGGCTGCAGACACTAAAGCAAGGTACACGTTGCTGCCCCAAGGCCCTACTGTAAAGTACTAAACTAATGGTTTCTACTAGTACGAGTAGTATCAAACAGCCAATATCCCACTTTTGTCTTGTATTGTCTTGCAATCCAGTTTTCCTTCGTGTGTTGTTTTCTTGTTCGGCCCGCAGGCGGTGCCCAGGCCGAGCAAAGAGGCAGCCCATAGCGCCCAGACCCAGCACTTTGTCCGTATACGCGCAAAGCTTCACCGCAAAAGCTATCCATGGCTTTCTTCTTTCTTCTTCTTTTCACTGCCTGTATAGCTGTACATTGCTTCCTTGTCATCACGTCATAATTCACAAAATTTGCAGCTCATCTACGATTTCCAATAGTCATCAATATCACAAAAAAATCCATCAGCACACGCCCCCTCCCTCATGAATTACAAGTACAGCGTTCGCAGGGCTGTCAAAAAATTGCCCAGGGGTCCCCCCCCCCCACCCCAGTCAAGTTTTAGCGTACCCGTCAAAGATCCTTGTCCAGCTGGAAGACACCAGCGCCGTCAAAATTAATCAATCTTTGCCAATGCCGTCGCCGAGCCAGTTGTTTTGTCCCGACGAGCCGGGGACCAACCAAGGAGGCCCCATTGGGGGAGAATGGAGACTAGCTCTCGGACCGTTTCACCAGGCCAGGATCTCCATCACCATGCGAGAACCGACAAGGGAATCATCGTTCCCTGGGACGGCCTTGGGTATCATCAACGTTGGAAGATCAAGTAGGGATCTGCTTGATACGGACAGATGGATGGCCTCTTCCTTCCCGCTGTCAAGGGCACCCGTAGCCAGTCGGCTTTTGACGATGAGCAGAAGCAGGGAGATATTGGAGGGTGCCTAATATACGAGTCTTTGGTTATGCTTCGCTCTGGGCCCAGTCCCTGCTCGGAGCCGAGATTTAGGTTGCGATTTTGCTTCTCCCGGGGCCGAGACTCTGTTTTGCTTTGGGGGGTTTTTTTTTTAATATATTCCGCCGCATGATACTGCTACCATGGTTGTAAAGGGAGCTGGTTGAGCCGCGAATGGCCATAAGATGCGAGATGTCCTGGTGATGTTATCATTTGTCATGACTCTTCTTCCGAAGCGACTTCTTCAGCTATCATCGTACAACGCAAAGACTTGGCAGAAAAAGATAGCTCATTCAAGTCTTAACGCTTTGACTAGTTTGCATCCATGCCTGGACATATTGTCTTGTATACCCATCAAAGGCGTGGACAAGCTAACAAAACATCTCCCGTGTGTATTAAAACACATCATACCTATGAAGCCCAACTATCACATGGACTATACAAGCTGCTGCCCAATTATCCGTAGACTGAGGGGGTGAAACGGTTTGAACAGTTTATATGGCATATGAAAAAGCTGCCGAGACAAGGGCAAGATAATAATGAACGCAAAAAAAAAAAAAAGATTAAACAGGAAATATACCCCAACGCCACGCCATCATATCCCGAACATAACCTCTTCCGCACCCGTATTCACTTCACCCGTATCATCCACCCTGCGAGGAAGATCCCAGCGCGTCTCCAAGTTGTTACGCAGACAGCTCCTATTTGATGGCCGTTGTACTGGTGTATGGTCTGTTTGTCGTGCAGCTCCCGCAGCACATCATCCGCCCCTGGAGCAAGATCTTAGCGCGTCTCCGCGTATTCACGCAGACAGCTCCTCAGTGGTGGCCGTTGTACTGGCATATAACATGTTGACTGTACAGCTCCCGTATCATACACCACTCGAACAAGGTCCTAGCGCGTCTCCGAGTAGTCATTGAGTGCTACACAGACAGCTCCTCTGTGGTGGCCGTTGTATTGGCGTATAATTTGTTGGCTGTGCAGCTCCCATAGCCGGGCATAGTGATCAGAGCATGCCGTCACCAGATATGCAGAGTCTGCGCTGAACGCGCAGTCCCATACCCACCGTTGATGCCCAGTCAGCGTGGCCTCGAGAGGCAGCGGTCTCGGTTCGTCCGTCTTGCCATCTATTCGCGGCTTTACATCTTTAATCTCCCAGATCTTGGCTGTGTGGTCCGCGCTGCATGTTGCCAGCTTCTTCACGTCGGGAGAAAGCAGAATTCGCGTAATGTACTCTTTGTGAGCGTTAAAATGCGTCACCGGGAGCAGCTCTGTCTGTTCGTAGTTTTGGCGAAGATGCCATATGAATACATTGCCCTGAGAGAATGTCAGTTAATTTGAAGGGGTCGATAGCTTGGCATTGCAGCTTCTGCACTGGACGTACTGCTGTATTCGCAGCGCATAACAGGGATCCGTCGCTGGCAACCGTTACGCTCGATACCGACACGTCTTCTTCAGGAATAAGCTCGTGTGCGCAAGTATTCTCAGCCAGATCCCATATCCTCACGCTACCCGACCTATCGCAGCTTATAATTTCGCCTTGATTTGGGTGAATGACGACGTCGTTGGCAGGGGAACCGTGGTTGTAGCTCCTCTGTACTGAGCCCGTCCGGGTTTCCCAGATCTTGACGCAGCCATCCTCGGAGCTCGTTACCATCCATTTACCTTCGCAGTGAAAGGCTACTCCAGTGATATTCCCCGTATGTCCCTCAAATGTAAGAAGCGGATTAGGATTCGTAGATTTGATATCGTACAGCTTCACTGTATGGTGGCCGGCCGCGGCGAGGTACCTCTTGTCGGGAGAGATACATAGACGGTTGACCTGGGAGTCTGGGTGTTGAATCGTGCGGGAGCATATCCCCGATAAAGCCTCCCAAAATCTGCATTGCGTCAGTTAGCATCGGGCGTAAAGGAAGTTGCTTTGCCGTGGGTTTGCGAACCGGATCGTGTGGTCGTAACCCGCTGTCGAACATTGTTAGCTCCCAAGTTCGCGACAACTGGTGGGGGAGAGGGGGTTTAGGACTGACCTGTGCATAGAATTACAGACATGGCGGCCGCTAGTAACGATGATACGCGCACTTGGTCGCCAGATGAGATATTATGTAGTTGTGAAGTAGAGTTGAAGTGCTCGAGGTCCGTTTGGCGAGGCTGTGGACGAGTCTTGTTCCGAAGAGAGCCCGGCCCGCAGCTGCCTCACACTACTAGACCAGCGACCATTTACACCGCCGAGGCATGAGCAGCTTCCAACATCAACAACAAATGCAAGAAAATTTGGCTGAGAATGCACTCAATCACCCGCCGTGATGAAAATTCATTGCAATAGGATGCATTCTTGCAGCTTGTGCTCCTTCGCCAGCTGTTTCAGATGAAAACACGTGACGAACCGCAGATGCGTCTGCCCGTCGGCTCCAGGATGGCATCGGCTCAAGCTGTCACTTCACAAGGCACTATTCTCAATATCGACCTCGTTTCTTGTCTGTCTTCACTCCCACGACGGGGTCTTACTCGGTCCCGAGCTTGATATACAATTTAGCCGAGTGGCTACCTAGGGAACTGAATTAAGGACGCGGCACTCCCTTGCTGGCTGCTCCATTACCTGCTCGGATGATGTGTCAATCGTCTTTTGGCATTGGCGTGGGACAAGAAGCCAAGAACAGCATTCAATGTGAATGAGTTTCGTCCAGACCCTTTTGCCGCTGACTATTCCTCCCTTGATTTACGTATGCATATGTCCATTTGTGACGCTACTATTCACTGGTTCAACCTACTTTCAGCTGGGCTGGGGAAAACGCCTTTGAGATCTATCGATTCGTATACATTGATCTATCTTTGTGATATAGCCTTTCCTATTTTTGCAAGTTACGCCTCCCCTTGAAAATTCCACCGGTTAACAGCCAGCCGCCCAATTTGAGTGGTCAAGTTCGACCATCCTGCAAGCATCTCAAGTGAGAGCTTTCTACATCATATATAAGAATGAACTCCACCTTTCCCCCCCATGTAACCACACCCAAAGGCTACAAGGCCTCTCCGTTTTGAGCAAAAAAGAAGACAAAAGAAAGAAAGAGGGATATACGAAGGGAATCAAATCCGAAAGTATTCGTGTGGATGCGTGGCACCTGAAAGTTCTATCCAACGCAGCCTATCTGCGTTTTGAACAGACGCCTGCAGGCCTGTGACCTGAGCCTGAACTTGGCCGATTATCTTGTCCTGTTGATGGCCTGCCGCTCTGGCAGGCAAAAGGCGAAGTCGATGCTGATGACAGATCTTGATAGTTGGACGGAACAAATCTGACAAGCGACCCCCCACAGTACTCGCAGCTGGGTCTTCATCTCCTGTCTCAGCGATCACATCAATTGAAGTATATGGAGATGATCAACACTCACTGTCTAATACTGCACATGTCGCAGGTGATTGGCACCAGGTCTGGTTTCATGCCAACGGCGAATTGAGACGACATGGCTATCAAGCTAACGGCAGTCTTATTCCAAGCGGAGACTCAAGTGGTTGAGAGATGGCTGTTGAAGACCAGCTATTGTGTTATTTTACAGTTTTGATTCTTGCTGGGAATATATGCGGCGGAAGCGCTGCTTAAATACTAACATGTACGCTACCAAAGACATAGGGAGCTACGCAATAGTCGACGTTGCGTATTTGCCTCTAAGCTTTCCGAATGACCAAGAATCCTTTGACCGCCTCGATCATCTTCGGCAATAGAGGAGGCCAGCTCAACTGCTGCAAGAAACCTCACCGATGTCTCTGTTCCAGCTTGTGTGGTTGCCTCGACATATAGTTGAGGCAACTAGGCCAAAGCAACGTGATACCGACCCGCCCAGCTGGACATGAGTTCTATCTAGAATCATCTGCTTGAGCTGATATCAGGCTGTGGGCTTCTATGCGCCACCGTCACAGACAGAGCTCTCGACAGCGTTGACCAAGTTTTACCGCCTCGTCAAGTACCTCCTTGCTCCTTCAATCCATCGTTCTCGCCGAATAAAAGGCTTGGTAGCCACGACTTTACCATACAATGGACCGACGTGAGCGCCCAATTGTGACAACAGGCTCACACGCTGTCCTCTCTCAACCGGTCCGCTCTGTTTTGTGTGAAGATAATGGCGCTGAGATGATGCAGCCACCCGCGATGGTGATCGGAACCCAGCCCTCTCATTTGCCCGTAGCCGGACCGGTGAAGCCTCTGAGGATGCTCTATCGAATCATACCACTTCGCTAGCTGGGCTTTACCGTCTCATTGCCGAGGGTGCTGGAGTTTCAGCCGCAAAGCGGGCGTCTGCAAGATGACGATTTGTCCAATTTGGCAGCCATGGCATCCTTCCTCTTTATATCGCTGAACGGAAGAGGCGGCTATTGCACTCCTATCGCCCACTGCAACGGCTAACCATTGGGCGCGTTATCCGTCCCTGGCTGTCTCGATAGTGATGGATCCGACGTAGCGGCTGGTGTACCGGAACACAAACCGCATGCAGGCTTTCCCTGGTGGCATGTTCTCCGCCGAAAGGGCATTTGGCTGGGCAAGGCGCGACTTTCAATGCCAGTCACCAGGCCTATATCGGCAACCCTCTTGGCTCCCTCCCCTACCGATATGGACCAAACAATACGAGCCACGAGTCGAAATCCGTTTTGTGTACCCTCCCGTTTCTCTGGAGTCAGGCAGCCAGTAGCATTCAGCTGGCATTTCTCAGAACGAACCCCCCATCTAGCCTCGTTCCCTGATCCTCTTGCACCTTTACAGAGTACCATGAAGCTATGTCATGCCAATCCCGCTGCTGAAGAGCAAGGACGCTTTCAATGATCGACTCAAGGAAAGCTGCATTAGGAATCAACCGATGCAGATAGCCATCCCGAAACCTTTTCATCGGCCCGCCACGTGGGGACCCGTTGCCGTTCTCCGCCAAATCAAATCTCTTGCCTTCCATCCTGACCCTGTCGCAGCACAGCTCTTCGGCTGCTCACCGGTTTTTCCTCATTTAACTTGTGCGCCCATCATGTGGCGTGGAAAGACGCCATTCTCGGATCTAGGTCTCCGACACGCGGCTTCTTGCTTCGCGTAGGAAATCAACTATATCGAAGGAAAGGGGTAGTAGAGAAAGACGGAAAGCGGCCTGGCTTGAGGGCATTTAATGTTCTCTGCAAGGAAGTATAAGGTAAAAAAAACGGTTTACGCAAACAGCTGAGGCCTCAAAAGAAGGAAGCCACTAGGTTCCTTCACCTGTGTAACACGAAGCTATCCGACGATACACTCCTTTCCCTCGCCCAACTTTTTTTGCTCTCATTATTCTAGACAAGCGGTGACTCAAGCTCCCGTCCCGTTTGACAGCCGCGAAATTAACAATCTGCGGGTAAGCGTCGTCGGAAAATGTGTAACAAGTACACATATAATGTATACGATGGGAGAGTGACTATATTGAGCCACTCGATTTGTTGGAACTTGCCCGAGAACTCGTCCACATCAATCAGGCTCTTTTTATACTCATCTGGTAACGAAGCCCTGTTGATTTTGAGAATTGGGGGGAGAAAAAGGGAGGGGGGGCTCATCGCCATGGCTTGCTTATCAATCTGCTAAAGTTATTTGATCCTCATGAGAGCGGAAGATATCTCTACTACTACCTCTTTTGTAGATACTCTACACGTGCAATATGACAATGCTGCATTTACTACGCAGTTAAAGCCGCTTCAGAAGAATGTGAAGCGAAAATATATATATGTTGTTTTCACTTGCAAATTACTCAAAAATATTTACCTCCGTTCAATCAGCCAGAGACAAGAGATATCAATAGCACAAGGTGTACCAAGTAAATAGCCAAGCCTTCTTGGCAAACAGAGGAGAGACAAGGACTCGTGATTAAAGACTGTAACGCCCAAAAGCCCCCTTGGACGTACCACTGGTATTACGGCGCTGACGAAAACATCCCCGTAGCGAGGACGTGATTGGCCATGAGGCGTTGAGCCTGTGAAGCATTCGGGGTTTAGGCTGCTTTCTCTTCTTTGCGGTCAGTAGCACCTTGGTACTGTGGCTGCATCTAAGCAAGGGGGCCCAAGCGAGGCGAAAGTATTGAGTGATACAGTTTGGTAGACGAAGTTATAAAAAGGTCGGTAAAAACAATTTAGGCTCACATCACACGAATAACGTCACAACAAGAAAAGAACCTAGACCAAGTAACGGATATGTAGAACAATTGATTTCAATTTATTGGCTTCCCTTCCTGGGTAAAGATATATTTTCTCTTTACAGCCCTATTACAAAGGAAATAATCAGAGACCCCCTAACGAGACGACAAATTAAGAAATTCGTAACCATAGAGTTTCAGGTAGATAAAGAACAGCAAGTACATGAAATATAAACCGTCAAAGAGCCGTCACAATGGAGAGAGTCGCATCATTAGAGATCGATGACCAGAGCTGAGAATCAGTATCTGACGCCGATAACCAATGATGGCTGCCAATCGCAAGCGGCTCGCAAATTTGTGAAATACCGAGGCGCCAACAGTAAAAGACTGGGAAGCAAAGTCCTGACAACGGAATCTCTTCGTATAGTAGGGGGGTAAAAGGGGAAAATAATCGTTTAAGACAAAGAAAGAAAAGAAAGAAAGAAGAAGAGGGAAGGATAGAAAGAAATAAGAAAAGTGATCAAAATCGACCAACAATAAATCGACAGCTGTACACACAAGAGCCTCCTCGAGAAGAATCTTTGAAATAGAGCCCGCGATATCTATAGAGTTGGAGCGGTTGCAATCAGAGCAGACATAACAGCAACTCCTCCAATCGCCGCATATCCAAAGATTTCTACAGCTCTACGCAGGCGCTTTACGTGTGGCTCGCCATGTCCAGGGTGATGGTCGTCAATGTCCATTGCAGAGTCATCACGAGTCTGAGGGTCAAGTGGAGATGGATCTCGTTCAGCAAAAGAAATTTCCTCGGCGGTCAGTTCTGATATCTCTTCGGCTTTGCGCTTGCCATTGGAGGATTTCTCTTGCTGATCTAAGGGCTGGCCAGCGCCCGTCTCCGGAGCAGTAGCCAAAGCTTGTTGCTGCTGCTGTTGGGCAATTGCAGTTTTCGTTACTTCAAACTGATAAGCAGAAGTCTCGTCGAGGTCTAGAGGAGGGGTGGCATTCTGTTGCCCAGGATGCTCTTTGAGAGGTGAATTGAGAAAATCAGCACCCGAATCTAGGAGAAGACTGGATGCGGTTGCTCGGTTGAGAGCAACGTCCTCTGGCCAAAATTTAGGCTCAACGAACCCAAGAGCCGGCGGAGAGTGAACGTCTGACGGAAGCTCAACTGAAGCCGCATCATTGTTGATGTCGGTGGCTGCATTGTTGTGATTCACAGAAACTTCCTGGGACCGGAAAGTATCGTTGAATGAGGGCAGGTGCACGCCTACCGCAGGATCATCCGGTGCCGCGGCTGCGTTTGATGCTGAGAGGATGGGTGGAAGACAGTCATTTTCGAATCTATCCACAATTTCGGCCTCGTGGACTACAGTGCCCTCGACGTGAGCTGCGGTGTGGTCGTCGCCTAAGAAACTGCGTCTTAGGGTTTGATCAAGAGAGCAAGTCGAACGATCTTGGAAAGCGCTTCGTTAGCTGTGCTGCACTCTGTAGAATTTGGGAAGGCGGCATGAGAAGGCTTACCATCGTTGTCTTCCGACATATAACTTTCTTCGTAATCGTCTCCGTAGAAAAGAGCGTCTTCGTCTGGAGTAGGCGCCGATTCTAGAATTTTCAGCCTCATTTGATCTTGGATAGCCCTGGGAGATAAAGGACCATCTTCATGTTCGAGTTCGGGCTCAGATGAATCCATCTCATGGTCAGATTCAATGGTGATGACAGCATTGTCCGAGACCATAAAGTTGGGATCTGGGCGTATACCATGATCGTGCAGTATTTTGGAGGAGCTCCGAATGGCATTATCTTCATCGGAGTAAGCCTCATCATCACTATCGTCTGGTACTCGAAAAACGGTCGGGCCCTGAAGGGAGCTACTGGCACATTAGAAGAGGTAGTTGAAGAGAGTGGGAATACGAATATAGGCTGGTTACATACCTGGGTGGGCCAAACTGAATTCCGGCTCGCATGACGCAGGCTTGGTTAGTTTCCGATCCCCGATCTATGGGAATGCCAAACTGAATGAGATCTCCGTCCTTGATCACTTGAGCTTGGTGCTTTTTCAAGCGGGTGTTGTTGAAGAATGTGCCGTGGAGAGAGCCGATATCCTTGATGAAGACGCTCTGCATATGTATTAGCTGGGAACATCTTCGCGGTCTAAAAAGGGCAAGAGAAAGTAGCCTACGTGGGACTGCGGATCGAAGATAAGCTTGGCATGATCTCTGGACATGACGGCGGAGTCGATCCAGCCATTATCCTCTCGGGCGGCGTATACGCCATTCTTTTTACTCATGCGCCCCAGTGGGATTGTGGTATTTGACTTTGTGAGTAACAGGCTGCGTGTTGGAAACGCAAAATCAGGGCTTGGGTTGACAACCGTTAAGCGAACCAGAGCTGCATCCAAGTTAGACTTTGAAAGGATGGAGCGCTGCGGCGCATCCAAGGGATGGCGTGACGTACCTTCGTCACGATAGACTGATTGTGCCATGATGGTCGAGGTCCAGATTGGCGTAGGCTTCTGCGATGTATGCTGAGGTGGGCGAATTCGGTCCGAATCAAGAGATATATTCGACGTGGTTACGATTTCCGATCGATCTGGACGTTTGGCTTCCTGAACTGGCCCAAGCTATCGATATCCGTACAAATGGTGATTTCCGGCCTGCTTCTGCTCCCTTTGGCGGATGGGCACATCCAACCAGACGGAAGAAGAAAGAAGAAGCAAGTACTAGAGGTTCCAGCCAGCGGAAAAGAAGAAGGCGAAGACACAAGATAAGAGAGAAGAGAAGACGGAAAATAGAACGTGGGTGGCTGAGTGAAGTTATTTGCACAGAGGGGAGGCAGTTCGAAGTGAAGGACAAGGTGGGGCTCGGGTCACTACGGGAGTTTAATGCTAGTAGGTACAGCGAGTCGTGCCAAAGGCTGAGGGTAACTGGAGCCGGTACCCAGCAGGTACAGGCTGTCTTGCTCTGCGTACCTCGACCGGTTGTATCTGCAGCGGGTTGGCAGCTGTTTGGGTGCCGAGTGGAAGGGAATCCAGGGAGACATTTGTCTGCTCGTCCGTCTGACGCTCTGCAGCTTCCCAAGGGAGACATAAGCAGTACCAGACCGGCCGATGCAGCATACATGTAAGGTACCTGTGGTTTGACACCAGGTCCGCCGCGGCCGCTACCAGCCAGTGCCCATAACCCACAACAGGGGACGGGAGCAGCTGCATAGCGCCTGGCAGCAGTGGTGTTTCAGCGCCTGAGTGGTCCAGCCCCAGGCAGCCTAGGCAGCCCCAGGCAGAAGCGGGCAGCGATAAGCCCCGCGGTGGATGGCTTATCGGAGCTTGGGTGGGGCGCGAGTATGTCACTGCCGTCGTACATTTGCACGTCGACGAGTATTTGCGACGTAGCCGCCGTCACCGAAGCAGCAGAGCAAAGGGGCACCCATATACGACGAGCACGAGCCGCAAGTGCAGCATCACCGACGGCACAGATGGAGTTGTTGAAGAGTTGCACGATGGGCTCCAAGTGAGATTTGTCGAAGCAGCCTGCGGGCCCAGCAGGCGTATGCGCGGCTTGCCAGGTGGACGAGTGGCGTTGCGCCCAGCACCACCAACAGAGCATGTACAAGAGCTGCGAAGTGGTGCGTCGGGACTCTAACAAAGGGTTTTAATACATAGTCCCTGTGTTGGTTCGATGAATGCGGCCAGCCCTGCTGCTGCTCTGCTTGACTCTTGGCGCTAGGCTCTGTCAATACAAACGTGACTCTATTGTAATGGTTCTGCATCGATATACGGGAGGTCCTAAGCCAACAAGGGTCCTCGGCCAGGGTCCACGGTCCACGGTCCACAGTACTACTGGCTCTATTAATATTATCTGTACCAGCAGCATCTGACTTGTTTGCTAGGTTCCGCTTGCCGCGGTGGCCCCCAGGCCGTAGAATGCTGTTTCCTGAGCAGTTCATCGCAACAAGCAGCATGGCTAAATTGGCGAATATCGTTTTTCCCAGGCTGAGGTAGTGCTGCAGCGTAAGGGGCAGAGTGGATGTGCTTCTTGCATACCAGACGGAGCAAACCCGCCGCCACCGTCACTCGAGGCTCTGCGGCTCTTCTGCAACACTAAAAAATCCCTCGCCATCTGCCCGTTCATTAATAAAGCGTTCAAGTTTCAACACCAGCTCTGCTGACCCGATGCCCAAAGTCGCGAGACATGCCCCACCACCCTTGCATCCCGCCTAGCGCATGTACCTTTGCGCAGCTTCAAGCTTCAACCGTCACAAATCAGCACTGCAGCACGTGGAATAGGCCGAGTAGGTGTGTGGTGTAAGCCAAAGCAGATGAAGTACTCTTCCGGGAGTATTCACCGAATCAAGCGACAGCGAAATACAGGCACTGGTAATATGCGCAGTCCAGTACATATTCAAAGTCAAGTCGGCCAGTACCGATCATGGAGTTGGCACTGAGAAACCGGCTTTGTGGAAGCCCGTCCTGGCGCGTAAAGTGGCTACAGCATATGACGCATGACCAGCAGGGATGTTGCGTCTTTTGCGGAGTACCTAGGTAGCTCAAGATGCCGCCGGGACGTGCACAGAGGTACAGAGATTCCTCCAAACCATCAATTTGTCGTCACTGTGTTGCCCGCCCAATATCGAGGCTTGCCTTTGTTTGCATTATCGCAGGTTGAGGCGAAAGCGAGCCCAAAGTAGTCCTAGAGAGCAGAGCCAAAAGCGAAATATCCAACAAACAATATTTTGTCCTTTCCCGGAAAGCCTATTCGATTGCAGCTCTCGGTACCGATGGACTGTAGCACCTTGAAGTCCACATCCAAGGCACCGGAGATAAAGTGCCCAGTAGAGTTATACATGTTGTCTATAATTTCTAATACACGATACCAAGGTCTCGTCCCACTCTGGCCAGCTCCTGCAGCTCTCACATGTCTGCCGATCAAGGGCCATCTGGTCATTGCCCTAAGCATGTACCGGCTACATGCCCCGAACAGCCTAGCGCGCAGCATCTCACCCACGTTCCAGGTAGCGGCGACATAGAGCTCTCGCGGGACGGTCATCCGGGCAGGCGCGCACAAACTGACGCCACCGAGCCACTCAGCTCTTCTTAAATCTTCCCTGTTTCTCTCCCTCGCCCTCTTCGCCTCACCTGAGCTATTCTCGTCCCTTAACATCATTTCACGCCTCGTATTTAAGTCTTGCTCTCGCTGTTCTGCTCCCAACTTGCTCTGCATCTCGACGCTTGCCCAGGATTCCCATGGACGGTCTACTTCACGATACCCTCACCAGACTAGCATCCGAAGCACTCGCAAGCAACCTGCGACCCTACAGAAGCAAGCGCAAATTGACGTGACGCCGCCCGAGCCTTCACTAATCTGACCGAAGCGAAGGGGAGAGCAAAAGGCTGGTTATCAAAGGCTACAGAAGTGGAACAGTGGGGCGTTGGATTCCATACGTTCTCCCTACTCCATTCCTACCGACTTGAAGATTCGGCGCAGCCTCATCAATTCTATATCCAAACTCAAAATTTCCACAGCCAGTTTTTACAACCATCTAGCAAACTCTCTCTCTCTCTCTCTCTCTCTCTCTCTTTCATTACTCCTCATACAATACTACTCACAGCTACTCTTCTCCAGCCAGCGAGCGAGTTCTCAAGATGATGAACCACGCTCGAGTCAAGGCCCTCAAGGGCAATGGAAAGACCGTCTCCAAAAAGGCCATCAAATCCGGTCGTGCGTCAGGAAGCCAAACGCCGCGAAGCTCTCCTCTTCCATCGCTGTTAACGTCGCCCACCCATTCCGCGGCGCACAGCCGCGTCACTTCCGATGTCAGCGATGATGACGGCGATTTTGAATTAGACGACATGGCATCGAGTGTCTACTCCGGGGAGTCTATCGACGAAAATGAAGACGAGCCGCATGCTCCAGTTTTCGATACAAGAGCTCTTATTGACGGCCTCCGAGATCGAAAACGCAATAACAGCGAGATGCGAGATTATTTCCTGAGTGCCTACATCAAGGCAGTTCGCAACAATTATACCGCCGAAACTCATCTTTGGCTAGACGATGCCGCAAATGAGCTAGCAGAACTTTTCCTTCACGACTCAAATCGTGCGGCCACAGCCAAGGAACGCCTCTTAAGTCTGCATGCTTTTGCTCTCACGGTCGGGACGGTCGGAACGCTAGAGATCTTCGATGGAGCTCAGAGGATACTCAAGCAAGTAATGATGGATGACGACGATGATGACTGCCGCATCTTTGCAATTTACGCGCTCTGCATGACAGTCTTATACGGCGGTGGTCTAGAAGAGGCCGCCCTAGAGGTGATGGAGTTTTTTGTTGAGATTGTGCGAACCGATGGAGAGTCAATCGAGGCTCATGACAATGTTGAGGTTGTTGCAGCCGCTCTTCAAGGCTGGTGCTTCGTTGCCGGCCATGTGGCTGACTTGTCCGATTATGCCGATGCCGCCATGGATGCGTTTGTGGATCAACTGGACAGTGATGACGTTGATATTCTGTCCAATGCTGGTGGTTGCATTGCCCTCGTCTTCGAGGCATCACGGCACCACATTGAAGAGACTGGCGAGCCGTTTCAGCTCCAGTACGACCCGCAAAGGCTGGCCGGTCGTCTGAGCGAACTGGCTAAACTGAGTGCTAAATCAGTATCGAGAAAGCACCGCCGGAGCTTACGAGAGAACCTGCTTAGTGTGGTAACCTCTCTCGAGAGGGGCGTTGGCCCTTTCTACTCTACTGCTATATACGTTCCCGAAAAGGGCGAACATGTACCCGTCGCGCAACGCACCGATGATGGCCAGGCAGAGTACGGTTATCGGTGCAAGCTGAGGCTTGGCAATCACGTTGCCAAGATCGACACTTGGTCTCTCTATTTCAGAACAAACCTCATGAGAGTCATTTTCAAGGCTGGGCTCCAGCATCACGTCTTTATCAACCCGGTTGTCACCGAATGCTTGGAGGACGCACATTTTATACAAGACTACTCGCCCCCTCCAAGAGGTACAAAGGGTAGAAAGAAGTAGCCAGGCGCGTTACCCACTACATAGGCAATTCACCCGGTTATTGCTATCTTATCTTCTTTGACTCTTATCAGTTCCAATATGCAGCACCTGGCAAATATGCTGTGCTATTGAGGAGCTGTTCCTCATCTTTTCTTCTTAACATCTCTTCTTTTTGCTCTTTTCGAGTTTGGAATACGGAGCGGATTACTTGTTAGAATTGTAATTATCAACACCATTTTGACTTTATCTTGTCAAAGTCTCTATACTATTGTTTGTTTGGTGGTGTCAAGTTTGGCGAGATGAGACGGGCTAGGCTTTCGTGTGCGACTTTTCAAGACTGTAAAGTAACCTATATAAGCTTGCAATCATTCTATATTTTGTATTTCCACACGACTTTGGGTACAACAGTAGCGGAATCATGTCAGTAAGAGTAGTTTGTAGTTGTCAGTAGTAATTGTTCTAATAACCAGTAATGAGTGTTAACTATTTAACTTGGATATATTTTCGTCCTTTACATCTTTCTCGTCTTATATACCAAGCCCAATTCGGTATTTTTATCCTCATTTTCTCTCCAGCATCTACTTATCAAAGAAGATAAAATTAATGCGCCGAATCCTATGCAGTCTAACGCTTTTACCATGTAATCCTCATATACCCAAAGTCTAAGAGTCGATTACGGCCAAAAACAAATATTGCATGTAGGTCTAACAAAACTTAGGTAAAGTCGTTTCAGCCCATCATTGAACATCAGAACACACCCCCTTCCGTAGAGGCTGCAGCCAAAGGCGCAGTCCAAAGACCATCAGCGCTCCCAAAAGAGTAAGGGACGCCGAGAAGGTTTGGACAGAGACCCAGGTGGTGGTCACGTCTTTTATGGCGCCGCTGGCCGGTCCGCCGGATAAAGCGCTGAAGGAAGCAAAAGCCATCATGAAGCCGATGCGGAGGCCGATGTGGCCCATGTCTGGTGTGGTTTGCGCGACGCAGGCGGATCCGAGAGGGATGAGGCCGCCGGAGAATAGTCCGAATAAGAGGGTGAAAGCAATCATCGAGCTCAAAGTCGTCATGGCGACCCAGCAAAAGGTGATTCCGGCGGTTAAGACGCCCATTACAAATAAAACATTGAATCTGAAAAGAAATGTCAGCGAATCACATACAAGCGAGTTGAATCGGCCTGTCGTCCCCCGTCCCGGGAGCAAAGTGGGGAAAACTTACCGGCCGAAGCGGTCCGCGATCCAGCCGCTCCCCACACGGCCGACGAAAGAGCCCGCGTATCCAATCGCGAGGAGGCTGTTGGCCATGTCGGATCCCACGCCGTGCTGGATGGCAAACAGAGGGATGAAGTAAAAGGGAATGAGCATGCCGCCGTAGATGAAGAAGAGGGACAGGCAGAGAGCGAAGAAGCGCCACTCAAAGACGGCGTGGCGTATGCTCCCCTCAGAGGAGGACTTTGTCTGGCGGCCCTTGGTGTCGTGGCCGGCGGCGTCGGTGCGCTCCCTGACGAGGAAGCAGGCGATTAGGAGCATGGGGACGGAGATGAGGGCGATAATGCGGTGGACCCAGGGGGCGGGTAGGACGGTAAAGAGCTTGTTGATGATGAGAGGCCAGAAGATGCCGCCGATGGAGGAGCCGGAGAGGGCGATGCCGAGGGCGAGGCCTCGTTTGTGGTTGAACCATTCGGAGATGGCTCCGGTTGCAGGATAGAAACTGGAGAGGTGGAGAGAAGAGGTTAGTGATGATTCTAACGTGTTTGACTCCATTGGTGTTGCTGTTACTAAGATGTTATTAAGAAGAAGAAATCTTACAGCAAAGCGTTGCCGATGCCGAGCAGAATGCCTTGAGACAGCAGATATTGATAGTAGTGAGTAGCAAAGCTGCAGCAAATACAAGAGAGGAGGCACACTGCGGTGCCGGACAACATGAGAGCTCGAGAACCGTATTTATCAAAGATGGGGCCGACGACGGCACCACCGAGGAAGAGAATGAAAAGCTATTGTGGAAAATGGCAACCAGTTAGTACATAATGGGCTATCTCAGTCGTAATTTTGTTGTTGTTGCATACCTGAACACTGCCAATCCAAGTGATGGTGGATGTGGAAAGCCAAGTCCATTGAGTTTCGTAGCGAGCCTGGAAAGTGCCAAAAGAGTTTACAAGTCCTAAGTATGTAACAGGCAGAGATTAGCCCCAATGTGCAATAAAAGAGAGGCGATGTATTATGAAGAAAGAAATATTAGCAGTTAACTTACCGAAAGCAATAGCAAAGTCCAAGAATCCGCCCACCACAACAAGCCAAGCTCGGAAACCACCATCCGGAAGATTGCTGCTACTGCTATGATCGGCAACAATGGGTTCCTCAAGGACTTTGGTCTCTTCACTGCCAGCGAAAGAAGTAGCTGGAGACTCAAGGCCGCCGGGAATAGCCGCTTGAGCGGGCGGGAGGTCGATGATGTAGACTCCCGATGCGATGTCGCGAGCAAATTGAGCGTCTTCCATTGAGATGGAGAGAGAACGAGACATTATCTGATCCAAGAATTAACAAAATTATTAGAAGCTTTTTTTGACTTTTTTTTGTTTTCTTTTGGACCAAAAAGGAGAGTCTGTTCGTCGACGGAAATGTTCCGTTGACAGTTTGCTTGAGCTCAAAAAAGGAGGGAAAAGGAAAAATTGTTGAGATGGAAGCAAAAAGGAGTGGCAGAAGAATGAAGAAGAAAAACGTGGCATAAAAAAATTTTTCTTCTTTCTTCTATTGAAATTCATCCAAAAAGTGCAAACGGATTCAAGGCCATGCATGTTGGGGTTCGGCGGGCGAGGGTAAGGGGCAAGCCAGCGCCTCGCCAGCTGGCAGATTGACGTGGAGGGCTGGGCGCAAGTGATTTCGACGAACGATTCAAATGAGCGATTGATCACGATCTTGCAGCTGATAGCGATACACATTGTCACTTTGGGGATACTTGTTGATATACGGAATATGATAGAGTTGATGGATAGGAGAGAGGTTGCTTTGGAGGCTCATCTTTGAAGTTGAAGTAGAACTTTTCTTCATCTCAAACGGGAAAACGAGTAGGTAGCTTGCCGATATTTAAAAGCTGTATATGGGCATAGAATGTCACAATTCACATTATTATACATCATTCACATTGCGTTCTCTGCTCTTGGAGGCAAGAGGTGGTATTTCTTGAACATTCGTAAAGTCTGATGATAGTACAATTCATATGGGGCAACGAGATATCGTGATTTTTCACAATATCAAGAGCTTGTCTACTACTTAGAGATATCCATTTCTTTTCCATCGCCTATTTTACCTAATGGCAAAGTAATTAACGCCTCCAATTTAAGGAGTTAGCATGCTTTGCCAAGGAACTCCCCAGTACCAACTCGCGGCCCCCATCGCACTAATGCTCATGGTGACAGCCATGAGGAAATTGACGTCGTTGTTATCAAGCAGATCCCAGCCATTTTCAACGATGCGAGAAGGCTTCTCATCACCAAAGCTAGGCTTCCTGTGCTTATTCTTAGGATCGAACTTGTCGACAAACTCATCAGACTCATCAACAGCTGCCGAACCTGTCTTCTCTGTAGCCTTACTACCCTCACCGTGCAGTAAAGAGGCTTTGATATCGGCTCGCTTATCTGAGCCATCGGCCTCGCCAGATACCAAGACGCGGACACCGCCGTCACCTTCGACAATCTTTCCAGAGCGCACATCCCTGACCGAGCGCTGGAATATGGCACCGAGATAGCTGTCCAAGACGCTACCAAGAAGGCCCCACACGACCAGAAAGCCCATTAGCAGCCGTCTATTTTCCGTTGTCCAAGGAATACCACCACCGCGAGTCCAGGCAGCAGATTCTTCGTTGCACATTGGTAGGAATAGCATAGAAGACGTGACGATGATGATAGATCCCAACAGGCCAGCTCCCAAACCCAACAACGTCACACCGCCGTTTGTGCCGCGGGGCACCTTTCGCAGCGTAAGGGATGTGATGAGGCGGGGCTCACTCTTGGACAAAATGCCCAGCTCCGAACTGAACGTGTCGGCCGCAACCGCAGCATAGTTGGCGATGATGCCGATGACAAGGAGATCGCCTCCCCATGAGAAGCACATTGATCCGCTGGGTTCCGGGCCACCTGGAGTTTTGAGGGCCGCAGCTCGAGCGTAGAGCTGGTTGGCATGGAGAACAGACAAGACAGATGCCACGAGCGAATTGGCAAAGACTTGACGATGGGTTAGCTTTTGTTGAGACAGCTAGAGCTTCGACCGTGAGTGACTGCCGTCAACATACCTTGAACATGCGTGCGAGGGCCTTCGCCGCCGGAGGCTCCCTTTGCACTCAGCGTGAGCGTGGCTTTGACATTTTCCTTGACCTGATGCCATCGTTAGCCTCTGTTCTTTTCTGTTTCTTTTGTATACCTAGCTGTAGCGATCAATCGCCATGTTCTTCAACTCACGTGCGTGACTCGCGTGCCCGCCAAAAAGAAGACGACCAGAAGCACAAATGGAAGATTCCACGGGTGGTAGGCATGCGCAATCGCGGTGGCCGTAGCGGCAGCGATGCCTGCTGGCGTCAGCGACTTCTTGCTCCACGCCCTGTACACAAGGGCCGCAACCGCCGGCACGGCAATGACGGGCTTCATGATGCAACGAGGCTGCGCTTTTTCGTCCTACGGGGAGGATTTTTGTCTGTTGATGTTCAGGAGTGAGGCTGTGATGTGAGAGACCGACGGAGGCCGGATGTGGCTAGGCGGCTGCCAGGTCAGCTGTGAGCTTATCGCATCAGCGTCGTATTCTGGAGCTGCCCGCTTGTCAGCTGCTGCCGTCGAGGTTACATGTACCCTCCGAATTCTCGCCTTATTATTACCAGGGTCGCCCAATATAGGCCACGTCCATGTGCCTGGAAATGATAATCATTGACATAGAAAAAAGACATATTTGCTCTATATAGAAACATTTATACGTGGCCATGGCAGAATGAAGCTTATAGATTTGGTTAATCGACACTGGAACGCCTAGGAGATAGCAGTGGGGACTTTCTGGACGCTCAAGTGCTGCACTTTCCGATCGAGTAATTCTGAGTTACCACGTGCTTGCCGCTATCTTAACAAAGAAATTGAAAATTTCGTCTTCTTCATATTCGCTTACATCTCTCGCAGCCTTTTGCAATCATGACGATAAACAATTCCACGCCTCATGGCCCAGTTTCCGCATCACCGACAGCCTCTAGTTGAGGCCCGGAGTCCAATCATCTGCGAGTCTGCTTCTCCTGCTTTCTGTACAACATGGAGAACTCAAAAACCATGTAATGCATCTTCCGTCTTCAGCGTTTCCCTCTGTGCTAACCTTCAACGATCCTACAGTTTTTTCCCTTTGTGAGACTGCGTGAGGGCTCGGATCTTTGGATAGCTCACCCGTTCCATCTCGACCTGTGCGTCACACAACTTACAGATGCTTGTAACACCCAATTCCATCATGGGATCAGCCTGTGATAAAGCGTCTCAAGCATGTTTTTTAACATACAGACTTCATTTATGCTTGAGCTTTCCAAGACAAAAGCATTTATTGCCAAGCTGGGCTTAAACTTCGAGCTGGAGCAATACAGCGCCCATCGTTCTCCACTGGTGCGATCATGACTATATATCAAAGCCAAAACTTCGTTGCGTGCTTTGTGTAACAAAAGATCAACGCCTCCACGTTCGAGCACGCAGCTCAACAACCGGGCTCACCACTGCGCCCACCGCTTCCAAAGCCAGGCGAATCGCGAGCCGCAGGACACTCGACCAAAATGCTACACCAGGGACTAGCCAGCCGCTAGGTCAACGATCCGCGTGGTCTTATATACTCAGCTCCAATTTCGCACCACACGTCAGCCAGGACACGTATAACACACTGTTACACAGTTTCACAGCGGTAACCACTCAACTATACGGGATATATATGTGAGACAGTCGTTGAAGGCTAAAGCAACTACCTCGTGTATTGCGCTTGAGACTGCAGCATTAGCAAACGAGAGCCCTCAAAAGATCAAACTTAGCTGTGTGGCTTGCATGAGGGCACCCTCCTCATAATAGCTGATGTAACATATTTCGCACAAGCCAAACGGTATTCAATATCACGATAGAGAGTATTTGGTTTTCGCCAAGACATCACCAAAAAGAAGATATTGAGAACGAACTGGCCAGAAACAAGGCGGCATGACATGGAAACTAGCATCATTAAAAGGGATAATGAAAGAGAATCCGGTTTCAGTCTTGCTTCAGCGTATCCTATGAGTTCCGCTGTCCCAAACTAGCGGTCAATCATAGAGAACCTATTCCAAAGGAAAGGCTGCCGAGAGTATCAGCAGAAAGCCAATACTCATTTCCATTTCCTCTCCCCGGCTTCTTGCAGATGCAAGCTCGCACTTTTGATGAACATGGCACCTGTATGGGGGATTCTAAACTGCGTTCAAAGTTATCAGTGGAGACTTGTCGCTGTATCTCATCTCAACCAACTGTACAAGCAAAAGAACATTGAACAGTACCTCCTAGGCTTTACCCCTAACCAAAGCGAGCAACGCAGTGAGCGATGTGATGACGCAGCTAATGTGCATCAAGTTAAAGCCTCGCCACCAGTACCAATGACAACTCGTTTCGCCAACATCTTTACCTCTTCTTCCTTAAGCCTCAGGGGACGATACTCTTGGCAGTTCTGATCGACTTTGGAATTCTTGTAGCTAACAAGTCTGATCTTGATTTGGAGGAGACGCAACTGCTGCGGCTGTTTGTAAGCTCCAACGTTTTTCATAATTGCCTTTATAGCCGATGCTTACTTTGTCTGTATGAAAGATAAGGCAACGGAATGTTCAGGCTATCGCGATCCAGCAGTCTTCCAACAGCTTGGGAACACGCTCTTTGATTATGCCAATCCATTCCACACACTATTTCAAAAGACATGCTTTTGGCGGTTTCATGTCGACCTGATGTCTTTACCGAATCTTCTCTAGCCAATTATCAAACTTTTTTCACAGAATGAGTAGCGCACCTATGGCAAGGACGTATGCGCAACACAAGTGAAGCTCGTTGTCCACAAAAAGCATCCTTCTTTTATTAATAGCTGCTTACAGCAGCGGCTTCCTCGCGGCACCTTCTTTAATCGGTTTAACAAGACTCTTGGCTACTATCAGCGTTCCTGGCGAGTCACTTGGGCGATGTCGCTGTCGTGAACCAGTAAACTCTTCAAACAATTGGGCATCTCGATATCATCATCCAAGCTTCATAAACAGGCATCAGAATCCTTTACTCTATATCCGTGTTTCGTCGTGCCCTACTCACCCAATACTAAGACAAATCAACAAGACCGACTTACAAGACATTTGCTGTCTAGTATTATAATATCATCGCTGCCGTCAGCGCTACCATAGACCAGCCAGAAGCTATTTTCGACGAGCTACTACGTCATCTTCCATTCTACCGCTCTTGAACTAAACCACCAACCATATAATGAAGCTTCACAAATCGAAAGGTCACGTCGAGCCTCCTTCTGGGCCTTTCAGCCACCCTTGTATATCTGGACGATCGCTCATCGCTTGCCAAAACTGCGCGAGTGCCAAAACTGGCTGTGATAAAAGGTATCCATGCTCGAGATGTCTCGAAAAGAATCTCTCATGCATCACACGATACGCCCGCCGAGCATCCAAGGTTGCTATGCGAGCAGCAGCACAAGCAGCGTCGTCCTTACCAACAAATAGCCTTCTCACACCGACCGTTGAAAGTAGCTCTGAAAACGTTCTCCTCCAAAGTCCGATACAGCACCTCCATGGAGGCCCCGATCAGTATGACGACCATTTCCAAAACGCATTCATTAACCCTCTTTCGCCTTTGTCAGGATACTCTGCCACCGCTACATCTTTGGGTAGTTCATCATACTCAGATGTAAACGTCTTCGAACTTGGACAAAATTCACCTACACATGTCGGAATTTCCGACTTTCCTACAAAGATGGAGCTCATTGACAACGATATGTCGATAGGCCTACCCAACAACTTTCAATGTTGTCCAGAGAATACAGATAGTTGCTCCTGCAAATTAGCTCCGTTCCCGGGATTATTTCCCTTCAAAGAGCCAAAGAATTATGGAGGCTTTACCGACATACCACAAGACGTTGGCAAACATACAGCCAACTTTCAAGGAGGCTTTTACAATCCTTTTCTCGATGCCAGCAGTACCCTCAACCCAATATATTTATCAGAAATCCCAGGTCTACATTTGGCAAGAATTTGGATAAGAAGGTTGAAGCGCAAGGGCCTATTCGACGGCCACGCTCCGAACGTTCATGTAGATGAATCAATACAAATACATCAGCAGTTGCATCTGGATGGTCAACATCTTAGTCATGATAGGTATGTCTTCTTTGGACACAGCTTTGTAATGTTTTCTAAGATATGTTTTTATACAGTTTAGCATATAGCTGGGCCATATTGGATCAAGAACTAAGCTTGTTCCACGACGTTGAACAGACACTTTCGCTTTCCAATCTGGCACCACCTCTCCCTGATCCCAAACTTCCGTGGTATTCAAGAACAATTATCCAAGCTACTTGTTCATATTTGATGGGCGGGACTTACTCAAATATCATCAACCCAGAGGAGTCGCCAAGCTTTGAGTTCCGTCAAACATTGAAGCAACTGTTCCAAAACTTTATCCAAGGCACGCTATCAGAGAGAGTGCCTCCACGGCATCTTCAGCTTCTCCTCCACCCGCTGCAAGCCTTAGCCTACCACTCTAGAGGCCTGCTTTTGTGTGCAAAGAGCACTCCTTCTGAAGCATTAGGTAGAATTGCCACCTCCAGCGTTCTGGAAACGGAGAGACTTCTGCAATCATGGTATATGCTTGCCACAGAACCTCATGGCGAGGAGGATACATGTTCAAATGATATTAGGCTTGGTCTAATCCTTTACCATTTCATATCCCTCAACCTAGCAGCCAACCTAGTGGGCATCGAGCAACTCACCGACCCAGGGACCAGCACCCTCGATATTGGCTGCTGGCAGCACTTTCTCCAAAACCAAGAATGCTTCCGCAGCCACCGAAATGCCATATTCCACTGCGGCCAAGCATTGCGACACTTACGCGCCGTGGGCGTCGACGTAGCACGCCCTTGGTGGTGGCCAACAGCCATACAAAGGGCAATTCTGACGTTATGGACCGCTTCTCATCTTGCGCCCATCAGTTCGTGCCCAACCATCCCAGAGGCATCATCCGTGTTCCCAATGGAAGATTTGTGGCAGCAGAGCTCCTCCATGGACATGGTACCAGAAACCTCTGAGCTCTGCATTGTCGCTATTGATGGTGCTGCCCCTGAGGATGTCTGTTTCCGCGACGTCAACTGGAGCGAGAAATATATACCGGTTTTGACACGTTTGGATGAGGGAGTAGTGGTTCTGACCGACGCGATGGGCATTCTGGAATATGGAATCTCGCTCATCAATGCGTTCCCTGGCTCTCCGGAAGGGGAGGCAGTAGTTTCGTTGCTCAAGGGCCTTGGGCAAGTTTGGGAAGGCAAGTAACAACAGTCATTGAATTCGGCTTGTTTTCTTCTTGTTATGGCGAGATAATTTTCAAGGGTAGGATAGCTGGCACAGATAATGCTTTTCAATAGTTTCGGAAGGCCAAGGTCATATTCATATTCATTTGACTTGCAAAGTATCATACTAATCGATCAGTCTTCATGATATATCCCGTCGTGAGTAAATAGCAATATCTTGTAACGCCCAAACGCCAAGCAAAAATGCTCCTCTCCGCTCAAAGACACTAGTCTGAAGAAGTGTTATCCAAATAAAGCCGTCATAGTTGCAGTATCATAAATCCCAAAGCCATGCCATCATCCAATCTTCTCAACGCCCGCGTCCATGTCCACCACATCCTCATTCAACATTGCCAGATATCAAGCCCTGTAGTTCAAAGGGACTAAGCGTGCTCCTCCGCCTCGACGAAACTTTGGCCACCCGAATATCCCTCTTGCGTTTCTCGGGTTTCTGTACTTCTTGCTGTGCAACTTCTCGCTTTATCGGACTAGCACTCCTGGGCCGACCGGCTACCGAAGCCTGTATTCTTGCCGCCGCCGAAGGTCTCGACAGCTCCGTGGCAGAGGCCACTGCAGGTCTTTGAGCAGTCTTTGCAGCTCGCAGGGTTTGGAGTTTTGCGCGCGCAGCATCAGCTTGCTTTTCCGAGGCGGCGAGCTTGGCGGCAATGGCAGCTTTGGATGGCGAGCTACCAAGCTGTGGCCGCGAAACCCTGTTTGCCTGTGTTGGTGCCAGACGGACAGGCATACGACGTGGGTTGGATCGTATGCCCCCTGGGTTGGAACTGGCACCAGCCGCAGGGCCGCTTCGAGAGGCTGGAGGTTCTTCTGCTCGGTTGTTTGACAGTAGAGCTTCATCTAGAGATGACGTTGATGCAACAAGCGGCGGCTCTTCGGGCCTAGTTGTCTTTGTACCATCAAGCCGCTGCCTCTGGGAAGTCCCTAGTGCCTTTACAACTCGATTAGATGTAAATTTGGGGGCCTCGGCGCTGTTAACTGCAGCCGTCTGCTGCATGATAGAGCCACTGGGCTTTTGTCGATGTCTACTTTGCAAAGGACCGCGGTTGCCAGCTGAAGAAGAATTCTGAAGCGGAACCAAGTGAGGAGGCGGTATGGGAGGTTGATCTGACTCTATATCATCAGCCGCCCCCGAATCTTCCATCCCGGGGACATGGTTGTTTGGTGGTTCTTCGTCAATTTCCATAACATCGTCGTCGTCATTTCTGTCGTTGTCGTCGTTGCCGCCGTCACCTTCGTCGTTGTTGTCAGGACCGCCTGACTCATCGTTACTATAACCATAGATGTCCTCTTCGAGATCGTCCTCTTCTTCGTCTTCCTCTGCGACATCAGCCATCCCCTGGTACGATCCTTTAGGAGGACAGGGCGATTGTTTCGACTCGTCATCTTCCTCTTCTTCTTCGCTTTCTTCTGCCACGACTGGTAGGCCGGGTTCTCGTCCGGTCCTTGTTTCCTCAACATTGGAGACGCGGACCGGGCTCAAATGCAATCCCATCTTGAGATCCTCCTCCCCAATAGGTTTCCCAGTTTTATTCATTCTCTTCCGCCAGCCATCCATCAGATGAACAGCGTCTTCCCATCGGCTCTCCATCTTGATCCAGCCAGCTTTAAGACGATCGATTTCTTCCTCTCGCACCATAACCTCTTCGATTGGCACAAAGGATGGGTTCGTCAAGATTGTTCTCAGGTGTTCCATCACAGCGCCAAGCTCCGATGCCATCTCCTGCCAGCCTTGCGGCTTGACAACCTCAGATTCCTCTTTGACTTCGCTATTCCATCCACTCATCTCGCACAGCCGATCTTTTGCCTGTCGCACGACGTTCAAGAGAGTCTCGTTCTCTTCGCTCAAGTTCTGCGCCAAGCTAGCAAGAAAAGAGTTTGTCTCGGTACGCAAGGAATAATCTTCGTCTTCAATGTTTCCTCCACGTGTGAGCGATCTCCTGCTTTCATTGCCCACATCTCCTGTCACGGTAATCGACACGACTCCAGAGCTGGTTCTTGTTCCTCTCGCGCGACCCGCCTCGCCGACCTGCTTCTTGAGACTTTCGATTTGTCGATCACGCCTCCGTACTTCGGTCGCGCATGCGGTTCGTACTTGTCCCACTAATCCTTTTGTGCGTGCCAGCTCATCTTTGAGTCCTCGCACAGTCGACTCTGCTGACTTGAGCTGGGTCTTGAGCGAAGCTTCGGATGCCGTGGCGATGTCGCTTCTGCGCTGGGCCTCGGCAGCCTTCTCTGATAGTCGCGCAATGTCGCTTGTGTATTTTAAGTTCTCCGCTCGAAGACCGCGCAGCGCTACCGAGAGGGACTCGCGTTGTTCTGCATCTCGCTGGTGGTGTATTAGCTTGAATGGTTCTTCTTGTTATTCTAGTAAGAGTGTCTCAGAAACGTACATCTCGTCGGATAATGAGATCATTCAAGATGCTTATGATGCGGCCTGCAGTCTCTGCGGTGCTGTATTCGTCTTCTCCCAGGCTTGTGAAGTCGATGTCGCGGCCATCGCGGAGAAGTCCTCTCGACAGCAGCTGGTTGTTGATGTACTGCGAAGCTGTCCACAGATTCTCCGCATCAATCATGTTGACCAGATGCAGCAACTCAGGCAAAAGACGGTGAGATAAATCAGGCGATCAGTCAGTCTCTTGTTTACCATGCCTCAACACAAACTCGAGCTGTTGATCGCAGGTAAACTGAGCTCGGTATCGGCTCTATGCGACCGCAAGGTTTTGGTTGCCATGTGGAGGAAGTAAACAACGCCTGATAAGCTTTGCATGACTAAGCATGGATGCGTCCAACAAACTACACGCAACGCGAAGTGATGAAACCATAGCCATTTATGACAATAATTTTTCCAATTTTTTGGGAAACTAGCTGAAAGAAACAAGCACGCCTTTTGCATATAGTAAAACTCTTCCTCGAACCTAGTTTGTGGATACGTCCATCACTTTTAAACAAGGCACAGACATGATGGGCACGTAGATACAAATAAGTAACTAAAGTCATATTTGCTGAGAATATATATATGCTCGTGATATTTATATACAGTGGTGGTATCATTATATGACCACATCCTCGTGGCGCGATATCCTTATTGTTGAGTTTTCTAACGGCTTCGGTAGTAGGTAGCGTTCAACTTGGGTCATAGATTTCTGATGACTCGCTGCAACGAAATCGGTAGGGTTGGCGAACGAGTACTGGAAGGTGATATCGAGACTGTGCGTCTGCTTCATATAGACATCGTTTCTATTCGAATACTCAAAGCCCTCATCGAACCGACAAGTCCAGTGTTCCTAGATACGGCGTTAATACCATTTTCACCGCATGCTATGTGAGAAAAAAGCGTCTCGTCTGTTCGTCCAAGCCTCAGAAGAGTTGAGAAGATTGTTGTTACGCGGTTGTTTTCGACATCAGCCGGAATAGAGCCCAGGCGAGCCTGGATTCTCTTCTAGCCTCTCGATGGCCCCGCGTGCGTCATCATGCTTGCATTTCGTACAAAGCAAAAGCCCCCAAGTAAATGAAAATCTCAACTTACTTCACTTCATTGACCATACGAAAGAGGTTCTTCTGCATCATGTCTCCGGCTTGAACTTCCCCCTCTTTTCTTTCATCGCATTGACCTTCTTCTTGTCCTCTTCGAAGCGTTTCAGCAGTTCCGCCTGCTCTTGCTTCCGTCGTTCTCGCAGCTGGAAGCGGTAAAAGTCCGTCAACTCAGACTTCTTCTTATCGGCCTTTTCGACCATCTTGCGTCTAGCCTCTTCAGCTTCGAACTGGTTCGCCGGGTTGATCTTTCCACCACGAGTAACAGTAACGAAGCCATCTTCATCAGGCTCATTGCGCAGGCGCTTGCTGAGCTCGGCAGCTTCCTTCTCTTTCCTGTTGAATACGTTGAAGAATGCATGTGTGGCATTTTGTATTTCTTTCTTATTGGCACGGCAGAGCCGTAAATGGGAAGAGATCCATGGTGAGCCTAGTGGCTGGACGTCACCAGAGATGCTCTGGCCCCATACGGGATATTTCTTGGTCTTTTGAAGTTTCGCAATCGCCTTGAGAACGAGTTGCACGCTCTTGTCATCAGCGAGCAGTACAACAGCCGTGCTACTGCTTCTATGCAGTTGGCGTGTCCAAATATCTGGTAATCGTGCAGCCTCTTCTTCCGCCCTCTCTTCATCCTCGACGTCTCCCCTCTTCCGTTTACGCGCATATCCAGCAACCTTGAGCGCTCGGGCAGGATCGATTGCAACAGCAGCTTTGTTGTCGTCTTCGAAGGCTATGGTCTCGAATCGTCCGGCGCCGACAAGATCGGTGAATATTGCCCGGAAATGAGGCTCTGTGCTATCTGCAGGAATGTTTTTCAGGAAGAGGCTGCGAGAATCATTCGCCGTTGGGATCTTGGGCGCATTTCTTCGTATCCGCACTTCGTGAATGGCTGTCTCTGGAAATGAAGCGACCGGAGGCATCTGAATGGGGAGAATGGCGAACTGATCGCCAGTCGCATCTAAAGGAGCCATTTTGGCGAGATATTTGGGAGATGGCAGCTCTGCGTCTCTTGCGTAGGAACGAAGATTTGCTCGCGCTTGATGCTCCAAGGTCTTGAGAAAAAATTGGCCCCACTATCCGTATCGATATGGAAGGGCTCTTCAGTTGTGTTAGCATCAATCAATGCCGCAGGCTCTAAGTATTTAAATTCTCCCTGCGCAAGCAGAAACAGAATATTACTGCCATATACCAAGAATTACTGCTATTTTAGAGGAGAAGACGAGAAAGGAAAAAAAGGAAAAAGATCGTTCACTACAGGTAAAATTCCTGGCTACCGGTATTCAGAGCAGCAAAAAATGACGAGAGTGGGACTCGAACCCACGCGGATTGCTCCACCAGGAATTGCTGTTAAGGTAGCCTTAACCTGACGCCATAACCAACTCGGCCATCTCGCCGTTAGATGCTATACAGGGGCCAAAATTATACTAAGAACCCTTGCACAGCCGTTTCGGATATTCTGCATCAATAACTCTTAGGTTACTCATGCGATGGATGCAGTACAGAATATATTGAAGGTAGTCTTTACGAGCTGATAGTGCAAGAGCAGTATAACTGATACAAGAAGATATCGTATATATCGCATAAATGAATCACAGCCATCTACAAACACAAGAAAGTCATCTTGCTCGCATATAGCATCTACACTTCAATGGCAATCCTTCCCACGCCACGACTCACACATGCCAACATGGAAACAGCCTTTTCATCCGGCATAAGCGCGGAGCCTCGATGAATGATCTCCCCGTTTTTGACAGTAACTTTGCATGTGCCGCAATTGCCCACTTCGCAGCTCGAGGGAATGTCGTCGAATTCCCGCTTCAAGACCTCCAATAAACTCTCCTCTTCTCCGACTTGAACAACTTTATTCTTTCTGTTGGTGATGATTGCTTCGAAAGGATCTCCAGAAGTGTCGGCAGAAAAGGCCTCAAAATGTATCTCTTGCGGCGAAATGCCGGCCTCGTCGGCGGTAACCTTGGCTACTTCCATCATACGGATAGGCCCGCAAACATATGTAAAACTGTTCCAGGGGAGGGTCTTCATGATGTTGCTCAAGTCCATCCTTTGGCCTTTTGACTTGTCGTATATAATCACTCTATCTCCATATGATTCCAACCGATCTTGGAAAGGGATGTCGTCGGAAGACCGCACAGCATAGTGGAGTTGAAAGCTCCAGTTGATATTGTCGTATCTGTCCATCATATGCAGGAATGCGGTAATGCCAATGCCTCCAGCTATGAAAACGTGGTGACTTGCTGCTCCTACCGGTCCGTTAACATCGCTCGTAACATTAGCCACCTGGATGGCATCCCCCTCTTTGAGAGATTTATGCATATATCGCGAGCCGCCTCGACTGTTATCGTCAAGAGAAATACCAAACTCCAATCTTCTGACGTCTTCAGCTTCGCCTCCGCTACTTGACACAACAGAATATGTTCTGACAAGGCCATTTCCCAGCTTGAGCTTTGCGTGGGCTCCAATGGGGTACTTCTCAGAGTGAGCCTTTGGAGGAGCCTCAATCACCAGCGAAACGGTTCTCGGTGTTTCAACTTTGCGGCTGACCACCTTGAAGCTTTCCCAATCGTCTTCTTTCTTATGCAATTTCCGCCTTTGAGCCTTGGCTACGCGTCTCTGAAACTGGTTGCGGGCCTCGTTGCCGAGAGCCTCAACTTCAGCCAGCTTCTCATTCATCTCGTCATTGTCAGTCACGCGATGGAGATACTCCTGGACCCGTTCAATCGTCCACGCTGGCCATTTTCTCTCAACGAGCTTCAGTTCGTCGCCGGAGTTTACGGTACCCTCGCGGAGGACACGGTAATACCATCCGGTGCGGCTTGTCTTGTAAGTCTCAGGGGCGAAATTCTTCAACGAGAAGCGATGGTTGAGTTTGAAACATGGCTGCCGTGGAAGGGATACTTGGAGGATGACTTCTGAACCAACAGAGATAACGTCACCAATACAGACATTCCGTTCATTCATGTGCGCCGTGACAAAGTTTTCTCCAAAACCGCCTGGGACGAACTTGTCGAGTCGGTCGGGATAAGATTCTTGCCACGACGGATAATGAGAAGAGCAATCTATGAAGCGGTTTGTTAGTCTGAAGCCGTTAATAGAACTCAAGGAAGTTGTTTACATCCAAGAATAGCCTTATCTGGGCCGCCATGAAACGTAGGATCGTGCTCATCTCCTTCAAGCCCCAACTTATCAATCTTCATAGAAACAGTGCGAAGCTGCTTGTCAATTCCTGACATGACATTCAAGCCTGGCATTTGTTTCATTCCAGAGGTGCGGATTTCGATGAGGCGGTCGGCCTCAAAGGGCGCCACAAGATTGTCTAGATATGAGCTTCTCATTGTACTGGTCAATGTCATGGAAAAGGCAACGACGAGAAGTGTGGAGATGAGAGATCCTGAGGTGTAAGTGCAAGTCATTAGAGACTACAGTGCGAGTACTGTATCTCGCTCGGACTTACTCTAAAGAGAAAGCACCAACGAACTTCGGCCGTCCGAGCACTTTGCAGCTTTTATTTGTGTGTTATACGGTCGTCAAAATGACGAATATAACTAGGCAAAAGTTATTTCAGCATCCCAATTCTGTTATTCATAGAAAATTAATGGCTTTGCCGTTCCTAGCTTACAGGCTTCACAGGCTGATTCCCAATACTGCCACTCCAAGCTTTTTTTGCCTGCCGACCTTTTGACTCTTCGGCCGGCGCACTGTATCGGACTCTTACGGTTAGATTACCGAGTGGCCTTTATCGTCAATGCATGGAGTATCGAGCATTGTACAAATTGAGCTAAGACTGGGAAAAATGTCGGGTTATATTCACATCTTATCTTTAGATAACGGCCCAACTGAATTGAAATTACTAGAGACTCTTTTGATAAAGTTTTTCCGTTCCAATTACAAACTCAGTATCAAACAAAAGAAGAGCAGTCGAGCTATCAGGAACCCACAGCGGCTTGACGACACAAAAAATTCCCTTGACCCTATACTAATGCATTAAATCTGAGAAAAACCCAATTTTTTTCTAGTGCAATGTTTTCTCGCAATGTTTTCTCGCTGTCCTGTTTCAACATTTCCGCGGCATGGGGAAAGCTACCCTGCAACCAGAAAATTTTCAGTATAATAGCAAACTCCAGCAATCATGTATAATGCAAGATACGACGATTTTCGACCAATTCCCAATAGGGTTCTGTGGTCTAATGGTTAGGACTTTGGATTTTGATGAAGAATCAATTCCAGCAGCGAGGGTTCGATTCCCTCCAGAACCTTTTTTTGCTGTTTTTTGTTAGCTAGGGACTGGGGCTAGTTTGGCTTGTGCCGAGCGCCATTTCCTCTCTCAATGGGGCAAGAGGCTCGATGTTCAAGTTGTGTGCCCTTACTCCATATATGTTTGACGTTGAAGAATATCCTTTGTTTCATATTACAAGCTCAACAAGTGTATAGCATTAACCGTTCTTTTTTGTAAAGCCACGTAATGAATGACACATCAGCATGAGCTGAGCAATAGTGACTAGCCCTCAGATTGTCTTTTGCCAAACTGTCGATTAACACAGCTTAGCTGTATGCTCTTCCGCAGTGACTGCCCTGTTTCAAGTGTACCAATCCCAAGTAAAGAAATAAATACTCCAGAGATCTGCTGTATTACCCAATGGCTAAACGACTTGATAGCCTATTTCGCCGAGGTTAGTCATATCATTGGCCGGATTCTTTGCTTCCAGCAGGGGGATAATACAATTGCCGGTTTTCGGCCCCGATGTGGAGATGTGACTCCGGATACCCCGCGCCGGGGTGTGTAAGTACACGATCTATATAAGATAGACAGCTCTACTGTCAATGTAGGAGAAAACGAAAAGCCGCATCTCATACTTTCTGTCGGGTTATCAAATCTAAATAGACATTATACACACCATGCGTCTCCCCTACGTCGCCGATCCTCCTCCAGTTCAAACCACCGAAGATGCCGCCATCGTGCAGCGCATCCGTGAGCGCCGCGCTCCACGGCCTCTCCAAGCACTGGACCTGACGCTCCTCCATTCACCCCCCGTAGCAGACGGCTGGAACTCATTCCTCGGCGCCGTCCGCACCAAGACTTCTCTCGCCGACGACGTGCGAGAGCTAGCCATCTCACGCGTTGCCGTGTGCAACAAGGCGTGGTATGAATGGGGGCATCATGCGCCACTGGCCATCCAGGGCGGCGTGAGCGTGAATGCCATGGAGGCTGTGAAGAGCGATGTCTTGGGAGAGAGGCCAGAGGGGCTGTTGAGCGAGAAGCAGTGGGCTGTGCTGGTGTATACGGATGAGATGACGAGAAACGTGCAGGTCAAGGATGAGACGTTTGCGGCGTTGAAGAGTCATTTCAGTGATCAGGAGGTTGTGGAGATTACGGCAACGGTGAGTCGATTACTTGACCATCTCGCATATGAGATATAGATCAAGATTGCGACATTTGTTTTCTCGAGGTGCTGATTTATCTATCTTATAGGTCGCTGCATACAACTGCGTGAGTAGGTTTTTGGTGGCTTTGAATGGTACGTTCAAGCTATGAATTATCTTTCATTTATTGCTCATTCATCATGTTTTCCCATGTGGCTGTCCATTACTAACATTGCACATTTATAGTGGGTGAAAAGAATGGCACTGTCCCCGGGCCTGTTTCTGAATTGGCTCCTCATTGATAGTACATTGTTGCAAATACTTTACAACTGTAGCTGGTATAAAAAAAAGTGCTAGAGAAACTAGAATGATGAAAAGAACTTATCTGATGATAATGAACGTGAAGGAATCTTGGAAACAGGAAGAGGTAATCCACCAATCACGAACCGTAATAGAAAGCAATAATGCTGCGAAGGAGAAGCTTGTGTATGCGCTTTTTGTGATATAGTCTTGCTTTGTCAATTCTATGAGCCTGTCGTTGTAATTCGAGTTGTGATAGGGACTGCATGTATTGGGTTAGCTTCGAGTACAACGTAAAGACAGGTCTTCTTCCGGCAATGCAGGAAGGAAAAATGTATGATTGATACAAGGCGTGTGACGCACTGGTTGTCTGCCCGCCTTCTTCAGGCGTGCCTGTTATAGCAACATGCATGGCCTCTCATAGTTAGAAGGGCAATGCCACCTTTTATCAAGACTAAATCACTCCTGCTCCTACTTTGGAAGATGAGCAGAAAGCCATTTTCAGCACAAGGCCGAGGTACCAAACGAGCATTGATACAGGTCAGGCAGCTAAATGAAGATATTCGCTATCATCACTCAGTGAGTCTAACGCAGCTCGACACTGTCATAAAATATTGCTCACTTTCTCCATTTTTTCCTGGATTAGATGATTATAAATCAAAGGGTATACTATCTAAAGAGTGCTTGTGTGTAATAATCCAAGTAATAAAAAGTGGTAAAATAGTCCAAATACCCAAAGCCCAAAGTCCAAAGCCCGCCATCCACATCTTTATAACCGCGTGCGCCATGGCACGAAATTCCGTTGCCCTATCAGTTAGGTCTCTTTTCTTCTCGTATATATCGTTAATAAATCTTGCTTGCGAACATCTGTTTTGGCTTGTCATGTCACCCTTTCTGGCTGATCTCGTTGTTGGTATTGCTCGTGCAAGATCCGTAAGGAAAGTCGTCATCATGTCGTCGGAAATTCTAGTTCGCATGCCATTGAAAGCGTGTGTAAGTTTGTTTGCTTGCGTGCAAATCTCCTCACTGTGTCGGACTTTCCATGAGCTTTTCGATAGAAGCATGTCGTGCTCGCATCCGCGGCGACATTTGCAGCTCCTGGACGACTCCGGCCCAGCCACTCCGCTGGGGGGTTTCGACATGCTCATGGTGACCGATGGCCTGGGTAGTCAGTCTCCGGCTAGGCGTGCGCTTTGGCAGATCATCAAGCGACTTCTTTGCCGAGAGTCTGGTGGGCGTTGTGTAAGCGGCCGTCTTCTCGGGCAGTGGTGGCGGAGGGGGAGGCTGTTTCTCTGCAATGGAGGTGATGATGCCCAGGTAAGCCATCATGAAACGCATGCGAAGCGAGTCCAATCGTTTCATCCTCTCCTCAATCTGCGCGCGCTTCGACGCCCACATGATCCTCGAGCTGGTCCGCAGCGTGGTTGCGCTCTCTTCGCGGACCAAGTGGTTCAGATCGTCGCGCAAGTCATCGCCAATCCTCTGGATTTCCCGCAGCAGACGATTGAGGCGGATCTTGTCTTCCAGACGCTGGACCTTGGAGACGTCACGGTCGTAGCCCTCGTTTTCCTCAATGGAAAAGTCGAGCGTGTCGATGAAGCTGGCCACCTCCTGCGGCGCAACCCTGTACGCCGTCCAGTACGAATTCGCAGTCTGTGCGATCATCACGATAGTCATGCCAGTGGCGGAACCGGCCAATATGTAGGCCCACTGGAGCCAGCCTGAGTCGGCCATTATGCAGCGGAGGGCAGCAAAGCACAAGTCGTGATGCCGTCCCAGAAGGGCAGAGGCATGGCCTGCGGCGAGGAGGCGGGAGCTTTGTCTTTTAGTTGATTTACAGGCTAGATGGAGGAAGAAAGGAAGAGTGAAGAAAGGAACAAAGAAATTGAGAAAAAGAAAGCAAAATGACTAACAGACAAGGTGGAATGGATGACGAGTTGCGTAGCGGAGGAGAAGAGGGAGCCCTGATCCCAGCCCTGATTGGGTGAGTGTGGCAGCATAGAGTGCATGTATGTAATAGTAATTCACTCTTACAGCTGGAGAGCAAGTTGTTGGGATCGTGGGCCGCGAGCTGAGGGAGAGCAGAAGAGACACAAAGGCAGAATCGCAGTGCCACAAGCGGAGAAGCAAATACTGCGCTGTGTGTGCCAGACTTTGATGATGCTGTTTGGTTCCTGCAAGTGCCTGGAAGCGATATTGTAACGCTCATCCCGGATTCCGTGGCACTCTGCAGGACCGCAGCGAGAGACTCCATGTACCTACATTTAGCTATGATGAACGGCGAAAAAAGATGTTGGGGAGGGTGTCTATGCTAGCAGTAGATGCATGTATTAGACCAGAGCTGCCCTTTGGACCAGTCACAAGGGCACACACCAGTGTTTGCATGACACAGGATTCCATGGAAGCCAAAAAAACTCAGCTGTGGTTGCATGCTTGAGGATTGCTTTAGGTGGTAAACCAGGTACCTGACAGCATACTGCTTGGGTGTTAAAGCAATTATATCATTCAACAGAGTTTCTACAGTATTCGCATCTTTATCGACATGGATTATTCTCTAGATAGACTGACATCTGATGGAAGCTTCTGCAGCCCTTGCAGCGATCCCCCAATCCAGCCCACAAATGGCAGGCTGTCCAGCGAGCTTCCACTGTCCTGCATATTGGCAGCTCTGCGCTGTCCCGCTGTAGCCAATAGCACTGCTGCCATGTCAACCCCACTATAGCGCGCAACTTTCAAGCGACGAAAAAAAGGCCATGACTGCGTTTGATCTTATCAGAAATGACTTGCAGAGTGCATCGCAGCGACCCAGGCCCGAAATAGAAGCCGAATTGTTACTTGTACCTTTCGGAGAAAATCTTTGACCCAAGCTTGTGACTAAACCAATTCGCTCTCCTCACAGCCTTTCAACTCGTCCTCTTTTCCACCAGATCGCTCCCCAGTAGCCATGGCGGCCGCTGTATCAGACGCCGCAGCGCCGGCGCATGAATTTCCGCTGCCCAAGATTCTCACCAACCCCGCGTCAACCCCGCCAACACTCATCACACAAGGCGCCGAAGGCCGCCTCTACAAGACGACATACCTGCTGCCCGACACCGCCTGCGCCCTGAAGTACCGTCCGCCGAAGCCGTGGCGCCATCCCGTCCTCGACCAGCGCCTGACCAGACACCGCATCCTGTCCGAGGCGCGCATCCTCGCCAAGTGCCGCCGCAATGGGCTCCGCGTGCCCTCCGTGTATGCCCTGGACGAGAGCGCGGGCTGGCTGATGCTGGAGTGGATCGAGGGCACGCCCGTGCGCGTCAACATCAATAATAGGCTGGGGAACAGAACCGAGGGCATCGAGGATGACGAGCAGCTCAAGGATTTGATGCGGAAGATTGGCACAGCGGTGGGCAAGATGCACAGCATTGGCATTATACACGGCGACTTGACGACGAGCAACATGATGCTGAAGCCCCCTTCGGCAAGCAATCAGTCTGATGGCGCGACCGGCCTCGAGGGAGAGATTGTCATTATAGATCTTGGGCTTGCCAGTGGAGGTGTACATGACGAGGACAGGGCGGTCGATCTGTATGTCCTCGAGCGTGCTTTTGGTAGCACGCATCCCCGTGCCGAATGCATCTTCAACGAGGTCCTGGAGGCATACAAAAAGTCATTCAAGCAGGCCGGCGTGGCCCTCAAGAAGCTGGAAGAAGTAAGGATGAGGGGCCGGAAGAGAAGTATGCTCGGCTAGAACGTGATTGTATGACGGGAAAACCCCGAAGGAGGACAATGTTCAAAAAAAGGAAATCTTTTTTCATTTTCTTCGATTACTTCCTTGCCAGCCAGAGAGGAGGAAGGAGAAGGAAATTTACGACATATATAGAGTATAGTTCCATGTAATGATGCCCGCTGTTATGATATCCAAAATGAATAAATCAACATAAGAATGCAAAACAAAAACACCGCTTTTAGTAACAGTTAAAAAAGGAAGATTCATGATATATCCAAGTGGGAAAAAGGGGGGCCTTGGCGGAGGCTACTCTCTTCTACTGAAGCGCAGCCCCCGCGAAGTAGCCCTTGTTCTCAATCACTCCACGATCCTTGACATATGCAACGTATCGAGCAACCCATTGCGGGAAGAGCTCGCCTTCAAGGCCGGCGCCGCCATTAGCAGCATCGGCCAGCACTCCTGCACCCTGGGGTCCATGGCCGAGGAGCTCTCGCAAGGTGCCGCGAGGAAGGATATCGGTGCAATCGGTGTGGACATGCAGCTCCACGCTCTCTTCTTCCGCCAGCTTTAACAGGGGCTCGGGGACGTTGCAGCAGTCCTGCAGGTTGACCTGATCGACGGTCGGGCGGATCGCTGTCTGCTGAAGAAAAGCCCGGAGCTTCTCGCTGCCAAACTCAGCAACGCCGAGGCGCTTGGCCAGGCCTTGGCTGTGCAGGTCCTCAAAGACTTTCCAGGACGCGAGCTCTTCCTCTAGATTTCCCTGCTGGGCGTTGATGCGCTCGGCTTGCTTTTCGCACGTGCCCTCAAATGACATTCCGGGGAAGGAGACGATCAAAAGGTCAATGGCCTGGATGCCGAGCTCCTTGCGCACAAGGTCCAGCGCCTCGCGCGCATACTGCTCGCGGTCCTGGACCGTCGTGCCGGGCAGCAGGAACAGCTTGACGGTGATTTCGTAGTCGCTTGCCTCCTCGCGCAGACCGGCCGCCTGCCAGTTGATCCTGGGAATGTACAGCGTCTTCTCGTCTCGCTCCGTCCACAATTCGACCGGCGTCTGGGGCGGCGAGGGCAGGGTGTTGGCGCCGTTGGCTGCCGTTGGTGATGCGGCGAGCGCATAGTCTAGCCGTGTCGCGACGAAGTTGTCCCGGAGAGAATTGACGAGCTCTTGGTTCGATCTTGGTCTTTTGCCGCCGTTGATTTTGCGGATGATGGATGGGCTGCCGGACATGACATTGCTATTGGATCGCACAGCGATTAGGAAAAGGCTCGGGCATTTTTTTTTTACACAAGCAGCAAGGGGAGAAAACGAACCCCGTAGAGAGAATGATTTTCGTCATTGCGATGGTGGTAAGTAAATTTAGAGAGTCCTAGATGTTTGATAGATACTCAATGCGACTTTGGTAGGTTGTGGTTCGATGAGAGCGAAAGTGCAAAAAGAAGTTTTTGGAAACAGCGCCCTATAAGTCAAAAGCGCCCAAGACCCATTCTCGGCATATGCGAGTAACAGTAGCTTTTTTTTTTTTCTTTCGTCGCAACGAACTAAATCGCGTATTTACCTACTCCAGATGGGCGGGAGGCAGACGCCGTATTACTAATGAGCCGGGTGGATATTGAAAGGATGATCGGAGAAGGAGAGTTTTAATTCTGCAAAGGTTACAGTCTCTGTTTATTTGGCTTTTGCGGCTGCTAGGAATATTGAACTATTGCCTTGAGGTGAGGGTGTGCGGCCTACCTAGGGTATTTAAATATGAGGTTCTTAAAGTGTGCCAATTACTGTTCTAGTGACGTCTAAGAAACTGATAGTCCCCCACGCAATGTTGAGTTCATCTGGTCTTATACGTATAAGATTCGGAGCACGGCTAGGTACAATTGACTTTCGGAGCTTTTAGCGAAGACCCTTGGGAACCGCCTAGTAAAGTGCAACGCGGGGTTTGAGTTCAATGTGTCGGACTATTACTTACCGTAGGTCTTCATAGAATTCAAGGCTGCGGTGTTAGTTTTGGCGCTGCGGCCATTTGTCAAAGCCGCTGGAGGGTTCATGCCGACAAGAGGGGCAGCGGCACAAAGTACATGTGAGAAGTACAGGCTGGGCCTAGGAGAAATTGGGGGCACGGAACAAGGTACAGGCAGAACCCGAAGCACGCGCTACTGCCTCGTCACCGACCTGGCCAATTCATCCAAGAGTACGCCAGCTCAAGTCTATTCAAACCGCATCTCGTCCCGCTTCGACCTTGTCACTGCGCCTCGACCGTCATCGTGTCCCTCTCGGTGATGTGAGAGAGCCGTCGTAATGGCGATTCAGTACGTTGCGTCGCCTGCTTCTGCTCTTGCGACCAGATGAAGCTGACTTGCATCTCTCTAGCTATCTTATTCTGCTGTCCCGTCAGGGGAAGGTGGTGCGTAGCTCCCCTTGTTGCTGATAACGAGAGCTTCCAGCAAGCATGAGACGAACTCTACTGACTTTTCTTCCAGCGGCTTGCAAAGTGGTTCACGACGCTGTCCCCCAAGGACAAGGCCAAGATCGTCAAGGACGTATCACAGCTCGTCCTCGCTCGAAGAACACGCATGTGCAACTTTTTGGAGTACAAGGGTTAGTAAACGACTGCTCTCATATGCGCCCCCTTTTTGCCGCTTGAAGAAGGTGACTGACTGTGTCATTCATTGCCTAGAAACCAAAATTGTCTATCGGCGATACGCCTCGCTCTTCTTCATCACAGGATGCTCCTCCGAGGACAACGAGCTGATTACACTCGAAATCATCCATCGATACGTCGAACAGATGGACAAGTACTACGGCAACGTATGCGAGCTTGATATCATCTTCTCTTTCACAAAGGCCTACTACATCCTCGACGAGCTGCTTCTTGCAGGAGAACTGCAGGAGAGCAGTAAGAAGAATGTGCTGCGCTGCATTGGACAGCAAGATTCATTGGAAGATATGGAGGTGAGTTCTGTGTAGAGTTTAACCCGGCTGCATCGCACCGATCCTGGCTCTTTCCCATACTATGATGCGCCATCGCCATCTTTTTATACTTTTCCGGGTTACGGCAACGCGACTTGACAGCTGACAACGGATTTCCAAACGCAAAGGTCGAAGACGAGGTCACCAAACTCATGTAAAATACGTGCGAACGAAGTCGGGACCTGTGCGCAACATTTGGTCAAAAGGGTTGTTGCCTATCGCCTTGACCGACGCCCATTCGCCATCAAGGTTACCGCCACGGAGTACCACCGGCATATATGATATACGATCGAGGCCCCTTACTGTCCCACCGGCTATTTGGAGTCATCGCACGATCCGAAAGGATTTGACTATTAACATTTGGCGTTGCAGGTCGAGAGCACTTTAGAGAAGCTTCGCACGGTGGGAATTCTTTGATTACAAAAGTCTCAGGCAACTGAGCATCTCTTCGATGAGAAGAGAGGGCACACTGGGAAGAATGAATGGAGCGGGTAATGATTGGAGAGAGGATATGGCCATGTTTTTTCTTTGTGTGTATAGATCTTGGAGGATGGAAAACCATCCTCTACCATATCAAGAGAAGAAAGGAAGGGAAAGACGAAGAGGAACCCCAAGCGTCGCACTGATGTTCCGTCTCACGGACTAGTAGTCCCCAGAGTCTGGGACATATCGGCTGGCGCTTGAGGCCTGAATCTAATACTATACCAGGAGACAAAGGAAAGCAAGCAAGCAAGAAAGAAAGCGCAAAGCCAATTCATGATCTTTTTCATTTTCCACGTCATTGAGCTTAATCCAGCCAACCAACTGCACAGTCGTTTTCATTTGGGCACATGCTGCCATTGGTGACAGGCCGTTGGCTGCTGCGCTTCGTCTTGTCGATGCCGCGCGTGGCAGCTCCATGAGTCTCTATTCGTTGCAACTAATCGGCTCACCAGAAATTGCCCCCCTCTTTTGGGCGGAGGTGCCGCCATGAGTCCGAGCAGTCTGCTGCTACTGCCACTGCTGCTAGTACTAAAGAATTGCTGCTGCTATTCGTGTCTGCCGGGCGCAGCCGACAGCGGGCGATCGGGCCAGGACTGGAGCTTTAGGGGGCAGAAGCCACGTACCCGCACACCGACTACCGGCACTCGCCAACCAACTCGGCGCTGCGTGAGAACGTGGGCGATGCGCGAAACGGCGATGGCCATGCAAACACTCTGGCTGTGGACGATCTGGTCCAATGCGCAATGCGACCGACTGGCGTTCTGCTAGCACCTGCGCTGGTGAGGTACACAGTTCTGCCGGCCTGAAGCACAGCGCTGGCCACTGGCCGAAACTCCCTATCCTCCCCCTAACAGCCCAACCAGCCCGCCTCCGCCTCCGCGCTCCACCGCTGCAGCACGCAACAGCCCCTCCATCTGCCAGCTGATGTCACTGCAGCGCTGCACTGAGCGCCGGCCAGTTGAGGCCTTCAGCGACTCCCACCTGCGTGTCACCCGATCCGGCTTCTGGCCGTGCACTAACGAGACGATAACAGGACAGGAGACGCCAGCTGCACGACTTGCATCCATCTCGCTCTCTCCCCTTTACTCCAAACGCTTCCAACCAACCAGCTAATCTTCCACCCACCCGTCTTTTGTCCAATTCAACCTCTGCCAACCTGCTTTGAGTTGCGAGCAGCTGTTCTTCTGTGACCGTGAATGACGGCACTGCTCGGCTCTCGACGCTGCTAGTTGCCGCATCGTCGCTCTCTTCGCATTACCAAGACAAGACCGCCTCCTCGAACCCCTACCGGCTTCCATCGACAAAGATCTCGAGCTGAGCGAATCGCTTCCACTCCCTGCTGCAGTCTCGATCCACCAACCCCGTGCAGATCCGCGGACTCAAAGCAGACAACACCGGCGAGCGTCACTGCAACTGCGCAGTCCATACCACATACCAATCCACCAAGCCATCGCAGCCCAATTCCGTCCTCGGCTTGGGTGCCTTTATTGCGCAGCACGCACGCCTGATTAAACCCAAAACCACCCACCAGTAGCTGTTGTTCCAGCCGATACTTGGCGATACTTTGAATTTTCGCCTCCAAAGCTTGTTCATAATACATATACACTCGCCCTCCACCCGCCAGCTTCTGTCTTTAGCGCAACCTCCCGATACGCGCGGCACATTCTATCTTCGCCTGCCACCATTCAGATATTCATGCAGAGATACGAACTCGTGAATAGTAGCCACCATGAAGGTAGGTGATCAAAATGATTGAGCGGGCGCCAGCCTGAGACAAGCCAAATCTGACGAGACATTCCTCGCGACTCAGTACCTCCCAGTCCAAGAGTTCGAGACCGTAACCGGCGCTCTCAACTTCAACACCCCTGATTGCAATGTCACTGGCGGATGCGATCTCTACACCACCAAATCTACCGGGTCCGACAAGAAATTATACAAGAGTATCGACAAAGATCTCAGTTCACAGCATGCCGCACTGCTCAAGCTGGGCGCCAGCCTGTCACCGCCCGACCGACAACACATGCTCGCCACGTCGCGCAGCATGCAGCTATTCTCGCACTCGAGCGCATTCGGTCCTCTGTCTGAGCTTGCTAGCCGACGAACGTTTGCCTATTTGATTGCGACGCTCAATGCGAGCCATCCTCACTACGACTTTTCCCACGTCTTGCGGCCCGGCGATTTCAAGCGTGAGAGGAACTTGAGGCGTGTCATTGCCAACTTGGATTCAATATTGCAAAACGTACGGCCCGGCTTCGAAGGCTCATCGTACGACTCATCCGCTGGTAGCGACGCGAACGCACAATGGGGCCCACAGTGCTGGTCCTTGATTAACAAGGAGATGCGTCTTAATGAGTGCACCGTCTTTAGCTATCACCCAGAAGTCGACCCCTTTGAAGAAGATGAAAGCGCCATTTGGGCCGTCCACTACTTCTTTTTTAACAGAATGCTGAAGAGGGTCGCTTACCTCTATGTCAGAGTCGTTCCCGTCATCTCCTCACAGAGCCCAACTTTGAGACCGGCCAAGGGTGGTCTGCACAAGCGACATACCGCAACCGAGTCAGAGGGCACCAAGAAACGAACCAAGTACTGGTTTGGTGACCAAGACGCTGAGTTGGTACCGCCATTTGAAGACGACGAAGAGCCGGTGGATGACGGTCTCTACTGGAATCGCGGAGAGGATGGCGATATCGTACAGTTTTCGGATGATGATATGGCTGAAGATGAACCATTTGATGAGGATGACGACTATGATGAAGATGACGACATGACAAGTACAAGGCGAGAGAGGCTTATGAGCGAGGATGTTGCAGGACGAATGGAGATTTAAGCTGAGGCTATATTCTTCAAGCCACGCTTATTTCTGCGGCGAAACGGAGGCAGCAACAGTCCTAGCCTTGTCTGCACCAAGATGACGAGGGATTTTGTATCTTTTCAACAAGGATATGCCCTCTCATTTCAAATCTGCTTGGATGGACTTTTATTTATCTTACCATGAACATATCACTCGCACTCGACTTACCAAGGGCAGAGATGGAATTACAGCTCCCTCCATCTCAAAGCTTCTCTCTCTCTCCCATCCTAATTTATCATTTTTGGGTTTTCGTTTTCTGGACTCGATTTCCAACGATTTCCTATTCAACTACTCTACCGTATCGTTGCTATGATTACGAAATGTCATTTTTTAGCGTGGCGCATGGTCCTGGTTTCTGGTCGGTGAGAGCGACTGGGAACAACGTCGCCCAGAGTTTTCTCTCTGATTTTCATTTGGTTCAATTTCCTATCGTTGCGTCATTTTATCAAGTTTATTCATGTATCTGCCGTTTTTCTACTTCTTTTCTTTTCTTCTTTTCGTTTTGCTGTGTTATTTGAAAATATTTGGTGGCTCTTTTTACCTATTTTCGAAAAAACAAAGGCTGGTTTTGTTGTTTCTATTGTTATTGCTTATTTCTTTCCCTACTCTTCTCTTTCTTTGTAGTTTTCGTTTTTAATCTGGGAACGAGGTGGGCTACCTATATAACAACGTATATATATACAGATCACGCAGTAATGTTATGAAATTTGGCTTGGTCTCGCTGGGAACGAGACTTTTGCTGGCTACTTTTATATAGTTTACGCAAATTAGCAGTATATGGATTTACTCCTAGTCTATCATCAAAGCTTCAATACTTGTATCTTCAATCATTGATCTGATAACAGAAGCGATAACTGAATAAACGCAAATTCTTACATAGAGGCATATATGTGAAGTTATTGCTGGGTACAAAGCACAATATAATCTACCTAGCATACAAAAAAGGTCCACATATCTTCATACTGCCCGAGACACAAACATAAGATGATTCACGCTTAGAGAAAAGAGCAATGACGCAGCACGAGGTATCCATTGATCTAAATAACACAAAGCTAACGAAGAGAATTTGAAAAAAAAAAAAAAAAAGTAGAAGCGTGTGCAGCTAGAGAAACAAACAAACAAGTAACCGAATTCCCCTTGCCCCTTTTCCTTGTCCGCCTATCCTAGCAAATGGCCAAATCAGTATCAGCCGCCATTTATTATCGACGACCGGTATTTTTCAAGACCACTTCCCACGCAAAATATCTTTTAGTGTTTAATAATTAGTCTCGGGTATCAAGTATTTCCAGATATAAAAGCGCGCATAAGATGAATGTAAAAGAGCATGCTATTATCGGGTGCTCCCCCTTCGAACCAATCTCTGTTTGATTGGACCGTGTATTTATACTCTGTTTGGTGTATGAATATGTATCGTCGAGTAGAATTGAATTAAATGCAAGAATTCTTAGAACCGAGCAATGCCATCGAGGAGCGCAATGAAGCAAAATGCCGATATACTGGCGTGTAGAAACTTCGGCGCTTAGACAGCGGACGCCTTCCTTCGTCGCCCAAAGAATCTCGCGAATCCGCTGGGCTCTTCCTCCTGGACTGGAACTGGAGCGGGAGTAAAGTCTGGCGGCGGCTCAGAATCGCGCAAGAACTTGGCTAGATCTCCTGTCTGTCCTAGGTATGCAGGCTCTCGCGGCTCAAATTTCTTCATTGGGACTCTGTTCATGGGGGCTCTCTCCGTTGGGGCTCTCTCCACCGGAGCTCTGTTTACTGGTGGGTCAGCATGGACAGGCCCATATGCGTCGTATCCTGGAGGCATCTGAATCGGAACGTGTCTGCGAACAGTTGACGGGCGGGCTTCGTTGGCGAGGCCCACAGCGCCGGGGCGTGATTGAGACTCAGTAAGAGTATTGACCTCTTTGGAGTTGTTACGACCAAATCGTCCCATAAGACCAGGTGTGCTCGACTTCCTCCTTGGCTGCTGCTTCGTAGGCGGAGACGGAGGCTCTGGCGGAGGCTCACAGTTGAGTAAGAATTCTGCCAGACTTTCTTCCTTCTTGGGGGGCGGTCTAGGAGCCATATCGAAATCATCATCTTCTTCTTCATCGCTGAAATCAATTGCGTATGGATCGCGAACGCGGCGAGTTTTCCGAACGGGCATCGGCATGCCCATATCATCGTCGTCCTCTCCAAACATCGCGTTTGCCTTGGACATGCCCTTGTTCTTGAGAAGTGCAGAGTTGGAGTTGACAGAGGAGTGCATCGAGTAGTCCGTCACGCTGGTAGATGCTTGGCTGTGTCGCATATCCGGAAGCACCGGATCGACCGCCCTGCCTCCAGCCGCACCATACATCATCTCTGAATCTCCTGGGTTACGGAAAGGCGCCACGTGTCGAGGAATGGGATTTTGACCATTGGCTGGACCCTGTCGTATAAAGTCAATCAAATCTGAGGTCTCGCTTCTGCTGTTGGCAGCAGGCTCTCGAGCCTGGTATCGGTTTCGATTGCTGCTGCTGCGACTGCTTATGGTGGTAAGTGGTTGAGACTCTGGAATGGTCTTGGGTGGGTTGACAGGGACGTGAACATTGCGCAGAGCTGCCGGGCCTCTGTCGCCAGCTGGGCCTGTAGACTTGATAAACTCGGCAAAATCCGCCAAAGACTCGCCAGGTGCACGAGCATCTCGAGCTTGGGCCCCACCATTACGGCCAGACGCGCCGAAGGCTCCAGCCGGAGCGCGGGGGATCGGTCCAGAAAGTTTGGGCGTGCTTTCAGAGGAGGCCTGGGCATTGGCTGGCTGCGCCCGCGGAATTGATGGAGATGCATTTGAGCTAACAGGCGAGGATCGCATAAGGTCTTCGCTCTTACGGGAGACCTTGGTCACAACAGGGCTGTCGGCAGATTTATTGACCTGGAAGATGACTTAGCAAACAAAACGAACTCCTTAATGTGTGAGGTAGAGGGAAAAAAAAAAAGAAAGGACGATGCTCGAGGTTAGAGTGAGACTGGAACGTACATCCATATCACGCATATTCTCCGGTGTCAATGTGTAAGTGATGGTTTGATTGCTCTGAATGAGCTCTTCAAAGTTGCGCGCCATGCTTTCAGCACGGTTTGATGCGTCGTCTGAAAGAGTTCTAACAGCCTTGAATCGGCTGGCGCCAGAAGATGCGGACGAACCAGAAGTGTGGATTTGCCGAGGAGGAGCAATGGAATCCAGAGACGGAGTTGATTCCTTGTCATCTTGCTCAGCAGTGGGCCGTCCCTTCTGTCGATTGGATTGCCCCCCAGCGGATCGGTAAGGAACATCTGGAAATTGAACATCTGTGGCACTTTGAGCGGTTTTAAGAGACGAGCTCCTGGTACTTGAATAAGGCTGGTCGCTTTGAGGGGAAGCCGAGATTCTATCAGCAGCTCTGATATTTGTTTGCAAGCCATGCGGGAGTCGGCCCAGCTGGTCTCGACTTCGAGAAGCTGGTGCAGGCTTGACAATCGGATTCACCTGATCAGCGTCTTCCTCAGACTCTGAGATGGTGGCAGCATTTGGGATGGGTGGCCTCATCCTCTCGACTGGAGACCTCACTGCCGAGAGAGGCACGCCTGTTCGTGAGCTAGTGTCAATGGCCTTGACTTTCCGCATCTCGTCGGGACGTGATAGAGGGCTTGCTCCAGACACAGTGCTTGCCCGTGGCCGCTCGGCTGATTCCATGGAACGCGGCCGACTAGTGGCTGGACTACGGGGCGGAACGTCTATGATGCGTGCAGAGTGCACACTAGAAGATCTGCTCAGATGAATGGCCTTACCCGTATCTGAGACAGAGCGAGATGAAGTGCTGGAGACGGAGACTCTGGACGAAGTCAAGATCTCGGCCTTTTCGTATATCACTTCATCAAACTCATCCGATCCGCTTTCATCAGAGTCGCGGCTTTTCGGTTTCGCCTCCACCTCCACCTCCACAACAGAGAGTCTCGTAAGCTCTTGGAGCTCAGGAATTCCTGTTGCATCGGCAGTTTTTGACCTTGGTCGCGCAGTCGCATAGAAGACGGACCTTTTGGGGGTTGGCAGTGAGGTGGATCTTCTGTGAAGGCCGAGTAAGGTGGCATACTGCTCTGAATCTGGAGATGATTGGGATTCTTTGAGTAAAGATAACGCCCCGGCGAAAGATTGAACGCGGCGCTTGTCGAAATCCTTTTCTTCCTCCTCGCTTCCATCTTCCTCATCATCGCTATAATGGGCCAAGCCTGGCACCTCAATCTCCGCAATGTCATTGTCGCCCATGGGTAGTGGGATATTCATGGGGTGAATGTCTTCCTCTGCAGCATCCTTTGTGTCATCTTGCACCTCGGCAGAGTCAGTTCCACGCTCACTGATGGAACTCTTACGATCGTACAGAGAACTAGCGTGGCTGACTGAAAGAGATCGACTGGAGGCATATTCGCCTAGTGGCGCACGCATTCTCTTTTTCCACCCTCGCCATAAGCGGCCCAAAGTTCGATCAAGCGCAACGCGTTCCATGTCAATATCCTCCACCACAATTCTCTCAGCAACAGCGGCCGGGCTGCGCGCTCCATCCTTGAGCTCTTTTTCAATTCTGGAGCGCAACCTTTGGCTAGCCGCCTGCCCAGCCACAGAAAGCGTGAGTTCACCCATATATTCCAAGACTGAGGTAAGGAAGATGGCCACGGCAGGCGAGATGATGTCGGAAGTTCTTTCATGTTCGCCAATCTCGAGATTTTCCTGCGTCATGTACTTGTCCTCGTCCTCTTCTTCCAAGTCTCCGAGAGAGGAGTAGACCATACACCGCAATCTAGCTCTCTTCCAGGCTAATTCAACATCCCAGTCTCGTGCATGGGGGCTCTGGGGCTCGGTGTACTCTTCTTCCTCGGAGCCCCCTAGGTACTCCCTCAGTTCTTCATCAGCATTGCTTATGGTTTCTTTGGCCAACTTTGGCTTGAGGACGTCGGAGACGGCAGGTCGCAGGGCCGAGAGA